AAGGCTTACCAGCGCTACCTACATCAACCTACCCACTTTCCGTGAGAAACTCAATTTTTCACCACATCAAATCCCCCATCTCATTCAACCAAGTAATTCATCACGGCAACAACGTATAAAACAATGGTTAAAAAACAGGCCCCTAAGAAGAATCCATCCAAAAAAGACAGACAAGCATCAGCAGCTGACCCCATCCCAACCGTCGACCCCCAAATCCTCATCCATCAGCAGCGCATCCTCAAGCTCTTTTCAGATGCCTTCAATCCCGTCCTCTCATCCGAGGACTTCACAGCCCGCCTCCAATCCATAAAACAGGCCCTCTTCAACCGGGAATTCGACGCCGCCTTTGGGACAGAGGAGAATCTTCAGGCGTACGCTGCAAGATGGAGTCCTACCAGAGCCCTCTGCTACTCGTCCATCTTCCAAACCATCGCCCACCACTTTGATGAGATGGCTCTCATATCACCTCCTCCGACCAATAACAACGATGATGATGAAAACAGCCCAGAAGCAGCTAGCATCGAAATATCAGATTCAAACCCCCGCAAATCCATTAAAATGCTCTGCATCGGCGGCTGCGCAGCCGAACAGATTGCCTTCGCCTCCCTCCTCCACCAAACAAATTCCTCCGGCCATCTTACCCTCCTAGACGCCGCCCCCTGGACACAAGTCGTCGCTCTTCTCCAAAATCACATCACTTCGCCGCCTCTCCTATCCAAATACGCCTCCGCAGCCATCAAGGCCGCAAACACGCCTCTCCTCGAGCAGGCCCAACTCAACACAACATTCTCCCAGGGTGATATCCTAGTATTAGACAAGGAGGCATTGTCTTCACTGCTTGGCCGCGAACCGCTCACTGTGACGCTAATGTTTACATTGAATGAACTCTACACCAACGGAGGCATCGGTAAAACGACAAAGTTCTTGAAATTGCTGGGCGAGGTCATGCCGGACAGGAGCATGCTCCTCGTCGTGGACAGCCCGGGTAGTTACTCAGAAGCCGCCGTGGGAAAAGAGCAGAAGAGATATCCTATGCAGTGGCTGCTGGATCACACAATGATTGATCCGCGTGCACCGTCTCCGGGCTACGAGTGGGAAAAGATTGAGTCTCACGACTCGATATGGTTCCGTCTTCCAGATGGCCTCTCTTACCCTATTCAATTGGAGAATATGCGTTACCAGATGCATCTATATCAGAGGAGGAGTACGTCCTCAACTCAATGAAGTTCTGTTAGGGGAGGATGTTTCGAAGAATGAGGGGAAGGAAAGAAAACTATAGTTGATAAGGCTACCCTTGAGTTGCTATGTATAAAAAAGAGCCGCATCAGGTCTTTTCGTTAGGGATATCTATCTACTAGGTATCTATGCCCACACCAGCTTCTTCAGCGAGTGGCCTAGCTGCTCGAGTAGCCCGGTGCTGCGTCTCGCCGTGTCCAGCGAAATGATATCGCCCTTCTCCACCAGCTTCTTTCGCTCTCCTCCTTCCTTGGCCTGCTGCCGTTCGAAAGCAAGGCGCTCAATCTCTGAGCATATCGTGTCAATGATCTGCATCTCTGTTTGCCGCGGCCCCGCCCCACTCGCCGGCAATGAAGAATCGGCGTATGGCGCCTTGAACGCAAGCTTGCGAATGGCAGGCTCTTTGGAAGCGTTTGCTCCGGAGAAGAGACCAGCGAAACCAGTTGGTGCGGGTAGAGGCTCACCGGTAGCCGTGAACTTGGGTGCGTCTTTGGTGGACAGTGTACGGGTGTTCCTCCTCCGCACGTCGCTTTTGCCCGGTTGATATGACACCACGAAACCCACGTTCCTCGTCTCGTTCATGTGCGCCTGCGAGATGGTTGAGGTGATGTAAGTGCCGATTTTGATATTCGTGATGCTGGCAAGGGTAACTCTTTCAAAGGACGATACCTTGTCCAGATCCCAGTCAAAGCGACAAAGATACAACGCAGCATCCGTCAGGAGAAGGACAGTTTCTTCCATTGGCCACGATTTAAGAACGTTGGCGGCGTTGGGACTAATCAAAACCCAGCCGCCGTGGAATTCTTCATTGACGTCTGCCACGACTCGCTTCTGGCACAGCTCCACGGCACGCTCCCGCATTCTTTCTACGGAAACAGCCGGATCCTTGGTCATCATGTCCATCTCGAATTCTTCAAATACTTTGGCACTGACATTTCCGAGCAGGAAGTCTATGGCAGCTTGGCTGAAGTAGTCGTTGACCATGCTAAAGGGGAGATGATGATCAGCCACTGGGCTTGGAAAGTAAGCAGGAAAAAACTCACCCAGTATAGAGACGTGTTAGGGATATGCCGAGATCATTTAGTGCCCCCCTGTAATCCCTCTTTCGTGTCCTCGTATAGTCACCTTTCATAGCGGATGTAGAGGCGTACTGCTTTGAAACGGCATCGCCGTTGTCAGCCCAGAGAGTATTAAACCAGGCCGTCTCTTGGTCTATTTGCGCACTCATGTCTATGCCTTCTTCTTTCAGTTGTAAATCTAGCAAATGTTTTGCAAAAGAGCTCTGGCAGACGTTTGTTCGGTCCAGGCAGTCCATACAATTTGTCCTAAGGACACCTTGTTGCTTGCGGACCAGCTGGCCATTGTTCTTCACCGTGCTGCCCAGCGTCTCTAATTGATCTTTCAATGTGGACAACAGATGGCTCACGTTCTCAAACTTCATGCCACGACAGGCGTGGTGAAAGTCAAACCACTCAAATGGAATCTTTGCCTTGTCATCGAGCCCCTTGTTGATACGCGCCATCGTATTTTGATATTGCGTTCCAATAGGGCCCTCGACTCCACGTTTCTCGACAAGATTGACAATCTGTACCGTGCCGTAAGATGCCGAGAGCCTTTCAAAATGCTGCTTAGCGGCATTGTAGTTTGCGTCCTCAGAGTGCTGCAAAACCGGCACAGGCTTGAGCGCGTAGGCCGTCTGGGTAAAGAAGAGTGGAATGCTGCCTCTGATCTGAGTAAACGAATACACTGGAGAAGAGGTATCCCATGCAGGGGATGAAAGGACCTGCTCTGTCTCGACAAAGTTGGCCGTATAGCCACCCTCGTCAATGCCGCGCCGGAGGTATCGCAGACCAGCCCTCTTAGTTGATCGTCGCGATACGAGGGTGATGAGGTAGCTCTTTTCAGTAGGACGCAGCTCTAGAGAATGCCTCGCCGTGCCTGAAGGCGGCGAGCCTGGAGCAGATGGCGGGGGGGAGAGGTCCTTGAGCTCCATGGATTCTGTTCCAGGGTCATCTACCTGGGGAGGCTGAGAATCCGCCACAAAGGTTCTCTGGCCGACAAAGCCCTGCATCAGAGGTAGGGTCAAGGCATCTTGTCCGGCATCTATAAAAGGTTGAATAATATGCCGGTTCCAAAAGAATGTCTTCTTGACCTGCTCATAGAGGGAGCCGCTGGGGTTAACCACCGAGGCACTGTCACTCGGACTGCGAGTTATATCCAGGTCATATGAAAAGTAAAAACTACGTGATGAGCCAAACAGCATTTGGACGGTCCGAAGCAGCTTAGGTAGCAGCGTGGATGCCGGAGAGAGACTCTCATCCGCTTCTTGTAGGCTGGCGAGACTAACCACTGGGGTCTGCGAGGCCGATGGCGCAAGGGGCGGCGTGGACGTTGGCGAGTTGCTCATTCCCATAGTCCTTCTCTGGTCGACTGTCCACCCGCTTCGACTAAACCAGCGCTGTGCAAATCTCCCATAGCTGCCCCGTCTCCGGATCACGTCTTCGGCAACGCTGCTCTTGGGGTCCGGCGGGACGTCTCCTTTGTCGACAACATCGTCGTCGACTTCCTCATCAGGAGTCGAAATTGGCATCTCGCCGTCCTCGTCACTGCTGCTATCTTCATCATTATTCACGCTGTTGGACGACTCCGTACGCAGAAGACGTGCCGTCTTGCGCACCGATTCCTCGGCATCACTCTGCGACGAGCACGGCGTCACGGCCACCTGAGTGACGACATAGATGGGCAATCCAAACACCTGAGCCACCTGCTCTCGGCGTGTAATCGTCACCAAATACGTTAATCGCGACACCGTAATCAATCCTGCCGACTGTTTAACACGCCATCACATCACATCGACGCCTGCCCGGGACTCACCAATGACGCCGAGCGCTTCAAACCACGAATCGGGCTTTGCCGAATCAGGGGCCTGGTCGCGTGCCGCCGACACGGACGCATCGCCATACTTGACTCTCGCAGGCTGGAACGGTTTCTGTCCCTTGGAAGACAATGGCTGGATGATGAGGCCGTCGACAGCGGCAAAGATTAAGACCTTGCGCGCAAGACCCGGCATCGTGCGGGGTCTGTGTCTCACCGCAGGAAAGTCCGAGAATTAGAGGAAATGCCGGAAGTCGGTCAAGGAGTCAAGAGCCGGGGCTCGTGGCTACAAGGACGAGTAGGAGGAAGCCATTGAGGTGATGTTGAATCGAGGCGAATAGGTAATGAAGTTGTATTGAAGCGAAGTTCAACGTCATCAATTACACGTACATCTACCTCTATACCTCTAGTAGGTACATCCACCTCCGCCCAGAAGCAGCAAGCCCGCCTAGAGCTCCGAGTTAGTGCTGCTTAGGCCTTGTACTGTAGAAAACGTGGATGCGCTGTCCAACCAGAGACTGAGAGAGCAATGGGGGGCTTATGGGGGACTCCATGCAGCTGTTCAGTCTCGGTGATCGATGGAGTGCCATCCATCAATAGCAATATACGTTTGACGCTACATAGATATTTACGACATTGGCGCCATCTTCTGCAACCTTACTGAAACCTTGGTGCCCTTCAAGCTGGATGCTCTATATCCGCAAGGTTCCAAGTGACACATGGACCCCTAGTCAGAGGAGAGCCACCTCCCGCATTCTCCAACGGAGTTTCTATTTCTAGAGCACCTCAACTACAATCATCGCCCGCCAATTCCTACGCTGTACCAATAGCGGGCCACCCTGAAAGTGCATCAGCAGGTCATACAGACACATCACTTTGAATAAGTGTCGGGATTATATTCCACCCGAGCTAATCACTGCTACAGAGCACAATCCAGGCGAGCTACCGCCTGCGTGAGATCAAACAGCGTCATCTGTCTGTTGTGCTTCGGATTAGTGAGATGCAGAGGGGCATTGCACTCGTGGTTGGCCAGCGACGGCAGGGATCAATGGATGCTCTACAACAAAGAACGAGCACCTCCATTGCTCCAGCAGCCATCTGGAGCTGTCGAGCATCCAACCACTCAGTCCGCGGCCCAGAAAACCCGTGGGGTAGCTCCGTCTGCCCGTCAGCAGCCATGGTCGCCATTTGCATCAACGGACAGGCAGCAATGCATCCCGAGCACCAGTCGGCGTTTGCGGCCTTGGTGGCCAACAGGACGAGCTTGCTTGATGCCACTTGTGGACCTCATCTGCAGTTTGCACGTCGCCAATTGCATAAGCAGGCCAGTGAGGGGTTGCGACGCTGGCAGGACGACATGATCCGACCGAAACTCGCCTACGCAATGCCCATTCAAACGCATGCATCCGTGCCTGGCTGTGAGCATGAGAAACAGAGCCAGAGGCCGGCGTGATCGTGATGGTGGCCGTCACCCATGTTGTGAGTGGTGGTGGCACGGCGGCGGTGGTTGCTTGATTGATTGATTGACGTGGTGTCGACCCCTAGAATAAGCCGGCTGATGATGGGTCACGTCAAGCAAGCAGGAAGAAAAGAGGCTCTTGCAGTGATGACATGGGCAGATGGCTGGCTGCATCCCATTTGCTGCGATCGCCCATTTGACAGATCTGGCGGTCGTGGTGACTGTTGGCATTTGTTTGGGGCGTCCAAGGTCGAAAAGGGGTAGTCCCTGCTAGCTCTCTGCATACATTAAAGCAAGGCTGCACTACCATCAAGTACCTTGCCGGTACCTCATTCAAGAGCCGAAGCGGCAGCTTTGTTTAGCCTTGGCCCATGACGCTGAAAGGGGAGCGCCAGGGCCTGGAGGGCCTGCTGCAGCCAGACCAAGTCACTTCGCACCAATTCTACGCGTAAAAGCTACATGGCTGGGGAGGGGGCCAGCAAGCCTGGATTGGGCTAAGCGTCCACCACCTCACCTCACCACTTCACAGGCCACCACCAGCACTTTTTCTAGGGCCTGGCGTCAAATCTTCCGCTTTCTGTCCTTGGAAACCACCATCACGACCTCTCTTCATTCGCCGTCCCGGCCCCCTGGATCATCAACGAGGCGCCCGAGGACCGCTGTCCGCCTTCTTCTTGTCTTTCTTTCATCTCTTGCCCCTTCTTGACCCCCTTGTCTGGTCTGGCCCGTCGAGATTTGTTTGCTCGTGGGCATCGTGCTTCTTTGCCTTTCTCTTTGTGTCTAGCACCGCAGGACGGGTTGGGCTCCTCACTCCTCCTTGCGGCCCTTTGTTGTTCAATCTCCTCCGACTTGCCCTCTGTCCTCGCCCACCACCCGCCGCTGCATGGTCTCCCTGATCCATCACTCGCCCCTCTCTCCGTCCCCGACGAGCCCCATTCGTCCGCCGTCTAATCGTCTCGCTGAAGCCGCCAACTAACAACCCCCCATCATGGCCGCTGCCCCCCGACGTAGAAAGCTCATCGGCCAACGACGCCGAGTCGAGGACGAGGGCGACGATGAGGGCCGTCCGGAGACGCTGGAGCTGGATGACGACTCCCTGAGCGAGGGCTCCGTCATCTCCGACGACCACGATGGAGCTGATGATAGCGACACCAGCAACATCGACGAGGTGTCACCCACCTCACCCAACGCGCGGAAGTCTGCCAACGGCACCGCAAAGGGGGCCAGCCACAGAGCCGCCAGGGCTGCTGCTCAGGGAGATGGCAACAAGTCTGTATCGGATACCGAGCTGATGCTTCAAGGCCTGTCCATTGCGGATCGGCCGGACTCTGCACAGGAGCTGCAGTTCGACGAGGTGACGCCGTCGCCACCCAAGTCGCCCTCTGCTCCCGTCATTGTCAGCTCCTCGTCTGCCATGCGGTCTCAACCTGGGCAACCAGCCAATCGACGCCGACAAGAGCACGAGGACTACAAGCGCCGGAGGGACGAGGACCCGGCCTTTGTGCCCAACCGGGGCTCCTTCTTCATGCATGATCATCGGCATCCGGGGCCGGCCGCGAATGGCTTCAGGCCGTTTGGAAGAGGTCGGGGCAGAGGTGGTGGTCGCGGTGGCATCGGGGGCCCTTTTGCTCCAATGAAGTAAGTTCACATCATCTCTTGTCGTCGCCATGATTACCGTCTCTTTGAGCTCTCTCTATCCCCCACCTGGCCCTCTTTGCCTCATCTGCTAACGTGGAATTACTATGTAGTAACCAGATGCACCACCCCGCCGATCCGACCACAAACTCCCCATGGACGCACGACATGCACGAGACTGTCGCAGACGTGATCCCACGTCGCCCTCGGCAAGCACCTCATGAGGAAGGACCGCCTAATGGCAATGGCTTCATCCCCACGTGCGAGCCCAGTGCTACTCCCATCAACAGAACCTTGTCGACTGAGAAACACATCGGCAACGCTCAAGTCCGCGTCATTCTCCCTGAGGTGGCCATCTCGAAGGTGTTTCCTGGCTTCCCGGTCAAGCAGTACACGAAGTTGCCCGATCACCGCCCGCCCCTGCGTAGGGACAAGCCGGTGCGCATCTCCCTGCCGAACCATCCTCCGAGATACATCTTCCCCGCTTCGGACCGATCGTTCACCTTCATCCCCCGTGCATTACGCCCCAATCAGCAGCGACTTAGAGGTAAGCCCCGGTCTGCATGGGGTTCCGTGGGTGGATTTTCGCGGAGGACCAGCATATTTGGTGGCAGCTACTATGGTGGAAGCATATACTCCCCCAGTGCTGCCGTCAGCAGGCGGTCATCCATCGTGGTCCACGATAGGGAGGCCATATTTTCGCCTACCGGGTCCATCATCTCCCGCCCCGCACCACAGGCCGATACCAGGCCTGTGGTCCGTCTACCTCCGGCTCCGCAAATATTCAATATGCCGCCTGTTGGAGTTGAGGTGCCCGTAGGCCAATCGGACCCAATGTTGATGACCGGACAGGAGGCTTCGATCATCGACATGCCCCAGCCACAAACACACCCCCTTCCACAGAAGCCCAACTTCCAGGAGAACTTCCCGGCATCGATCCCAATGCACCAGCCTCGCCCTCAGAAGAACATTTCTGTTGCGGGCATCGAGTCGCCAACGATGTCGCAGAATGGCCCGGGCTTCCAGCAAGCCTTCCACCAGCAAGTTCCCGTGCAGATGGCAAACGGATACCAGGACTCGCATGCTCGCCGGCCCTCATACTCTACCCATGTCTCGACCGGCACGCCTCTGTCCCAAATCCCAGAGCGGGCTATACATGCCGCACCGTTCCAGCCCAACACGTATGGTCAAACGGCCTACTATGGCGGCCAGCCGTACCAGCCTCACCCTCAACAGGGATACTACTATCCTCATGGCTACTCTGGCCCAAGCATGCCCGCCTCTGCTGCCACCGCGCCTCCATTCATCCCCCAAGGACAGCCGGGCATGCCTGGAAGCTTTACACCTCAGAATCCAATGGAGCAGCCAGGTGTCACCGTGACGGGGCCACCGGCACCCCCGAATACAAACCTCGTGGCCCAGGAAGTCAATGGCATGGTTTACTATTATGATGCTTCTCAGCTGCCGTCGGTAAACCCTTACCAGTCGTACCCTGCCTCACAGCCATATCAGCCTAGCGTGATGGGAATGGGTGGGATGGTGACTCCCAGCCCCGACGGCTTCTACTACCCTCAACCCGCGCCGGGCATGGTCTACTACTCACAATAGCGTTGATTCGTGTGGTGGATGTGACACCGACGCTGGCCTGATGATTGGCTTCTCAGTGCCCATTGACCTTTAATAACCCTATTACAGACCCTACACATCTCACTCCCTGCACTTTCTTGTTGATTTCTTTTCCCTTTGGTGTCATGGGTTGGGTTCTACGCATCATTCTTATCCATTTTCGCGGTTCGGGTGGTTGGGTGCTCAAAATCATGAACTTTTTTTCCCCTACTTTTTTCAACGTCTGATATTTATTATCTTCATCATGCGTATCCTGGGATGGCCTGCTGGGAACCCTGGGATAGCCTTTACGTCTTTGTGTGTGCGTGTGTATTGGGGAATGGACCTTTTTTCTTGAAAACAAAAAATAAGTATTGGAAGTTGAAGGCTGAAAGATGCTTGCAACGGCATTCATTTGTGTCAGTTGTTGAGGTTATCGTCACCACGGCCAACAATCGATGGCCATATGCGGAGGGATGGAAAAACGTCTTGCGGGATGACCTTTTCTCTTTTTTTCAGTCTGAGCTAAAGGGGAAGAAACGCATGGGTAGCTGGGAGCGATTCTGTAGCGGCTTCATTGCGTCCTTTACCTTTGTTAGCCCGGATGTCCTTGTAACTTCGGGGTTTTTATCCTCTTGTGCTGTTCATGGCAGCGGCGTTTAGCGGTGTTTGGAGGCAATTATGTAGTAGCTTTAAATGTGCGGGAAATGGAGTTGCAATCTGTGGAATATCTTTGTGTCTACTCTCTCTTTTTGAGCTTCATTTGCATATATTTTATTGAGCGAATAGCTTGTTTATTTTATGCTGGATAGTGACTGTTTTGGTGAAGAATGAGTGATGGTAGTGAATGTTGTGCTTTGAATGCGGCCCGGTGCTACAAACGTAGAAGCTAATAACTTTGTGTGCTAAATCAAGTTCTTGGTTGACTTGAACTATCTCACTTGCGTAGAGATAGGTTGAGCTACATAAGAAGTTCTTCTTGATACCAAGGCAATTTATTGAATTTGATCTCATGTGTTAGTTAGTACTTGGGTAGTCATGGATTCGAGCTAGATAAGATACCTGTTCGTCTTTCATGTTGAGGTCGCATTTGGCTCTTCTTTCCCGCATATATACATTACCATTTTTTCCTTATCTAGAGGATAAATCGGTCCTCCGTTTCAGGTTATATCTCCTCTACTGTTTCAACTAACACTCTATCTCCCCTGTATCGTCATCGCCGATAGCTCCGAGATACGTAGGATTGCTGACGTCCCTCTCCGTGATAGGCGCAGCTTGCCGAAGAGTACAATCAGGGTAGCCCCGTTTGAAGGGCGTAAAAAGTCAGTGGAAGATGGGAGATGAATGGAATGAAATGGGACTTTTGAGGGATAGGTGCAGTGAAATAAACTATCTAGAGGAATGAAGTATTTAGGTTTTGCAGAGTTCGGTGAATGGTGAATATTTTATAGTATAGAGTGAATGCTCGGTGTATGTTGGAATTACGTCGGAAAGACATAGAAGTATATATTGAGATTTTGACAGAAGTCAATTGAGCCCCAGGGCTCCATAAAAGTAGGGGAAATCACCGTTTGCATTTTTTTCTGAGACGCCTTGCTTTTTATTATCTGTTTCATTGATAACTTATCGCATTGGTTGGGATAGTAGTGGGCTCTAATGAATATGCCTGGCAACCTGAGTTGCTTTTCTCATGCATTGATACTCGTCGACCACTATAAGAGCCGTAAGCTCTCGTGTAGATACTACTGGCGTAGACCGAGAGCGTCAGAGAGCAATACCTATGTCTCTTTAACAAATGCGGCTGTAATTTTTCGTCATTGGGGTATTGAGAAAGTGAACTTTGTTAGGCTGCGAGCTTCGTTAGGCAGACTCGATATCAACAATGCCTACAACTGGAGTCTTCCCGGACGGTCCGCAAGCTGGAATATGGCCGAATCTCTACACGTTTCATGGCGTGAATATGCCTTGGTGTATCCCTGGCGCCTAGAATGTAGAAGTAAATCATGATCCTAACAGGCCTGGTTCCGTGTGATAGTTAAGGACACGGTTGATAGCACGTCAAATCTGGCCTTGAGAAATAGCAGCCTGCGCCTGGGTTATAAGCACGGAGCACGTATGCATAATGAGTATGATGTCTTTCTTCGCCCCGCCTCTCTCACCCGATGAGTGCCGGGGCTGGGTAAAGAATACAAGCCAGAATATTTTATCCTGTCTATGAGGATGGATGCACTTTGTGGTACTACGTAAAGCGCCTGCTGACAGACAGGAAGAGCAAGACGCAAGGGAGTGTAATAGGCGTCTACTAAGATTTTAACGAGTAGTGATGACAATGCAAGGGATGAGCCGGCAGATTACATGAGTAGTACCAGGTATGTAGAAGAAGCAAAAAAGAGAAGAGAGAAGCGGCAGCACCAAGCTTCGGGCAGGGCGCATCGAGCTAGCAATCTCACGTACCGCATTGATACTTGGCTTCAAAGGCTAAAGTGAGACATTGTGTTGAAGCCATGGAAACCTTGGGTGTAACTTTGAACTGCCCGGACTTGCCAGAGAGCTCCACAGAAAAGAAGAGCAGAGAGAAGATAATAAATTCAGACGTCTCTCACCAATCATGATGTTGTATGTGGCTTCCCTCTCTGACGGGAGCCTGTGTGAATTGGAGCTTGTTTAGGCCATCCGGTTAGGCAGTCCTTTGTGCTGAGAAAGTAATCGATCGAGAGCTGCTCGTTCTGTGCAATCCACGAGCTGTCGTGTCCCCCCAATGACCACCAATCAATGCTGGAGCCTGGTTGGGATGCTCCGACATGCTCGGCTCGGTGACACGATATGTTGCCACATTCGGCACATCACGCGCACCGAGCGGAGCCAGACAAGCAGAGGTCGCATCGATCCAATTGCTTCACGTACTCGTATCGCGCTATGGCGACAGGCCCGGGCATTATTACTACGAGTCCTGGTATTAGTAGTTCGGGTATTATATAAGAAGCAAAGCACCGCAAGTATCGGGTACTTTGGCAGGCAAAGTACCTGGACCAGAACTCACCGAACAAGGCATCTAGAGTAGCATCGGGTCTCGGGATAGATGCAGTTTGTGGTGTTGGTGTTTGTTTGCCTTCAATCTACAGCTTACTTTGACTTTGGAGCGTCAGGCAATCTACGCCGCCACGACGCCGTAGCATGGGATCTTGGTCTTGTTCTCCCGAGCGAGCTGCAAGTTCCAGAGGCCCCCAAAGTGTCGTAATCGGCCTTTGCACAAGCCTGCCTACGAGATGCCGTGGCGGCCGATCGAGCATGAATCGGCAAGCCCTGAAACCGGAACCAGCTTCACTAACACAACCTTATCCGCTGTCTTTGGGATGGTCGCAGCTGGCTGGTAATAGCACCACGTAGTCGCCGTCGCCTGAGAGGGGTCGGCCGGTCGCCAAGGCAAGGGATGCTCGAGTAGTGAGTGAGTGCGAGGACAGTGTGAATGGATGGGACGAGACGAGGGAGAGAAGCTGGCGTGGCTCCTCTGCAGCCTGGGCTTTTCTTGTGTCCCGTCTCCTCGCCTCATCCGCAGCCAATTGCTTGTGGGAGTGGCGAGCCGTCCAGGCATCCGGAGCCAGCTAAGCTGCAGTGGCAGCGCCATTGGCTCTGGCAGTGACCAACGGCAAGAAGTGATGTTAGCCCCATGATCCGAGAGTTTGACGTCTGGTCTGCTTCCATGAGATTTTGAGTTGCCTGCTATCGGTCTCATTGCCCAGTGGCAGCCTGCGTAGTCTGTACATAGCATAGCTCGGGGCTTGGGAATGGATGGGCCGAGGATACCGTAGGCTGAAGCCGTCTTTGTCTCTGGCGACACCAACGTTACCCAAAGTTTACAGCAAATGACAGCCACTGGATTTGATTTTTGATTTTGATTTTGATACCAGTACTAGAGAGGTCAAAGGATGCGAGGCCCTCCGAGGCGGCACACATGTGATGCAGCGCTCTGAGACAGGACAGGCATCATTTCATCTTTTGGCCACCCGGCTGCTCTTCTTCTTCCTGGCGTTATCGTGCATCGTGCAATCTGCGCTTGACCGCCTTGGTGCTGTAATTCCTTCGCCCCATGTCGCCATTGGCCGCCATGAGTCCACCTCTTGTAGTCCCCCAGCTCGGGGTAGGGTAGGGATTCATTCCGCCATTGAACCCTCCAGGGCGCATACAGTAAATCCAGGTGCGTAATGCACCGTGTGTCCGCTGCAGCTTACGCGCCGACCTTCTCCGCACTTGTCGTTGCCCGCACTGTGACGTCCTGGAGCTAGTCACATCCACTGACACGGCCCACTGAGCACCCGCTGCATCAGCGCTCAGTGCTGCTGCACCTCAGATGCTTGCGGGTACTGTACCCACTACCGTCGCGGTACCTGAGCGCTCAATGGCCGCCAAGCTGGCTGAGTGCTCCGTTCGCTGTGCTCTTCGCCGTGGCTCGCCGTGGTCCCACCGCTAAAGTTCAAATCAATGTTGCCTCATCGCCTCCCTGTCGGTGTGCCAGTGCCAGAGCCGGGTCTGCGTCACTGCACAGTCATGTAGCCGCAAAGTACCTATCTCAAGTATCTGGTACTTGCGTTAAACTCTCCAGTTTCCGGCTCGCCTACCCCAGTCAGCCTGGCGTCTGGAGCTTCTGCTTCTCTCCCAACCACGCAATCGTCATCTCTCCTCTTCCTTCTCTCTTCTTCAACCAACTCCCATTTCCTTCTCCACACAAAAAGCATCACATCGCCTCACACTGCCTCAAATATTGCCATCTGTCCTTTATCGCCCGTGTTTATATACCAGAGCCGCCAGCTCTCGATAGCATCCATCAACGGGGGAAAGTTGTTATCGCGTGAGTCGCCTCTCCCGGTCGCCCACCGCTTCGTCACCGTCCTAATTGTGTTGCATCTTGCTAACACAGCATCGTCACCACGACAGGCTGCCCATCATGGCTTCTGCCCCCCAGCTTGTTCCGGAGACCATGGTCACCCTCAAGGTGACCTTCGAGAATACCACTCGCCGCGTCAAGATGCCGCTGCGCGACATGGTGCCTAATATTCTCGAAGCCAACGTACGTGCCCATCAATCTTTCATCGTTTATTCTTCCCCAATCATCGTAATTTTTTCGACAACGCAACCATGCCATGCATTGGGTGCCTCATTTGAATCTCGCGGAGATATTTGATAAATGTTGACACTTCTGTTCAGATCCGACACTTCCTCCACATCCCACTTGAGACCCAGGTCGTCATCGAACGCTACTCCGACTCTGCCAGCGCCTTTGTTGTTCTCGACTCTAGTAACGCGCCGGTCTACAAGCAACTGTATAGAGCCGCCAAAGCCAAGTCAAAGTTGAAACTGCGCGTGTTTGTTCCCGAGCTGCAGCCAAAGACTACGCCAAAGCCGGTCACAGTGGAGGACGAACCCGAGGCGTCCGTAGCAGAGACCTACGAGTCTACCGAAAAGATTACTCCTACCGAGAGCGAGGAATCATCGTCAACGGCCGAACCTGCCACAGAGATGTCGGTGCCTTCTGCGGCCCCGTCTTCAATCACCTTGCTCTCCGGAGTTGAATTGCCCCTACGAACCTCTTCTTCTATCCAGCTCGGTACACCTGAGGTGACCAAGGTGGAGGAGGAGACTGAGGCTACTACTCAGAAGCTACCCGCAAACTTCGCTCAGTCTGCTCCCTTCGACCCCCAGTCAATATACTCATCGTTTGAGGACTACTGTGCTCCCGCCGTGCAGTCACACCATGTCATTGCTCCCGCCCCATTCGCCGTCTGCTGCAACAACTGTGAAAAGACTGTTTCAGACGTGCACTATCACTGCCAGACCTGCGATGACGGCGACTTCGACCTCTGCCAGGCTTGCGTTGACCAGGCCGTCAGTTGCTATGACGACAACCACTGGCTCATTAAGCGGACCATGATTGACGGCCAGCTCATCGCCAGCAGCACCGAAAGAATTGAGCCCAAGGCTCAAGCCAAGAAGCAGACCGAGAGCCCCGTTCAGGAGGCCTCTATTATCCCATCAATTGAGAACGTCGAGAAGGAAGAGAAGGAGATTCTCAAGATTTCCCGCCCTGAGAAGACCTCGGAGCAACCCGCTCTCCAGGCGTCGCCGGATGCCATGAATGATCTTCCCTTCTTCGTTCCTATTCACCCTTCGTTTGTGGGCGCCCCTCCAATTCCTAGGTGGTCCTGCATGGGCACCATGCGAACATGCAACTGCTGTGTCCAAGGTATGTTTGAACACATCTCCTTACATTCATGAAATATGCCAAACTAATCAATGATTTACAGAACTTCCCGAATGGGAGTTCCTCCACTGCACATCTTGTGAGGACTTTGACCTCTGCCAAGCATGCTTCGGCAAGGATGCCCATGGCCACCACCCCAAGCATGCCTTTGTTCCCGCTGTTGCAGGCACCAAGATGCCAGATCACATTACTGTGAAGATGGGCGCTGGCCGTAACCAGGCGCACCACGCCATCTGTGACGGCTGTGACAAGTACATCACTGGAGTCCGCCACAAGTGCCTCGACTGCCCAGACTGGGACTACTGCGCCGACTGCATTCCCAATGCTGCGTTTGTCCATGCCAACCACCGCTTCGCGCCCATCTATGAGCCTCTGGCAGACCTCCATGCCTGTGCGGCTACTCAGCCAGTGCACATGGGTATCTGCTGTGATGGCCCCCTGTGCTCCAACACCCAAGGCTATCCTACCTACATTAGAGGCGTGCGCTACAAGTGCGCAGTCTGCCACGACCTTGATTTCTGCGCAAGCTGCGAGGCCAACCCTGCCAATGACCACAACAAGACCCACCCTCTCATCAAGTTCAAGACTCCTGTTCGCCACGTCAGCGTTACCACCACTGGCGAGCACCAGGATGGAAAGCGCATGCCTCCTATGGGTGACCGCGCCAAGAATGCCTCCAAGCCTTCCGAGGTTCCGACCTTGAGCCCTATCCAGGCCGTCATTCCCGAGCCAACCGTGGTTGATGCTAAGCCTGAGGAGCCTGAGACTGAAGAAGTCGAGGTCAAGCAAGAGCCTGAGGCTGAGACCAAGGAGGTCGAGATCAAGGAGGAGCCTACCCCTGAGATCAATGAGGAGGTTGAGGAGGAAAAGGCTGCTGAGCCCGTCCCATCAGTCAATGAGCACGATCTCCGTGCCGTCTTCATTCGCGACTCCGTCTCTGATGGCACAATCATGCCGCCCAACCACGTCTTTGAGCAGACATGGGTCCTTCGCAACGAGGGTACCGCTACCTGGCCTGCTGGATGCTCCGTCAAGTTTGTTGGCGGCGACTACATGGGTCACGTTGACTCTGCCCACCCTGCTGGTATCTCAGAGCTTGTGTCTGCATCAGAGTCGACAGTCTGCTACGCCCCGCTTGCCCCCGGCAGCGAGTTCCCCTTCACCGTGTTGCTCCGCACTCCCGCTCGCGCTGGCCAGATCATCTCTTACTGGCGTTTGACTACGCCCGAGGGATTCAAGTTCGGCCACCGCCTCTGGTGCGACGTCAGTGTGCGCATGCCGCCTGCTGAGGTCCTACCGGCGACCACGGTTGAGGAGCCCAAGAAGGAAGAAGATGCCCAGACCGGTAGCGTCATGATCTTCCCCAAGCTTGACAAGGAGTCACCTCACTCTAGCATGCACGCAGAGATGCCGGCCGAGTCCGTCTCTGGGGCCCCCGAGACCGATGCTCAGACTGAGGAGTACGAGTGGGATGGATCCGACGACGGCTTCATGACCGACGAAGAGTATGACATCTTGGATGCCTCTGATGAAGAATATCTGGAGGATCGCGAGAACAAGAAGCTGAGGAAGTAGGGGATGTGTCTTTTATGAGCAAGAAATTTTGTATCGGAATCTGGGATCTTTGGCGTGCATTTCTTTTCCTTCTTCCCTACCAAACGGGCCACAGTACTGTACTTTTCTCCATCCCCTCTTAACTTTGGGATTCTTTTTCGCTGGCAGTCACCATGGCCTGAGCTCTACTGTCGGCCTGCGGGACGAGTCTGGCACCACTCTCGTTTGATTTCCATCTAGTAATTGTAGGATTTGATTAGGAATAGGACGCTATTATTGACTGTTATTATTAACTACCAGTATTGGTTTACTTTCTTTTCTTTTTCCTTGCTTTAATTTTTCCTCCTTTCTTTTTTTTTTTTTCCCTTTTTTCGTTAACTTTTTTCCTTGGCCTCCGCTCCCACGCCCTCTCGTGATGTGTGATGTGAGGTCGCCCTTGTTAGGCGTCTTTGCCTGTTTTTTTCTTTTTTCACAGCTGGGTGGGTGGTGCTCGGTACGGGGTACCAAATGAGTACTTGTGATCCGTCTTCGCAGTCGGGCGGCGTGATTGGCTGGAGCCGCGACGTGTGAGTGCAAGAAAATTCTGACATGGTGACGTTAATGGGCAAAGGCACGCCCGGGAGCTGCAGCAGCGATGGTGTGCTGCCTTGGTTGCTTGGTAGCGCCGCGGTAGCAGTGACCTCAGCCGCGGCAGTCACCAGATCACCTGCGTGCAGCAGCAGCCATCAACTGACAGCTGGAGCCGCCGGCTTACCTAAGGTAAGTTGTTACAGTAAGGCCCTCGCCTCCTCCGGGTGTCCTGCTTTGCCTGCCTCTGGTTTCTTTTCGCCTCAGGCAGAACCTCACATAACTTGGCATAACCTGGAGCGAAGAGGGGCGCAGAAAAGCGGGTCCCATAAACCTGCTCCCTCATCCCTGTACGTGCCCGCTATCTATAACCTAAGGTATAACCCCTTGCCGGCCGCGCTGCTCGTCCCTCGTTTTTTCCCTCTCTCTGCGCAGGTGCCGCCAAAACAAGCTGCGGGCCATTTCTCGACTCGACTTTTCAAACACCGTCGCGGGTTGTCGTGTCAACTCTCAGCAACGGCCAGGGCTGGATGCCACCAACTTGCATCAGCGCTGCATCGCGACGACCGTTGACGAGCCCCTGATTTTATTTGCTCGTTTGCCGCACTCTCTCTTTTCTTGCGGTGAATCGCTTTGTGCTCGCTGCGAGTGCTTGGCTTTGACGGCGTGTTATTTTTTTTTTCTTTTTTTTTTTTCGCCTCCCACTTCTGCCTCTGTGGACTCCCGCTTTTGTCCCCTAGGCCGTTTTCATCCACCTACCCTGACGCGACACAGCACATATATCACCATCGCGCCTCGTCGCTAACTACTCCACCTTGTCCTCTTTTTCCCATCTCCCCTCCTCTCTATCATCTCTCTATTGTCGCCGCCATGGTGACCTTCGCCCTCCCCGGCGAATATGACGGCGCGGATGTTGCCAACGGCACTCCCAAGTCACGTCCTCCTCTGCCCTTTGCGAAGCGCACTTACGTCGCGACGCCCTATGCCAACAAGCGCCTGTCAACGTCTGCGGCTTCGTCGCGCAAGCTGCTGATTACGCGCGATGAGACGATGAACCAGGACCCTGTGTCCTCGTCACGCAACAATCTCTTCAGAGCAACAGCCGTCGAGAGCCCTCCGACAAGCACCACCTTCTCTTTCACCAATCTCCCCCAGAGCACGATGAAGAAGGTTTTTGCTCCTGGCGTGACGCCCATGTCAAATCGCGTGTATCGCGAGAACACTGCTCGCGCGACGCCGCGCGGTTTGGCTGCTAACTCGTCAGACAAGGAGCTGTTCAACATGCGAATCTCATCGCCTCCTCCAGAGCTGACTGGCGAGGTCCTGGCGAACAAGGTTCCAAAGGACTGGAATTCTAAGGGATCCATCTACGCCGATCAGTTCTTGGCTCATCTCTGCCCTCCCAACCTCGACGACGAGCAGCGTCGCCAGTTCTTCTGCATTCTCGATCTACGTCGACTGAAATATGCCGCCAACGAGATCTTCACCAAGAAGAGCTGGAAGCTCAACATCATGAACTTTGCCAAGGAGTTCGAAAAGAGTCGGTCTATCATCCTGCTCCGATATGGACTTTACGAGTTCCAGAGCGTCAAGCCATCAAAGGAAGTTCTCAAGAGATGGCGACGAGAGCATGGCTTGCCCGATCCCGTGGAAGAGGCAGACGAGGAGGCTGCCGAGGCTCTGGACGGGACGCCAAGCAAGCCAGCGACTGCAAAGAAGCGCAAGGCTGATGACAACTTGTCAAAGGAGACTGTTGATGCTACTGAGAATGTGGCCTCGGCGGTTAAGCGAAGGGCTACCGTCAGAGATGAAGAAGACGAGCCTACGGCCGCTACCCCAGCTCCTATGAAGAACAAGAGAAAAGCCACCATCACCGAAGAGTCACCCGCCAAGCTGCAAAAGACGCCTTCTTCTTCGGCCAAGTCGCTCTTTGAGAAGATTGCCAACAAGCCGGCTGCAAGCCCTGTCCCCGTCAAGGCAGCTGAGAAGAATGCCGCCAACGGCAGACTCTCTCGCTCAGTTTTTACTAGCCTGAAGCCCCCGGCCAACGGCGTCAGCAACGGCAACATCTTTGGCTACCTTTCCGATGCCAGCTCTGCCAAGAACAGCGGAATCGAGGCTGATGCTGAGAGCGAAAGCGAGTCTGACAATGACGAAGAAGTCGAAGAAAGCCAGGAAGCCGGTCAGAGCGACGAACCTAGCGGTGCTAGTGACGCTTCGCCTCAAGTTGGATCCAACCTGTTCAACACTAAGCCATCAACCGCCTTTGGCACTGGTGTCTCTAGTGCTGCAGGTACCCGCGAGAGCACTCCGGGACGCAGCCTGTTCGAGCGCATTACCAAGGGCCAAAATGGACAGCCCATTCGGGCTGATGAGAATGCAGAGGAGGTCATCCCCAAGGCCCCAGCATCATCCTTAAATCAGACCTGGAATCCTACCAGCACTCCCCTCAAGTTTGCCCCTCCTGCTGCTCCTTCTACTTCTCAGAACGGCTCGCTCTTCGGCAAACCAACTTCTGCTCTCGCTGGCTCCATCTTCGCACCCAAGAGCACCGCACCATCCAACATCTTCGGTGTATCTAAGCAAGACCAAAGCTCCAAGGCCAACACTCCTCTTTCAGAGACTGACGTGACTGGCGGAGAGTCTGATAAGGAAAACGACTCCCAGCCTGCCAAGAAGCTGTTTTCTGAACCCAAGGTGGCTGCCCTACCCAACACCACCGCCCCGTCCCTGTTTGGTTTCAAGCCCGCTGCGGCCGAGCCCGCCAAAGTGAGCGAGCCTGCCAAACCCGCAGCTACCACTACCAGCCTCTTTGGCGCCATTGGGAGCTCTGATGCAACCTCCAAGCTGTTTGGTGATGTCAAGACATCAATCCCTTCGGCGCCTACCTCCGCTCTCTTTGCTCCCAAGAAGGAGAGTGAGAAGCCCAAGAGCAACGGCCTGTTTGATACCTCTGACGCAAATGCGGCTCCCCTGACCGGCGCATCTGCAGCTCTCTTCGGCATTAAGCCAGCAGAGACGCCTGCTCCCGCTGCCGCTCCGGCCCCCGCTACCAGCCTCTTTGGCACTGCGTCTTCAGCTCCTGCAACTACTGTTCCCGCGGTTTCGACCAGCTTGTTTGGTACTGCAGCCCCTGCATCTACATCAACCAACCTGTTTGGATCCGCCAATTCCAGTTTCACTTCTGAGCCTGACCAGTCAACGCCCGCTCCCACTACCACCAACTTGTTCGGTGCTGCTTCGTCGGCTCCAACAACTTCCCTTTTCGGCGCCTCAAGCTCTGTGGCGTCTAAGAAGGATCCTTCCCCCTCTGCCACAACCCAACCCGCGTCCGCGCCTCTGTTCAGCTTTGGCACATCCGCAGGCCCCAAACCCACTGAAACCTCTCAGGCCGCTGCCAAGTCTCTGTTCGGCGCTCCCAAGTCCCCTCCCGCTGCATCTTCCAGCTTGTTTGCTGGAAGTCCGATGAAGCAGGATGCGGCGTCGCCGGCTAAGAAGCAGTTTGGTCTCGGCACTGATACTTCGGCCCCTCCTCCGGTGTTCAGCTTCGGCTCAACTGGCGCAAGCTCAGGTTCATCAAACCTGTTTGGTAACCCTGCGCCTTCTGCGCCTACTCCGGCTCCTCTCTTTGGCGCCACTCCTTCAAGTGCCCAATCGGGATCTAGAGACAGCAACAGTGGCAGCTTCAACTTCAACTTTGGATCTGGAGCAGCAGCACCCGCGTCCACGGGCGGCTTCAACAACCCTTTCTCTGGCAACACTGGGGGAGCCCCGGCTCCGGCATCAGCTCCTGCGCCCGTGTTCTCCTTTGGTTCTTCCGCTCAGCCAGGAGGAGGATCTGGTAGCTCTGGAAGCTCTGGAATGTTCCAGTTTGGCAACGGCACCGGAAGTCAGCCCTCTCAAGCATCAACGCCTTTGTTTGGCGGCGCCTCGGCCACGACTCCCAGCGTGCCGTCTTTCACTGCCACGGGGCCTTCAAGTCAACCGCCGACTTCCATGTTCTCCTTTGGAGCAAGCAGCCAGCCTTCCTCCGGGTTCAACCTCGCGCCGCCAGCCGGTGGATCCTCGACCACCGGGACAAGTAAGTCACCTTTTCCGAACCGGAAAATCGCCCCGCTAAAGCGTCGGGTCTAGACTCTCCATTCAACCTCGGGGGAGGCTCTAGCTTGGCAACCACACCAGCTGGCGGGACGCCGGAACCTTCGGCCCAACTGAAGACGAACACCAGCGCTGCTGAAAACAACGACGAGGAGGGCGAGAAGCATGAGCAGATCAGCCTGACAGAAGGCGTTGAGACGGATGAAGAAGTCCTACACGAGGTTCGCGCAAAGGTGCTGAAGTTTGTCCCTGCCGGGGAAGCGTCAGAGAGTGAGGAGAAGAAGTCCAAGAGTCCCTGGGCTACCAAGGGTGTTGGGTCCCTGCGCCTGTTGAAGCACAAGGAAACCAACAATGTACGTCTGCTCTTGCGAGCAGAGCCCAGAGGCAACGTCGCGATGAACCGCTCTGTACTGCCAGATTTATCGTACAAGGCGGATGAAAAGTATGTGAAAATGACTACGTCGAATGACACGGGTGACGGCCTCGAGACCTGGATGATCCAGGTGAAGACAAAAGACATGGCCAAGGCGTTGGCTGAATCGTTGGAGACGCACAAGGCGTTAAATAAGAAATAATGTGGAGGAGCATCATGTATTTTACGACTGGGCTGTTAATTAAGAAACGGAGGGGTGGGGGAGCTCGTGGGGTTTGTCCTTTTTAGCATTGCGGGCGTTAGAAAGCATTAAAGCTGGATGCAGTTTGGTTTTGATTTTTCGGCTGGGTTCTGTGAAAGAATGAAGCTCTATATATCCCACGGAGCAATCAAGCCTTTTGATTGTCATGATTTCCCTCTGCCCCCTTATCACCATCATGGTTCTGTAATAACATTTCTGTACTTTAATTGGGGGTGCTGCTGTGCTGGTTGGAGAGGTGAAGAGGCTTCTGTAGAAGAATTACCAAAAGTCAAGCGTTTGCAATGCAACAATTATTTGAATAGCTGTGAGGATCTTTTATGATGAAGTATTTGTTTTGTATTATAATTGATGTAAATGCTTCATTTTGAAGTTGTAGAGTCCCGTGTAGAACAAGCTCTCTCTCGTCCGTGGGGGCGGGGAGTCGCTATCGATAGCGGTACTTGTAGCGCTGCCAAATGCGCGTGGCGCGTCTGCAGCTCACTGGCTCTGTATAACCGCAACTAAACCTCCTACACCACAGCTCCCGTCGAGAGCTTGCAGCCCAACGCCAACAGCGATGCCACGGTACGACTTTTCGAATGCCCCGGGAGAAAATATGTTGATTGATGGACTGTGCTGACCTGTTTCTCCTCTTAGCGAGATCATCACCATCCAAGCTGGACAATGCGGCAACAGCAGTGAGTGTCATGCGCCTTCTGCCTCCCTCCTTTCGCTTGTTTGTTTACCGTATCGCGGGATCTATTTTTGGAGGGAATACAACGGGGAGGCTTTTGGGAGTTGTTTGTTGATGTTTACTTTTTACTGACCGGTGGGGGGGTTTTACTCCCTTTCTCTTGTATAGTTGGAAGTCAGTTCTGGCAGCAGCTTTGCCAGGAGCATGGAATTAGCCAGGATGGCAACCTGGAGGACTTTGCGACGGAGGGCGGCGATCGCAAGGACGTGTTTTACTACCAGAGCGACGATACGCGATATATCCCTAGGGCGATTCTGATTGATTTGGAACCCCGAGTATGTTTGCCCTGTCCCCTTCTCTATCTCTTCGCGATACGTCAATACTGGGAAGGGAGCAAGAGTGCTAATATGTGTTGGTTTTGTTTGTAGGTGTTGAACAGCATCCAGACGGGCCCGTACCGAAACATTTACAACCCGGAAAACTTTTACGTGGGGAAGAATGGAATGGGCGCGGCGAATAACTGGGGTGATGGATATCAGAGCGGTGAGGCGGTTTATGAGGATGTCATGGAGATGATTGACCGAGAGGCCGATGGCAGTGATTCGCTGGAGGTAAGAACATCTTTGGCCGTCCCCAGTCATTCATCGTATGCTAACTGGAACGGTATGATCTATACAGGGCTTCATGATGCTGCACTCGATTGCCGGAGGTACTGGCTCAGGTCTAGGGTCGTTCCTCCTTGAGCGGCTCAACGATCGGTTTCCCAAGAAAATTATACAGACATACTCCGTCTTTCCCAACACAACAAATGCCCCGGATGTTGTGGTGCACCCTTACAACAGCATTCTGTCCATGCGGAGGCTGACGCAGAACGCCGACTCGGTTGTTGTCCTTGACAACGGTGCGCTGTCACACATCGCAGCAGATAGACTGCACGTTCAAGAGCCTTCGTTTCAGCAGACAAACCAGCTGGTGAGTAGCGGCAATATGGATGATACTCTACTCATTTTACAGAGGATGAATGGCTAAACGATGTGGCTAAATATAGGTCGCAACTGTCATGTCTGCCAGTACTACTACTCTCCGTTACCCTGGGTACATGCACAACGATCTTGTTAGCATTTTGGCCTCGTTGATACCGACGCCGCGATGCCACTTCCTTATGACGGCCTACACACCATTCACCGGTGACCAGGTTGAGCAGGCCAAGACAGTCCGCAAGACGACGGTTCTAGACGTGATGAGGCGACTGCTACAGCCAAAGAACCGCATGGTGTCAACGGTGCCGGGCAAGAAGAGCTGTTACATTTCCATCTTGAACGTTATTCAGGGAGAGGTTGATCCGACAGATGTGCACAAGAGTTTGCTGCGTATCAGGGAGCGAAAGCTGGCCACATTCATCCCGTGGGGACCTGCCAGTATCCAGGTGGCGCTGACAAAGAGGAGTCCATATATGCCCATGAGCCATCGCGTGAGCGGGTTGATGCTGGCAAACCACACGAGCATTGCTACGGTTCGTCACTCTAGATATTGTCCCCTTTGCTATCTCCCCCCTTTTTGTCTGCTTCTAGAAACTTTCTCACGGTTACTGACGAATGATGGTTTAGCTCTTCAAGAGAATATTAAAACAATATGACGGCATGCGCAAGCGCAATGCCTTTATTGAGGGTTACAAGAAGACGGCGCCCTTTTCAGAAAACCTAGACGAGTTCGACGAGGCAAGGCAAGTAGTATCTGACCTGATACAGGAGTACGAGGCCGCAGAGGACGCAGACTACTTGAACCCGGACAACGGCGAAAAGGCCACGTCTGCCGAGACGGATAGGCGAATGGCATGAGGTGGAAACAGGCGCTTGGTTTTCGCGCCATATCATGATACGCAAACGGGAACTGTGTGCGCTGGATAGAGCGGACGGTTTCAAAGACCCCGACTGATATGACAAACAAATGCTGGAAGAATTGGAGCGGCCGGCGTTTAAGGCAAGGAAATGCATTGCGATATATCACTGTTTTTCTTCTTTCTGTTTTTGTTTTTTATCAGAGTAGCCAGCTGGCCAAGGCAAAATCTAAGCAAAGTTGGCATATTTTGGGATCCGTTTTGAGTATGATGCTTTTTTTCTCGTCATTAACGTCGTTAAGTCCAATCCAATCCTTATTTTATATCCTTTCCAAAGCCCCTTTTTTCTTCCTATTTACAGCGCCAACGCCTTGGTAGCCATCTCCATGGCACCCTCAAACGTCTTGTTACCGCCAATGAAGCCCGCAGCATGAACAAACACACAGCCGTCAACGCCCGCCACGCCGTCGAGCTCAGCGTCGCGGAAACCTCGCCAGGCCTCGGGCAGGGGCTTCCTGCTGGTGAAGCTGTCCTGGGTCTCAGGAACACACTGGATGCGCCACTTTGCGCCGGGCTGGGTGCTCTCCGCGTAGAGGACGTAGAGGACCGAGGGGTTGCCCTCGCCCTCGAGGCTGTAGAGGTGCTCCTTCCAGGGGACGCTCTGGCCCTCGAGGACGAGGATGCGGCCCTGGGGGTCGTGCTTGGTGCGCTGGTCGAAGGCGGCCTGGACGATGGAGCGGGCGGGCAGCCAGGCGTTTGTCATGAAGTCGAGGGTGCGCTCGAACTCGTCGCCGATGCGGGCGCTGGCCTTGAGGAAGAGGTCGTCCTCGGCTTGTTGGGCGGCTTGGGGGTCGGAGGGCTTGGGGTCGTTCCAGGCGGGGTTGAGGCGGCCGACCATTGCGCCGAGGGTGAAGCCGCCGGAGGAGAAGCGCTGCTCGATGCCCGCTGCGGCGAGGGCGTCTCTGTCGTAGCGCGAGATGCCGTTGTCGTGAGCATCGACGGCCTCGATGAAGTTTTCGTAAATCTTGTTGTACAGCAAATCAACGTCCGGAGCAGCCTCGTCCTCGGTCTTAAGCTTCTGAGCGATCAACTGTCGTCCAAAGTGCATGTAGACGAGCCCCGCGGACGACAGCTTGGTGTTCTTGCCCGGGAAAGTGGTGTCGAACCCGCGCTGGTGGTGGTCGTAGCGATTCCGCTCAGCGTCATATTCACCACCGACGTCGACGACGGTGTGGCACGTCTCGAGCGTCTTGGGGTCGCGCGTGCGCACGAGGGCGCTGTCGCGGTACGAGGGGAGCATGCGCAGCATGTGCACGGCGAGGGCCTCGTCGGCGTGGAAGTGGCCGTTGTGCGTGCCGACGAGGACGTCCGTCTTGAGTCTCTTGGGAGCGGATTCGGCCATTGTAGTGAGTAGGCGGCGGAACATAGACCTATGGAGGGATAATCTGGGGGGGAATGTTTGGGAGAAGAGGGAAGGAAAATGCCCTGGGCTTTGGAGATGATATGGTTTTTGGGCTAAAATTTTGGGAGGGAGAGAGGCGAGGCTGTGAGGGATTGGACCAATTGGGGGAGGGCATCCCCGCTGTGGGACCCCGCTGAGGAGACGAGGCTGCCCCTCTATTGCAGTTTGGTGGTGGTGATATGTTCTCCATCCATACTATTGTGATTACTCTAGTTGGTGCTGTATTTGTCGGATTGTGCCTCATGTTTCTCCTGGCTGTCACGTCTTAGATATTTACAGCATTTTTGAATTATATTTTCGAATTAGTTACGTTTATATGCGGCGCCAGCAGCTCTTCCTTATTTGCCCAATCTGCAACACAGCTGGCGAATTATCCATAGCGGCATTCAGTCCCCATCGAGTCAATGGCAGTGTTACTCCATATCAACACACAGCAGACACACAAATAATCTGAATAGGTACCTAGTATGTAATACGCACAGGTATGTGTAGGAGGTACGTGAATATCAAGTACATAAAACTATCGGCGATTGGAAACAATCTAGCAACAGTTCAACTACCCCATCTCGGACTCGCAAAGCAATGCAAGCACAAACAAAAATTGGAGTAGGTAGACAAGATAAGTGAAGAGAAAAATCGTCAAAGAATAAAAAGTCCCAAAAGAAGAAGAGAGATCACACAACATACACCAGTCTCTCGCCTCTCTCCTTGCCCATTCTTAAAATCACACAGAAATAAACGCAAAGCACCATGAAGAGGAACAAGGAAAAAGAACAGGTCCAAGACATGGCTTGTCCATTGGTACTTGAGGGTTAATTGTTCGTTTGTGGGTTTTCTCTTTTTTTTTCTGCGCAAGATTCATGTCGCCCGAGATTTGATAATGAACATTCCCTTCCGCCCAGTCCTAGTAAACGCCAATAATAAATCAGAAGGAAGAAAAAACTGAAGCAAGAAACTAAGGCTCGTCAAACAACAGAATTTTCTCATCCCACTTCCAGTCAATCCTTTCGTCTCAGTCTCTTCCACCTCACCAATCTCTTCTCTCCTCGTAACAAGCATCTTTCGTACATGAAATTTAAGCAAAGCAGGACGAACGAAAACAAGTGTGAAGAGAAAATCTCATTCCATGCATGTTTGATACGGCACATGTCGTCTGTGCCGCCTATCATGCCGCCTTCAAATAGAACTCCCCATAAAAAGTATTCCTTTTGCATCTCATTGCCTCCATACTACAATGTAGTCCCATCACATCGGCGGGTATATGTCGAATCTGGCTATGCATGCGAGGTTATTGCCGAACGGGCATGGCCTCTCCAGCAGCAATGGGTGCTGAAGTCAGTCCGGTGACGACAGGCTTGGCCTCGACGCCCTCGGCTGGCTGGTCCTGGTCCTTCTTCTCGTCACCGCTCAGCGTTACCTGGCCCTCGGCTGACGTCTCTCTGTTCAAGAAGCTGCCCTCCTTGACGGGGCTGCCAGCCTGGATGCCTGGGATCGATCCGCGGTGAGTGTGTCCGGGGGCGTTGGGGCCGCCGTTGGTAGGAGATGTCAGGTGGGGGATGTTCTCGGGGACGGGGTGCTGCGAGCCTACGGCGCCAGCGTCCACGCCGTCGCCCTTGCCGGCCTTGGACATGGCATAGTCGCCCGAGTCGAAGTATTTGCGGTCCTTGAGGTGCTTGGCGAAGTGGTCGGATCGGGAGGGCAGCTTGCCGTAGAGGCGGAAGAGACGCTGCTCATCCGGCGAGAGCGACTAAAGGGCGCAATTTGGCGGGTTAGCATATACGTGGCCTTGAAGAGCGATGCGATCTTGATGCCGAAACATGATTTTCCTTTGCATTGCTCGTGTGACTCAACATGGGGGGCGGTCAAAGTTGCCAGCAGCGTCATGGGCTTCCCATCTGGCCTTTGCCTGGCAATTTACCCCAACGCTGGGCCAAGCGGAGGAGGGGTAAGGGAACGGAACAGCATAGGACAGGCAATGGTGGCTCTCACATTGATGTCGACCTTGTTCTTCTGGTGAGGGTTCATGATCACTCGAGTCAAAGGTCAAACAGAGGTATTCGAATCGACTTTGTCCTCAGACCGCTCGTCGCACTGGCACAAACAAACGAGGGCAGTCCAGCTCTAGGGCCTCGGGAGAAGTCGTCGAGTTTCGTTGTGCGTTAAAGCGTCAAGAGGGGCGGATGCGGGGGAACAAAGGGCCAGTTGAGTCGAGTTGAAGAGGGGAAAAAAAGAAGGAGAAGAGTCAAAAGAGAGAATCGGGAGTTTCGTTGGATAAGAGGAAGAAGAAGGGGGGAAATATTGACGTGAATAAGAAAAATAAAAATAGTCGGTCCCTGAAGGGTCAGGTTAGGTAGTGTCTGCTGCATACACCAAGGCCAAGGTACTGACTGTCACAAGAGGGGACAAGGAACAAGGAGCAGGTGATCCAGTTGATCGATGGGCCTTTGGGCGGCGTTTTGGTTGGCTCGGCAGTGGCTGAAGCAGCTGCAGCTGTAGCTTCAATGCTCCAAAATGCGCTGTGCTGCTACTGCCCAATGCAATACCCGTCCACTTGATTGATCTTCCGTTTCGAGGGTTGATTGATTTGCATTTACAGTGTCGATTCATTTATTCATTTCAATCCCCCTTTTAATTTTTTTACTCGATTTTTTTTTCTCTCCCAAACTATTCATCTACGGGTAGCTTATAACTGGGAATGTGTCACTGCTAGTACCTAAGCTGAGCTACCTACTAAGCTCAGGTACTGCTATGGAACCCAGCTGCATTTGATACCTGCCCAACAGTGGGTTCTTGGCTCCAAAGTGCGGGCTGAATGTTCTCTGCGTGACGGAGCATTGTGCATGAATCTACCTAGCAATTACCTATCTCGTAAGTAGAATGCAATTCGTCGTACTGGTACCTGATAGAGGTGTTGAGAACGGCACTTGTCCGGTAAATGCACTCTTGTTTCATTTCATGCATTGGGAGGCGCCGACGAAGAGGGGTTCGGCGATCAACTCTTAGCATCGACAAGAGACACATGAGGTCAGCGTGTTTAACCGGATACAAGGACAAAGAGACAGAGCTGTTACAGAGCACCATTATGCATCCCGAGACAGCCAATACCTTAGAAGAGACACACACAATCAAGCTGCGATGCCGTCACCACGCACTTCGCCTTCGTTCTGAAACAGATGGGGGTCCTAAAGGAGGGTCATTTGTGCCCACAAGGGTCCTTGTGTCCACTGGATCGGAAGTGTTTAACACTTATCTTACCTCTATCCACTCGGGGACATGTCCATCTCGCAACAACCTAACATAGATGTACTGTAAGGCACACTGGACTGGCCATTGATTAGTTTAAACCGCCTCGTACTGTAGCAGTTGCCTCAGTCATCGGCAAAGTCGTGAGCAAGCTTCGGTGACACTTTGTTTGAATATGACGTAATCAATGGCACGCTCTCCACCTGTCCAGTCACCAAAGCCGAGTGACGTCGTGCCGTTTTATGACGCCGTTCTCGTTCTACATACTGTCACTGTAGAGTGCATGTCGGCTGGAGGCATGCAAGTTGGCTGGTTGTCGCTGTCAATACTTGATACAAATGTTTGATTCTGAGCAACGCACCATAAGTAGGTAGGAATCGATATGAGGTTGGCATAATTCACACTGCCACCATCTTCCACCTTTATCCAAATGTGCCATTTGCTTTCTAGGCCAGAACGGGCCAAAAGTCAAAAAGACCCCCCATGATCCGGGTATTCGATGGCCATACGCTCACCAGTCACAGCCATTCTAAGACGCAAATCTCGCCCTAGAGCAAATACGATGGCCAGTCAAATCGCCCATAGCTGTGATGCCCCTCCCTCCTGGCTCTCGCCCTTTACCTTGCGCCCTTTAGTCTTGGGTTGTGCGTGTTGCAAAATGGGCGGACCAAAAGTCAATTGACGTGACTTGACACCCGCCTTGTTCTGCCTTTATCCATTGGGCAAGGCCTGCCACTGTCCAGCACACTGGGGCGTTGGAGAAGCTGCAGACACTTGGTTGATAGAGTTTCATACTTGCCCTTTCACCCAGTCTGCTCGCACATGGCCAGAACTGCCGCATTCCTCGAGTTATAGACAAGAATATGCGGCAATTGCCAGGTTGGTTTCGTTTCATGGAGGGCCAATCACAGGTAATGCATGTGTACATGCAGCCTTTATCAGCCCTGTGAAATAGTATCGGAACCATAGTGAGAGTTGAAGCCCATTCTATTGCGGCCGATCCCACCGGGTCATCCCACAAGCCGTACCTGCGGAGTTTGTGACAGAACCCGGAGCGTACTGTACTGTCCTGTACGAACCCTGGCTTTGCAGCTGTTGCATGGATTGGATTCCTCTTGGTAATGAATACTGCCGCAGGACGCATAGACCCGGTGCGCTACGGAGATAACAGAGGAATATTGATTAGGATTTCGTGCTTGGTCAGCTTCTCCACGTCGGCACAGCATGGCATTGCATCGGCATGGCATGGCATGGCATGATATGATGTGCAGAGCGGAGCATCGAGACGGTGAGGTGAGCCACGGTGTGTGCTCGGTGTGCGTCGTACTCCGACTGCTACGGTAGAGAAAGAAGAGTAAGGTTTTATATGGGCGTCTCATATCTCCCTTGCATCGACTGCAGGTCAATTGAATGCATATCGTACCATCACCATAGCCGAAGTGGTGGTGTCTCTTCTCGGCGTCTAGCGCGGCTTGCCCGATTCTCACTATTCGCCTCGGCTTCGGAATGCCAATGAGCCTGGCCGATGGTGTAACACACAGCCAAGACTGCTCGGGGGACGAAATCCGCATCAAAGGACTCGTCCCTGTGAGCCGTCTGCAGGGTTTGTCTGGTTTACATGATATATGAGTGCATCACGTTCAGCACATGACGCAATGCATCCGTTGCATGTTGCCATCGCCAGCTGAGAGATGGGTGTGTTTCTCCAAGGAGTAGAGGCATGGGGGCAGTATTACTGACATTTGATGTTTACATCTTTCCCTGTGCAAAGACAAGGAGACAGAAATAGTTATAGTAGTGTGCTAGCATTCCTTATTAATAATTACTTTAGTTGGGGAAGGTAGTTGTGGTCGGCTCTGTATTAATTTGCGGAGTTTGAGGAGAGTCGGCAATAACTCCCCGTATGACAGTAAAAGTAACATCAACAAACGCCTTAGATTTGACATAAACTGCACCCTACCGCCTTATACAAATCATTAAATGCCCGATTTCTTCTCTTGCCCCGTCTGGCCCCGTCGTCCCTTCCCGTAGCAGCGTACTTGCTCCTTCCCCGACAAGCCGAGCGCGAGGAAGCGACGTTCCAGCTCCGAAGCTTGGATTTCTAAGCTTTCACAAATTTTCGGCCAGCAGCTTCCCGCCCTGTGGCTCCACTGCGTATTGACTACGGATCACCTCTTTGGTTGGGCGAAGCGGAGAGAGAGAGAGAGATTTATTATGGTACCTACCTAGTACCTGGTTATATCATTTTTGACGTTACTTTAGTCTGTTTTATCATATTTTTCTTTATTCTTTTCCTTCCTTCTTCTTGCCCTTTATTGCCTAGCTAGGGCACTGTCTTGTTGTGTAGCTACTAGTTTTCAGCCGTAAGTAGAGGTGGGGGAGAATGAAGATGAGAAAGAGACAAAAAAAAAAAAGCATGACACCTGATTGGACCTATAATAAATAAACCATCACCATCCCATCCTCAACGTGATCCAACTCATTTCCATTATTCATCTTTCCCCCAGATCTCCAATAGTCTAGCCACTTGTGATTCCAGATTAGATCTATCTCTGCTTTTTGCTGCCTTTTTCGCCTGTCTTACCCCCCCGTCCCGGCGTGGCTTTTGGCGCCCTTCTTTCTCCGGAGTGGGGGCGACCGTCTCTAACAAGTTCGAGATTTTTTTTTTTCTGCTTAAGTACATCAACCCCGGCATCGCCATCGTCTGTTGGATTGATCTTCTCTTCACCGGGTCCGGGCTTGGTCATAGCTGCCGACCTGCTTACCGCTCCCCGTGGCTCTGTGACGCTTAATAATTCAGCCGGGTTGGTGCGACGACGACTTCAAAAGCTCGTCGTTTACCGAGTGGTCGGAACTTCCCGAGGAGAAAGAAAATCGTCTCCCTCATCGGATTTTTCATCTTCGTTCTCTTCGCAGCGTCTTTGGAATCACTGCTGTCTCCGCCGTCACTAGTGGCATCTAGGGCAATCTTTTATTCTAGTTAAATTGCCCTTTGCAGCTTCAGAGCATCTCGCACTCGGCTCTTGCCATCCCACCCAATTGTTGAACCATGGGTCTCTTGTACGTTGTGCTCCAAATCGTATTGCAACTACTGATTGGCTAATGAGTTTCGGTTGAATAGAGCCCTTGGAACGGCACTGGAGTGGCCAGAGGCCAAGTTGCGCGCAAACCAAGTGAGAGAATGGGGCATCAAGGTTGGTTGGCTCTGCTCCTTTTACTCTCTGGTTTAAGACAGCCTCTGACATTACTACAGCAACTACTTGAGATCTGGAACAAGGCCAAGGGCAAAGAACGGGATGCCTTGCTATGGGGAGATGAGGTTACACGCCCTCGGTTCAATCTGGCAGTACGCCGCTCTCCATAAGTTACTGACAAGAGTTTAGGTCGAGTATCTTGTTGTAACGTACTCAGAAGATGAGCCAAAAGTGCTTTTGTCTCTAAGACAAGCTGAAATTCTTACGGCCCTTGCAGCCGATAAAGAGCTTGCAGAGGCGGGATGTGTGCCTGCGCTTCAAGACGAGCTGCCTGCCGGAAAGCCTACCGGGAAGCAAAGGTAGGCTATCAGTCCTTTCCTACGCTTTTCGTCATAATCTGACTCAAATCTTGTAGCAAACCCTCCAAAGTAACACTTCCCGTCTTTCACCCAGAGTTTGGCCGCTTCATGCTTGAGGCCACGCCAGGAAAGCCGTGGGGCATTGGTTTGAAGGAGCTACTTGGCGTTGAGCCTGATATGAAGCTCCGGCGAAAGATTGCCAAGGAGCATATGCTTTCCACCGAGTACCCCATTACTCTGACGACTTTCCCCCAGATCGGAGTTCCGGGCCAATTCACTTACCCGTTTTACCCTCCATCCGGACCAAAGCTCCGGTCACAGTTTGTGCCCGACGAAATCGCCAATCCCCACATCCGCTTCCCAACGCTGGCCGCCAATATTCGCTCCCGAAGGACTCGTAAAGTGCAAGTCAATGTCCCCATTTTCCATGACAAGAACACTCCAAACCCCTGGAAGGACCCCACCGTCAACTACGACTTACACAACTGGCCTGAAGACGATGATGTACGCAATGGAGCCGCCCCAGACAACTTCATTCACATGGACGCAATGGCTTTTGGAATGGGAAGCTGCTGTCTTCAAATTACTTTCCAGGCCAAGAACATTGTCGAAGGTCGGGAGCTGTACGATCAGTTGAGTCCTCTGGGCCCCATCATGCTGGCTTTGACTGCGGCAACGCCTGTTTATAAAGGCTTCCTGGCGGGCACTGATGTGCGGTGGAATCAGATCAGTCGTGCGGTCGACTGCAGAACACCAGAGGAGCTCGGTGAAAAGGTAAGCCAGGATTTTTCTCCCCCTTTGCAGGGAAGAAACCTATGGTGTCTCTCCCATAAATAGATGTCTGTAGTGCTGACTCGCAAACTTATACAGCCCCTGAAAAATGATCGCTGGAGGATCCCCAAGTCCCGATATGCCTCCAATTCAACGTACATCTCGACGAACCCTCGACTCCGACCAGAGTACTTGGATCCCGATCTGGTCATTGATCCTGAGATCAAGGCCAAGTTGATCGAAGGAGGCATGGATGATCGTCTGGCCACTCATTTTGCTCATCTCTTCATCCGAGATCCCATCGTTATCTTTGAGGAGGACCTCCAAGAGCTTGACTTGACAAAGACTGACCACTTCGAAAACATCCAGTCGACTAACTGGCAGCACATGCGGTTCAAGCCTCCGCCAGCTGACAACAATATTGGATGGAGAGTCGAGTTCCGGTCGATGGAGATTCAGGTGACCGATTTTGAAAACGCAGCCTTCTCTGTCTTCATGGTTCTAGTTACAAGGGCCATCCTCTCATTCGACCTCAACTTTTATATCCCCATTAAGAAGGTGGATGAAAACATGGAGCGTGCCCACGGCATAGATGCTGTTCTCAAAGAGAAGTTTTACTTCCGCAAGAACCCATTCCCACCTCGACCATCGCGCGCGAATACTGCCTTTGGGGATGATAGTCGGCCAGGCTCCGCGATGCCCAGTCGACCCGGTTCACCCGGAAGCCTCCCTGTAGAGGAAGAGTACGAAGAGATGACGATTAACGAGATTATCAACGGTTCCGTCGACGGAGATTTCCCAGGATTGATTCCCATCGTCGAAAGCTACCTTGACAGCGTCAACGTGGATGTGCAAACCCGATGTGAGCTTGCAACATATCTCTCTCTCATTAGCAAGCGAGCAAGTGGCGAGCTCGATACAGCCGCGCGATGGATCCGCAACTTTATCGACACCCATCCCAACTATAAGCACGACAGCGTTGTTGATGATACCATTACCCATGACCTCATTGGATCTGTCGTGGCTATTGGTGAGCGGGAAAGCGAGGGCAGAGGCTTCGCTGGATTGGACATTCCCGGATTTTCCAAATTCCTGGGCAAGTTCAGAAGCAATGGGCGGGCAGTGAGCGGGCAGGCTGAGAATGCACCTGAGGCCGGACTTGGGTCACGGAAACGAAAGAGCGAGTGGATAGACGGAACAACAGCAGAAGTTGGAGCATAATATGACATGAAAGCACGGAGTTTGGATATTGCCCTGCTGAGAGCAGGTCATCTGGCGATTTAATCCATGGGATACCAAGCATATAATTCTTTCTTATTCTATCTCGACGTAAATGACAGAGATTATTCATCAAGTTATCATCATGGCTTTCTTTTATGATTGGACAGGTGGGCTGCCGATTATGGAGATATCATATATAAACTGTTCACGAATTCCAGTTGATTGGCGGACTGGTTGGACATTCTCTTTCTTTTGAACGTACAAAGCTCAAGGGCGAAAACTGCAAACAAAGATTTACTGGCATTTGGCGCTATGATGATGAGATAAGATGTCCTAAACTATCCTTGAACATCATTTGGCAACCTCCATGTTTGTTGAAGGACCGTCCATAGCCTGGCCATATATATGTGTGTGTGTGTGTTGTATGTGTTATAGATCGTCAAGTCTTCAATCATATATGGAGATGCGAGATTTCTTTTCTTGAAAACGACGCGATTCGTAAACTCATGCATGTCATCTATTCGATTCGATTCATGTGATGAGTAGTCCGAGTAGGATCTTGCTATTTGACCAGCCCATAGAAGTTGCAATTTTCCAGACTGTCGACGAGATTTCATCACTAGCCATGAAGATATATCGCTTGCCATTTAGAATAAACAGCTTCTCTGTGGTTATTATAGGGTATATATGGGCTGCGCTTGTACATGGCACACACTTCATCATCGATATCAATGCCATGTTGTCTTATACAGGGAATAGGCCCACGGATAATGATAGACTTTAGATGAGACCTTTGTGTAATAGAACCCTTTTCTTGTATCTGTTGTATCTGTTGAAAAGAGCAGCCTTTTCTTGAATATACCAATTAATGTGATAGGTTTTAACACAATACAAGCTACAGAGAAGGAATAGTCAAGAAGTTATGGCAACACTACCTCTACACTGGTACTATCACAAGCTTACCTCACTTTCTTCTCTTCTCAGACTCAGTATTCCACAAACTCTTCTTCTTGACGATACCATTCCCCAGCTCCCACATACTTCACCTATACTTCCATATCATCTCATACCACATCGCATCACGTCCCCAGCAAACAACTTCGCAAAAGGCAAGAAGAAACGCTCAATACTTGCCAGCCCAGTGCTCGTATATCGTCCAACTGAACACTCCAACGGTAATGTCTCACAGCCGCGTAAAAGCGGCATGCAAGAATCCACCAATCCACCCAACTCTGCTACGTCGACACCCGTTTCCCATCTCGATGCTGTCTCACTTTCTTTTTGGCGCCCGAAGCTCTGGTCCAATAGAGAGACATACACACACATGAGCCGCGAGATCTACTCCCTAGTTTCAGGGATTCTCCTACCAAAGCTGACATCAGATCTCTTTGTATCGACACACATTCCAGATGTCCCATCTGCCTAGATATCCGTCTTGAAGTAGTCACAACATTGTTTAGACTATCCAAGTAGTGATCCTTGAGTTCGTATCGTGTATGGCCTCCAGTTTCCCTCTGGCTGGTGTGGGTGTCAAGGAAGATGGATGGACAAGGATTGCATCTCCCACCGCAATGGTAGCGCATTCAAAGAGAGACTAGTCGAAATTATAGTGTAGCAGCGTAGTGTTTGTTTAACGCATGTCTCAATATCCTGGATGGTAAATGCGAGAGCGGGCGGACCGTTCATATCAAGACACTCGGCTCCGACGAGGCAGCCGAACGGTGTCCGACAACAAGATTGGGCCATTGGCATCTCATTCTGGCCCCCCCTTGCGACAAATACTGGAAGCGACGTCGCCGTCCATACTGACTCGGTTTATTTGCTGTCAAACAAAGGCTGGAATGAACCCCGTCAGGTGGTCTCTCCGGCCCATGTTTCGGAGGGGAACCCGATTTGTCGGTCAAGAGCATTCCGAAGAGGACCCCTTTCCCAAAATGCCTTGTCTCGGGTGTGTTTCCCGCTCTGGGAGTTTTCCTTTCCTTGATTCAGAGATGTGTCAGATGATGCTACGATAATAGAACCTTGTTGGTGGAGAAGAAAGAACAAAAGGTGTCAGTCAGGGGTATCGGACGTCTCTCTTTGGTGTCTTACCCTCTATTGGGAGCGCGTGGCATTGGACACACGATATTACAAACATGTGAGTCCTGATACATCCCGTCTTTTCCCTCATTTCCTCTTTGGGAACATTCCTCTGAGCTGGGAAGAAAGAGAGACAATCTTACGTTTTTTGGCGGTAGCGCCAGGCGGGCTTCATTGCCAAGCTGTCAGTGATGTCTTGGTAAAAACAGAGACATGGATGGGATGGGATAGAAAACGACACTATTATTGCCCAACATACGAAGCACCTGTCTCGGCTTTGAGCTAACCCCGTATTGATATTTGAAGCACACTATTATTATTCAACATGGTGAATACTCGGTGCTGGATTTTCATATGTTGACTTACCTCAGTACACCATTGCGGCCCGTACAGTAAGCAATAGGGATTGTGAAAAGGGGGGAGGGGGCATAACAATTGGTTCGCCTTAAAAAATTCTAGACTGTTAGAAGGACGACGTACGCAGGATACCGCTATGATTTTTAACGGAACCATGCGTACGAACGCCTGCACTCGTGCCGCTGTGGAAGCCAAAAGCTCCGTTTGCTTCCTCAGCTGTGGACCATACTTGCGCGTTTTTGGCAGAGGCGGGCTGCACTATGGGCATGCCGAAAAGCACTAGTTTGTCGGCTCGGACGATTCCAGGACACCGTAGCGATGGAAAGCACCAGATGCCACCGATCGTATTAGCCCAGGAACTAAGTGGGCGTGTGTGTGCGTGATGACTGCTAGATGAAGCTCGGCTGAGATGCGATCCATGGAGCATGTCTCATCCGTCACTCCACAGAATGTCACAGGTGGAGCACAATAACCAGCCAGTGGGGAGGGAACCGCAAACACGAGAGTAAGAGCCAAAAGCCAAGTGAAGAAATCAAACCAAAAGATCGTATGTTTTGAAGCTGGCCGCAGGAAACCACCAGTTGCTTGTTTGACAGGGCCAAACCACTGGATTTTGTGTCTTGACAATTCACAAACTTGCAAAGGCAGGATCAGGATCAGGATCAGGATCCAGAAGGGGGGCGTGAGAACTTTGCCGCCGGGAGAGATCTCGCGGCAACAAAGAGTGCCCTTCTGATCTGATCTGATCTGGCCTCGCAAAATTAGGGGCGATCTGCGGTCATCCATTGGGGCAGGACACAGGTCGCTGGGACAAAAAGGGCGTGCGACGTGTACCTATCATGGAGGCGTGCCTGTATCAAACAATCAGATGCGGTGGGCAAGGTCTCCTTACCGGCCGCCTCACTCAAAAACGCACAGAGTCACCGTCCGTATGGTTGGAGCTGGAGCTGGAGCTGGACGCCGACCATCTGCCACTTTCATCTCCCTTACCTCTGGAAATGATGCCCGAGCGGAGAAAATTGTCCGGCTGGCCTCGATGGCTCGGGCCCATGTCTTGGGTTGCTTCAGCCGCAATCCCCAGTCGACGTCACCGACAGAGGGGATGCGACGGTGGCCACGTGCCGGCCTCGCTGTCAAAGGGAAGAAGCAAAGGAATGAAGATGGAGACGGGAAGAGATGCTAAACATAGCAGTAACACCAGCGATACTTTGCCATGGCACCTGATTGCATCTCCAGGGGCATAAGTAACAAGTATACTCGTATCTCGCACACTTGTGCAAGTAGGGTACGTGTTAGTGTGTAGTCGCATCTAAATATGCACCTTGTGTTTGTCTCCGGGCAGATCCCGTTGGCCCACTGTGCGGCTGAAGGTGTTGGCGCGCTCATCGAGTCCCCCCATCTTGTTTCGGCGATGCCCAGTCGAGCCAGTAGCTTATCTCGCCGAACCTGCATGGCTGGAGGAATCGTCGGCGAAGTGGTGTTCCATTTCATTAATGCGGGCTGGCTTTTCCCAACGCATTCGCCTGCCCCAGATATAGGATGGTCCCCTCAGGGATCCTTGGTTGGATAGATGTACTCCATTCTCTTTGTACATCACTCGATGCCTGACGGCCAAGGACTCTCGTGACAAGTGAGCGAGGTTGTGACAACGTTTTCTTTGTGCGCGGCAACGCAACGGGCCTCTAAGGAACCCCCTTTCTATTCAACCAAAGTCCGAATCCCCTGTCATAATCTGAGTCGATCTTACTTCCCATGTGCTCAAACTCCCTTGGACCCCATGGATCGGAGCCCCCTTCGCAGCGGCGTGAAAGTAAAAGTGATTCAGTGATGCCACCCCTTCCGGGAAACGCCCACCCACTTATGGCGTAGTGCTTGCGTGTGGAAAGGTTTCAGTCTTGTGTGCAATCCCGAATTCCTGTCGAGTGGAATCGGATGCTAATCAAGGGTAGCCCCCTCGCATCGGACCCGTAGTAGAAATTGTACGCGTACTTGAAAGTATTATTGCACAAGCAGACAGGGCCGCAGAGTAGACAAAGAAAGGCACAACAAACAGCACGTTTTGGGTTGTACAAGTACAAACGACACTGCGTGGCCAAGCCAGCTCCGCTCGTCTTCTGCGTCTATCCGCTGACCGGCCGTTTATACGAGACGTCGTCGATTACACGAGGCGGCGCGTGTCAGTGGCAGCCGCAGCCGGGGCGCCAAGTCGCTCTGCTCTGCTGTCAAGATGGCGTTTGTCCATGGACGGCAGCGTTGCTTTCTTCCGAATCACTTTCGCTGTTGCTCTTGTTCGTACACCGATCGGAAGATGGAAGAGGCCGCCAAGCTGAACAGAGGCCATGGCTGAGACTCTGGACCCGCGTGGCTGGCTGCGGGCTCACATGAATGATGAGAAGGAGTCGGTACCCAGCAGTTCTCGACGGCAATCATTGGCTGCAGTATCCCAGCGGTGGCTTGACCGTTGAAGTCTCGATGCCTTTGTACCAGGAATAATATCCAAGGGGAGGGGAGGTGACAAGGTCAAGGATGAGATGTGCGGTCTGTCCCGAGCGAGGAGGGCAGCTGAGCTTGGATCGACACCCAGCGGTTCCTTTCCCGTCCTAACCTTGTCACTTGATATGAAAGTACAGGTACATGTACTGTGATCTGGACAAATTAAGCTACTATAGGTACCTGAGCAGGAGTATTGTACCCATCAACACTTTGAATCATATTAGCCTGTACTGGATATGCCCAGTAAACTACTGCACAATGTAATATACGAGTGCCGTAGTCGACGGGGCCGAGAGGCGAAGCAGTGGATTAGGTATCTCATCGTAAATTGATCTGGTAACTACGGAATGATTCCTAAAGCACGTACTCGTACGATTAAAAAGCAAAGGGGGTGCACCAAGTAACGCTCCCAAGTGCCTGGTCTACCTACTCATACTTGGTCGATCAGGGTCTGGTATGAATCGTGCTCTACCGGCAGATACAGTCGTATCCAGGTAGAAACGGCTCGAGATTCCCTCTCCGGCTTCTCACGAAAGCCAAGAGAGGGATAATCAAACATTGGCCCTCAGCTTTCGGCCCTTGCTGCCGCTGAGCTCGGCTCGTCACATGTGCTCACGCCCCCCCTTGGGGTTGCGCAGCATGAGGCTTGGAAGCCATCAAACGGCCATTCACATGATACACACGCGCACCCGTGCATATGTGCTTATAGCTTACTTGTCCGGTATGCACATGTACATGTATATTATATTGTATACATTACATTCATGCAACGCACAGCACAGCACAGGTGGTACAGCCTTTCTAGCGCCTGCATATGCCATGATGCCCAAAGGTAACCCCAAGCGCTGGGCAGCGGGCGCTCTCCCCGGGATTTGACGGAAATGAGATCAAGATTGACTGAGATCAAGGCTGGGCTCTTGGTCGTCTTTGCAGCAAGCTAGTCTCTGCGTAACGGGCGCGATGCAACCGCCGTCGCTACGAAAACCAACGGCAGCCTGCGATGGCATGGATGTGCCCGATTCTCGGTCAGCAGCCTGGCCTATCCTGTAAGAGGCCCTTTGTTGAATGGCTTGCTTGGCCCATGGTAGTACGACACCAATTATCCCCCAGGTCACAAAGGAGGATGGCTGCCACGTAGGGGACTTGCAATATATCCAAAGCGAGCCGAGCAGCATCTGCCGCGCTCCTTGGGGATGTGATGTGATGGGATGCAAACGGTGCAGTATGAGACGAGACGAAGAGCAAGGCTGTGCCTGGAGTGGACACCCATGATCGCTGCAGGGTGTTTGTTAGCCATGGACGGCGATCGAGACCAGGGACAGGGGGGCCTGGTTGGCTGGATTATTTGCCGACGAGGCAAGAATCCAGTACAGCACAGCTTCGGGTGTAGGCATGACAATGCATGCTCTTTGTCTGCTTCTGGATGGACACGCATCTTGGTGCTTCAATTGTTCACTCGCTTTACTCCGAATGGTGTTATTTAACGACTTTGGTACGATGCAAGTACACATAGAAGGCTTACAGTACCTACGATACACGTAACTTTCATCCTCATCACCTCGAATTACACATCACCCCCTCGGCAACGACATCCGTATTCCGTATAAACCTCACAGATATAAACGAGCAACAACCCAAAATTAAATATATCTCAGCTCGCCAATCCATCAATCTCCCAAACGCTCCACCCCCTCCAAAAGGGAGAGAACAAGAAACAGAACGGCAAGCCCCAGCCCAGCTATTCCGGCGCGCCACAAAAAGCCACCTGGACAGGGATATCCGTGTTGTGCTCGGTTTGCCAAAACCACACCGGGTGCGAAGCTACTTTGCGCACTGCATACCAGAAACGGAATTGCTTTTTTTTTTTTTTTTCTTTTCCTGCGAGAATGAGAAAACAAGACCCCCCAGTACGCGTACACACACGAGAAAAAGAAAAGAAAATAAAATTATGACGCAGGGAATAGCTCGTGGCATTGCCATGTTTCTGTGCTTCCGAAGGTCGACGCTCCGGGTTGACGCCACAGCCCGGCAGCTTTCTTCTTTCTTCTTCTTTTTTTTTTTTTTTTTTTTTTTTTTTTTTTTTTTGCCCCCTTGCCGCTCAACGGGCTTTTTTAAACCACGGCAGCTAGCCTCGAAGCATGGATAATGCACACCAAGTGCTACCGAGAAAGCATCTACGAACTACCGTGGTTTCTTTTTTCAGCTAACGGCTCCCTTGTATGTTCGTGATATAGTACAGAATACTGTGTTGTAGACTTGAATCGTGACAGATGCTCCAACCGAGCTGACTGACTCAACCTTCTCCTATCCATTGCAGCTGTATCACAAACCGTACAATGGCCCATACCCAAAAGTCTCATCCTCACATACAAGCTCATCTATATCCAACTCTACGCATGCCCTTGCCCCCCCTGCTCATGGCCCATGGTCCCACGGCCGTCGTGCCACAACAACGCCTCAGTCCAGCGTCACTCCCTGTTTAGAAGTCGGTGGTGAGCCGTGACACGTTCTTGTTCAATAAGCCTTGTGGAAGCCAAACGCACGAGCACAAGAGCACAGAGCACAGAGCACGAGCAAAGGCGTGCCACAGAGCAACCCAGAAAGCAACACAAGAGTTCAAGATTCCGCGTCTTGTGTCCGATGAAGTCCAGCAGGCTCCCCGCCTGTCCGATCTTTCCGCGCGCCCCTCTCTAGCCTCGTACGACTTTTCGCAGAAACCCAGCCGTTGTTGCCAGAGAACGAACGGGGGGCGAGCAAGGTTCAAACTCGTTGGTTCTTTGGGTTTCTTGTCCCTGTTTCATGCAATGCACTCCGGGCGGCGGCGCATGGAGCAACCGTCGTCGTCTTGTTTCCTCCATCTCGGCTGCTTCCAGCTCACTGGCCACTACCCCCCCTCACCATCCCCAATCCCATGGCCTATCTCTCGCCCATCTCTCCCTTGCATGTTTGCCGGAGCCACCTCCCGGCCCGTGGCTTTTCTCTTGATGAGATGTGACCAGTCCTTCGCCTCCAACGCGGCTGCGAGCAAATGCCAACGCATGGGGATTGGCGCCAGAGTAAATCGTACGAGGAGTAGTAGCGTCCACAGCGCTTCCTACTACCAAAAGCTGCTGAGCGGTTTCCATCGTCTCCTTGTATCATGTCTCACTAGAATGGCCCATGTCGTGGCTTCGTGCGTAGTCGGAAGGATACTGCCAGCAAAGTGCCAGTCCCTGCTCTGTGCTCTAGTAAACTTGTACATGAAGGACACACTTAGTAGTCGTTGGCTTCCGTCATTTTTCGAAACTCGGGCTTGGTACCGAGCATACGCGGCGCACATGGCAAGAAAGAAGAAATCACCGCCAACAACTCTTCGCTTCGGACAGTCCGAGGCCACGGCACGGCCCTGACAAATGGCCGACTGCTGGCACGCAGTAGCACTGGTTGACCCAGCTCGGGCCTTGTGTTGGCTGCGTTCTAGACGGGTCTTGATCGAGATGAGATGATGTGGTGTAAGTCGAATCAACAAACGATCCCGTGGGCAGGGATGCCACGGCTTCCAATCAAAACGCCAATGACAAGAGAAAACCCCAGGAGGAGTCAGCAACCCAAGAGAAAGAGGGGGGAGACACATGCAACACCAAGCATCTCTCCCTCTCTCTCTCTGCATTCTGCGCGCGCCCGCCCGCGACTAACAGCAGCTCGATGGTGATGATAGGCCTCTGCCCTCTTGTCCCCCCTCTCCTTGTCCATCATCCATCTTCCAATTCCGTAAGGTCATGCATATCCGTCGCTGCAGCTACCCGGTCTGCCGATCCGTCCGCCGTCAGTTCTCAGCCCGTCCGTGGGCTCTTGTTAGAACCAACAGTATGACCCGGGCTCTCTCTTAATTCAAAACCCGCACATGGCCGTAGAGAACTATCACCTGCATGAGAGCAAGCGGTTGAAGGATTTTGTGACAATTCATGCAAGCGAGGAGGGAGAGTGCATGTAAGCCTCGCTACTATTGATTGATCCCGTTCATCTTTCTTGGGTTAACGGTTGTTTTCTCTTTTATAGGCACTCCATACCGTAGATGTAAGCTAGTTGTCTCGCCGCAACGTAAAACGGCCGGCCATGCTTGATAACTGATTTCCAGAACGCTCGCCTAGAGCAAAGAAAAAAAAAAAAAAGCCAAGAAAAAAAGAAAACAAGGGAACATACATAAATCTCCGCATAAAAGCAAGCCGTGGAGCAGGTCACGCCATACAGAAAGGGGGTGTTGGTTCAACACACGCATCTCTTCTACCCGCCGTACGGAGCAGAAAAAGCAACCTGGAAAAAACAAAAAAAGAACACGGCGCTAGAAGCCAGTTACCCCAGCCATTGCGCAAAACCGCCCCCCAGTAGGAAGAAAAGAATAAAAATAAAAATAAAAATAAATCCAAAAGATCAAAAGACAAGGGCACAATTCAAGAAACACAGTAGAAACAAGACACGCACTTCTTCTCTCTTTTCTAAGCTTACGTACTTCTCACGAAAAAGGAAGTGCACAACGCAGCAACAGCCTCGCCCATCAGCACTAGCCGCGGTATCGACCCTAAATTGAACGGAGTGCTACAACTTAATCTCACCCTCTTCTACCCGAAACACAGCGTCACTTGATCTCCCTCACCCCAAGATCTCATCCCTCCCGATCCTATTAGTAAAAGTCAGATGGGCCAATCAGCGCCATATTACCTCAACAGCTTAGCTCTAGTCTATGACGCACCAATTTGAGGGAGCAACGAAAAAAGGAAAAAAAGAGGCAGCAAAAAAAAGCAAAGAAAAAAACAGGCTTGCACAGAACTTGAAGCGACGGTTTGAATGCATCACGCGCACGGACGGACATTCTCATGCAGGCGCGCCTACAATTGGAACAAAAAAAGGAACAAACCAAGCATGTCGCATCTTGTGCTCCCCCAGGGTTCACTGAGTTCATCACCATTGGCACCAAAATTGAGCGATAGTGTTGCAAATGTCCTTCTTCATTCTGCCTCTGCCAGGGCAGGCCAATAATAAAACGATTTTATCTAAAATCCCAAAGTAGCTTGGCATCGTCGTTCCCATGGCAAATTCTCATCATTAAAGGTGAATGTTGCCCAGACCCTGAAGTATATGTATATATATTGAACGCCTGCAATGCCATGATGATTTGCCGCCCAAATCCAATGAAATAAAAATAGAACAAAGAAAAGAAAAGAAATCCCCGCAATCAAAGACACATGTACAGTAAAAACCATCAGTGCAGGCCCTCGGCTAGAAAATTGGGTATTGTGTTCTGCAAGTTTTTTTTTTTTTTCTTCCTTTCAGTGAAGAAGAAATGTTGAATATTTCTTTGCGTCATCAATATGCTCCGCCCCCGTTAAGCTCCGTGCCCAGAAAAATCAATAAACATCATGCAAAGAACTAGGGAGTTTGAAAAGTGTAAAGTAGGGTGGTGAGGCTCGGGTTGGCCACGCTCTAGCTTCTCTCCTCAGGCTTAGGACGTAGTGATCTTGCTTCTAGCTGGCGTTTGCGCTCAAGCTTGGCGTAATGGAGACCACAGGCATTGCATAAAGTCCTGGCACCATCAGGACCCCGTCTCCATTCTGGAGTGTCGATGCGATTGCAGCTATGACATCGTCCAGGAGGGGCAGCGCGCTGTTACTCTATTAGCGGGGCTCATGTATACAAGATTGGCTGTAAGCTTACGCCTCGTCGCTTTTTGACTTCTGTCATGCCATATGGTGGCTTAATGGAGTCTCCATACATGGGGACGTCTTGGTCTTCCTCGTAAGGGCCTTTTGGTGGTTTGGCACCTTCGCGAGCTCTCTCGCTCTGTAGTGAGGCTACAATTACCTCTCTGCATTGCTCGAGAGAACGCTTGAGGTACTCGACGTTGGAGAGCATGTCGCTCACTTCTCGCTCAGTCGGAAGACGCTCGGGGATTGGTTGAGATCCGTGCTGCTCTTGGGCAATTCGGCCGTAGGCCTCTGCGAAGTTGAAAATGGTTCGCGAGCAGGTTCCAATCTATATACTCATTTAGCGCATACTCTTTATGTCAGTTTCACGTTGTCGCTTACTCGGCTCAAAGCTTCCTGGTAGCTCCAGCTCTCAAACGATCGCGAGGTCCCGTTATCGTATCGAGCCCTGGCAGCATACTCGGCCTCTTCAGCATGTGTAGGCGCCGGCCGAGAATCGTATTGCCCGGGCAGATGCGAAGCCGCATGACCTCGAGGTGATACCTGATAAGGAGGGAGCGGCTGTTGCCCAGGTGGAAGCTGTGCCGGCTGATACGGGACGGAAGTCGGCGGCGGCGGTGGTTGGGAGTAGACTCCATTCAGTGAGCGGTGATCAGATGGCTTTGGCGGTTCAGCTAGGTGGTGAGGAAGGGGGTGACCTTCATGCTTCGTCGGGGGAGTAGGCCGGCGATCAGAAACGGGAGGGAGACCGGGTCTGCCAGTGCTAAAGGGCGGCCTCGGTGAATCTGAGTATGCATTGTGGCTTTCCTGTCGAGGAGGGAAGGCAACAGAGTGCAGAGGCTGAGATGAGTGCTTGTCGGCTTCGGGGTACTGTCGAGCAGACGGAGCAAATGGTGAGGGCAGGCTTGAGCCAGGCTGCAGAGGATGCGCAGGCGGAGGGTACTGTCCAGGCCGTGCGCCAGAAATGACTTCTGAAATCGATGGTAGTGACTGGCGAGTCGAAGACTCATTGTCGGGAGAGGGTCGTCGAGGCTCCGAGGAGATCATGTTGGCGACGCTTGGCCCAGATGAGGGTGGATGGGAGTAGTTGGAAGGATATGGCTGAGGTGGGTAGTGGGCGTTAGGGGCGAGAACTGAGGCTGCTGCCATGGTAGGCTGGTCCAGATACCGTCGGTCGACGGCTTCTCGGTGTTGTTGGTGAGAATGGGGAGATGTTGCAAGTTGATGTTCAAGTCGCGTAGGAGTAGAAGAAAGACCGGTGCTGGGGAGAGGGGGACGATGTGAGTTAATAATTCCGCCGATTTAGAGGGGGGGCGTACGATGGAGCGGCTAGGCATGGAGGAATGCACGAGTAAGAACGCACCTCTGTCGGGTTCCAACGTCACCCGCTTCCATAGCGCGTGTGGCAAGTAAAAGATCTGGCGCTCAGGGTCGTCGATACATCTGACTTAGCACGAATGCTAGGGGCACAAAGCGCTGGGTCGAGTTCGGCGTGTGCGGTGGAGTGACGGCTGGGCTGACGACTTGCAAACGGGGCCAAGGATGATCGCAGCAGACACGCATATGTATGTACAGATACAGGTAGGTGGTATAAGCAGACCGGGCCCAGACGTGGGGGGCCAGACCAGCAGAGATAAGTTGGAATTTAAATAGAGAAAAGGGCAGAGAGGGAAGCGAGGACAAGGCTATAAATGGTGATGCTAATAAAGGCCTGTCGCCGAGTTGGCCAAGCCCTGTCATCTCCCAAAGCATGACCGGGGTCCCAGGAAAAGAGATCTAAACTCGTGGTGGCGTCCAAAGTTGGGTGATGGCTCACCCCAAAGCCTGGCCAGTACGGAGTCTGCTCCGTACACCTCGAGCGGCTTGGCCAATGGGCAGGGGTCCGAAGTCAGTCTTGTTAAGATGGGAGGCTGCCCTAACGAGGCCCTTGGCCCGGCCCCAAAAGAACAAGAGATTGAGATGAGTGCGGGTGGGACCCTGCCCAGCAAATCCGCGGTACTGGATTGCACTTGCCTTTGCGTCCGAGCTAGCGAGTTTGGGCGGGCGGCCATAACGTGGTTCTGGGCGTGGTGTGAGCCTAAGATTCGAAATTCGAACCTTGCCGTCTAGCGCCGGGAGAGGGGTGAAGATGATGGGAAAAGGGCGGGAGGGAGTGAGGTTGGAGACCCATGGATGGAAAACGACGACGCAGTGGGACCCCCTCCCCTTGCCCTTAGCGGCACTCCTCCACTCCTCTGCCTGCTGGAATGCTGAAGCAGTGACAGGGGCGGCTGAGATGGATGAAAGCCATGTTTCTGCGCAGAAAGGCGTGTGCGTACGAGTACCACTAGCATGTACGATACGGAGCTTGGTCGCCGGCCAGCAGTCGCAGCATGCGCGTACATGTACAGGTCGGTAGGGTGTGCTCCGTTTTGATCTCGATTTGCGCCTTTCCCTGGTTGACGCCACGATATGGAGTGTTCGCGCGGCGAAGAATGCTGCTTATTTGCCTAGGCGCTGCGGAGCTGAGAAAAAGTTGACTGACACTGACAGCCCAGCTGATGGAGTCTAGTCGGGCGTTTCCATTCACTTACGTACCTGTATCTCAATCGCCATCGTCTTCATCTCCATCTTCGTCTTCATCTTCATCTTACCAGCACACTGCAACTGCAACGGCAAAGTGCTCGCGTCTCGCATCTAGATGACGATGGCCTGGACACTTCCCGTACCCGTACTAGCAGCGCGGAGAGAGATGATGCATAACAAAGATGGAGCACCAAGGAGATGAGATGAGAGGATGAATCATGGGAAATATTGTCAACTGCCTACTGCCGCACGAAGTCTTATGGCCACGGCGGCGATTACCTTACGGAGCGCTACTTACAGCCGCAGTACCTGGTACCTGCCAACAGAGCTGCAGGGCAGGGCTGGTGCGGGTATGGACTACGAGAGCCTACAGTACGAGTACGCACACATAGGTAGACCTTGGTATTAGATAAAAAAGCGGGAGAAAAACGGAAAGAGACACCAGGGGTTTTTGGCCCGCTTCAAGGACGAGATCAGCAGAGATTTTGGAAGGGTACAATAACGGGGAAGGAGCCAACGGCTCTAGCCTAAGCCAGTCTGGGGAGCGCACTTGCCCATCCCCATTCAGCAGCCTTTCATGCACGGCCTCACCGCAGACACATGGCGCCACGTGTGTCTACGGGAGACACACGGTACTCTTCCTTTGCACAATAGAATGCCTGACGATGCCTTCATTTGAACGGCGGTTCAACCTGGGGGGACATCACTTTATAGTGGCCGTCTGTCTGCTAGGTGAGTTGATTGCTTTTGTTCTCTCTCTTTTCTCACTCCGCCTCTTCTCTCCCAGGAGAGGAAAGGGACGGTAAGCGTGCATGAGCTCGCGTTAGGCACTTGTCGATCCACCATGATGGTGACAAGCCCTGGACTCGATACGGCCGGGTTCTTAATGGCCGTAGTCATCGTGCTAGCGCCCACAGGGTATTTGTGCTGTTCCCAGCACTGTACAGGTAGCAGCTTACTACGGCTACCCAGTACGGAGTTCGACTAAGGCGGTATTACCTTGGCTCTTGGTACCTTGCTGCTCCATATCGTACGGCACGGGTAAGATTTGATGTGCCTGCCTCATCGGTACGATCACATCTGCGATCACGAGCCCGAAAGGGTCAAGACCCTCGCCACGGGATGACGCTGGGCTGTCGGCATCGTCAGCTTCACTGGACGTGCTAAACCACTACTGCCGCTCTGCTTAGGCTTAGGCACCAGCAAAGCCCCGTCGAATCGTTGCAAATTCCAGCAGTCGAGATAAAATCAAACGGGAGGGCTGTGTGGAATCCAATCGCCCAAGAGTTGCGAGATCTCGACAGACCAAAGAGCTGACGGGGAGGATCGTGCATTACATCTTCATGCAGGAGCACAGCTGACCATTTGTAGTAGTCCTCGCATTCGCCACTCCCTCTGCAGCAGGTCTGAAGGGGCCAACTGCATCTCAAATAAGCCAGAACCGTCGTCAAGTTGCTCGTCATCCTGCTGCAGCCATGACCGCTGATGCACTTCTGCTCACTTTGGGACAGGGGAGATGCCAGATTTACGAGTATACAGTCCCCAGAATCGGGCCTCCTCGCGCCGCAGCTTAATAGCAATGCAGCTCTCTCGCATACAACTTCTCCGTCCTCCGTCAAAGCAGTTTCATTCCAGCGGCTTGGCAATTCGTCATAGGACTGTACCAGATCAGTCTTGGTACAGAGACTAGATGGTCTAGAAAAGAACTTTTCCAGGACGATGCGACGTTGGACTGTCCGCTCCGTACTCGGTGCACTGTCTGTTATTTTATTCTGATTTTCGCCCCCAGTTAGCGCTTCTGGTGTGTTGTTAGTGGCATTCGCCTACCAGGAACCTTGGCGCCATGGACGGAGTAGCATCCAGAGCGGTAAATCTGGCCCCCTCGGTTGGGGTCTTTGGCTACCGGCTCTTCAGTGCATCTACAATTGGTGGGCCGTCACCCTGAGCTTAGCGACGGCCGCAGCTGGACGGGCGAGCCCTCAAGACCTCTAAGTATCGAAAGGGCATCTCGGTCAGCGGTCTGCTGAGGCTTCGGCTGTTGCCCCATGGTTGTGACGGAGATAATTATCTTTCTTGACTTAATCCAGTGCACAGATACGAAGTACGAGGGTATGACAAGACCTGCCTCATGGCAAACTACTCCGTAGAACGTTGGTTGTTTTACCAGGGCGACGAGTGTCCAACCACCGCCCCATCAGTTGACAGAATAGACCCTCTTCCTTCGGCAGCCTCTAACTCTTATGACATACCTGAAGAGTCATTCTAGACATCCTCCTAACATGTCTTGGCAGGACTAGGTATTACTACGCCGACGATTACGACTCGAACTAGCCTACGAAAATCTACTCTGTACGGAATCGCTCAGTGGCAGCCACTCACTAGCTGCTCCAAAGTCTCGAAGCCCCTTACCGACACCCAAGCAGCGACGGCGCTATGATAGCTGCGTGCGGGTGGCACCCCGTTGCAATCGCGGCCTTGTAAGATGGCGAGATGGCCCGTCGACCCAATCTCGCTGAGATACTAACTAGCCTAGATCAGATGCCTCTTTAATGTGGATCTTGATCACGCCAGGTCAGGCGAGCCTTGTCCGCTCCTGGTTGGTTCTCTTCTGGTGTTCAGAGTAGAGTCCCTCGTCACTGGAAAGGCAACCCACATCGCAATGCTCATCAACCCATTCGTGACAGATGGCGACGCGCTACAGCTTCCTTGGCTGCAGGCTGCTTTACTGGATTTAGAAGAGTGACTTTTTGGTCTTGCTTTCCTTTCGGACCTCCTCTCCGAGCGCTACCTGCACTATGCTATCTGATCACACCAAGGGGTGACAGCCCAGCGGCAAGCTGAGAGATGTGGAAATGAGCATTCAACAGGGACATGCGATTGGGCTTTACTTTACGAGTTACCATGAATTGTCCGCCAGAGGCATTTACACATACCGCTTAGGACATGAACCTGGCTGGACGAAATACACTTAGTGGCACCGATATGTATTTTGCCCAGCTGACTCTGAGAATCGACAGCGCTCAGGCCATGCTGATCGATCAGCTAGCCATTGGATAGCCTCAACACATCGATCGCGCTCCATCTCCATCATCGTGGGGTGCGATTGCCAACAATATCAACACATTGCCTCAACATCTTGAAGCATGGCCACTTGGTGGACCGTGTTACTCTTGCAACCCATTCATCCTCTCCAGCTTATCAACCTTGTGTTGGCTTGCTCGTAGCACATGTGCATATTGATCAGCCGTGTTGTACAACCTACAGGATACATATGCGTATATGCGTGCGACGACCACCTTGAAAGTCTAAATGACAGATGCTCAACACACGCTCCAATCAAGTGTTATCACCCGAAGTCTGCAGCAATTCTTACTGGTTTGCACTCATTATACGGTCTCTTCTGCCGTGCATTGTTGCCTGCAACTCTCCTTGATCAAACAGAAGCACATCATGCTCCATTTGTCCTGCTCGCTTGGCTACAACTAGTCAAGTCTCAGGGGAATCGGAGTGGGCTCAAAGAAGCGATCATTGATTGCCAGGTTGCTTACCCCTTCCCTCCTTTTCTATGTTACTGATGCTACCACTATTGTTTGGCCAGCCTCAAATCTCAGAATTCCAGTCCATTCCCAGCAGCTAGTCGCATCATTTCCACAAGGTGTGCCCAGGGTGCAGAGGAGGTCGGTGAGGGCCACTGAGAGCGTATTGTCAGATGCACGAGGAGACGGCAGAGTATCCCCTGGTCTGCTCATTCATTCACGCCGGCTTCGATCTTTGAGGGCGTGATATAACCCGTTGCATGCATTTCCTTGAACAAGTGTGTTTCTGCACGGCAGGATCAGACGGTACTGCTAATACCGCCACTGCTACTACCCAAGAGCTCGAAAAGGCATGGGGGTAGACGCAGGATGGCATCCACAATGAAGCACTAGCTTCGATCTCGCCCCAGCAACTGCTCCTCGACCACTCGATCCTAGCCGCTTTCTTTACATCTTGAATAACTGGCTGAAGAGATGCAGAAGCGTTATCCGCACCCATACTGGTACACTGTTTGCGCGCGCGCCACATAACAATCAGGACGCGGAATTGGCCAGCCACAAAATGAGTCACTAAATCCTTCACGCTTCATTTGTCCATTTGACTATGGTTGGATGCAATATCTGTCCAGTGCATTTACCCCGGCGAGTCCAGAACGTGCAGGCCACACAAGCGTGCTCAGGTTGGCACACCTCACCACAGCCTCCGGTCCTTGTGCCGCCAAATCAACCGACTTGCGGAACTCGGAAATTTTAATATATTCAAGCATGGCTGAGGCTTTGTGGTTGATGCAGCCAACTGAATCACAAACTTTCTTGTGCGTTACCTCTCGAACAGACAGCGGTAATTGAAGGGGGGATGCGATAGGAATAGCTGTCTATTTGCACCACAAAGGCTCTACTTGGCAGAAGTTCAATGCTTTTCGAGCCTTACGGAGTACAACAGAATCACTTTTGGCAAGTCTCTAAGCTCTAAACGCCATATAACGAGGATATCAATCTGGTTCGTATCGGTTGCCACGCAGATGATCTTCAAAAAAGATTTAGGATACGTCCATCAAGTACAAGTGGCAGCATTCGTCGCCCTCAGAAGCCTCGACGACAATCAGCCCCCAAGATGCTTAAGCCGCTTGCTTCTCTAATTTATTTCCCCCTTCAGAGAACAAGCCATCTGGCTGCCGCGTTACAGCTGGAAACACCACGCAAAAAAAACCAAGAGAGATGGACAAACATGAGGCCTGCTCTGTTGCATCCTTATACTATATTCAACTGTGAGCAGTTACACTAAGACCAACCAACATGCCCGACTGCGTGGCGTCTGCCCAAATGCTTGCTTGGGTCAATCAAAAGCAATGGCGTACGCCGAGGTTTCAGGACATCACGGCTCGGCCAAGGCTTGCGTACCCGTCTCTAGTCAACGCAACTACTACTATTACTCAGTACTTCGCAACACACGGCAAGCCAGTTTTCGTCGTCATAAGACGGGCAAAGCGGGGTTGGATATATTGGCTCGGTCTGGAACAAGAGCGCCTTGCCCTTTCACAAGGGGTTCCTCAGCTCGCGCAGACAGCATCAACAAGAAATTTGCTTTTGGCTGGGCAGGGACCCTTGCCTGGCCGGATAAAGCCATTCATGGGCCAATGGAACACCCCACAGGTGTCGGAATCGCACGTGGCGTGTGCTTCTAGCTTCTAGGCTGGGAAGATCGAATATTCTTGCAGTTCCGAGCGCGCAAGGCGCCAAGCACAAAACAGTCCACTTTTGACTAAAGCAGCGGTATCGTTCAATAGCGCCGATTCTCTGTTCTTGATGGATCGATCAAACGGCGTCCCACTCGAGAGCCACTTTTACGTCGCTTTTTTTTTTTTCTTTCGATCACACGCACACACGCCAAACCACTGCGCCCGACACGAACCTTCTCCATCGCAAGCCCGTTTACGAGTCAACGAAATTAGCATGCATTAGTCTGTGTACAAGCCATGATGGGCCGCTACTCTGTGCCTTTGCCCTCGTACATGCACGTCTTGCGCACAATCACATTTAATGTGATGAGCTTTTGATGTTGTTGCTCTTATGGTGATCCTTCGCCTCCTTCTGTGGCCATGCGGCTGGCTCTCTTGCGTTGGCTGGGCTCGGCGGCCTTTGCCCCGATGGAATTTGGTCACTTGTCGGCCGAGAAGGAAAAGAGAAGGGGGGAAAGGTGCGACACCGGGGTCCAACACTAACATGGCCCGCCACGGCGCTGCGAGACGTTGAGATCGGGGCTGTCGAGCTGCCAGGTCGTTCAGTAGCAAGCGAGGATCCGCTGAAAATAATAACAGCAGCTCGTACTCTGGACTTGATGCGGAGGACAATGCTAGAGATCATCTCTCCGGATATTCCGTATTCGGCACGTTTCCTGCCTAAGCGAGCATGTCTCTTTCTCCATTCTTGCCCCTTGAGCACGATGGCGACCTATCCGGGCTGCAAAATCGGCATTCACAACTCAATTTAAAGGTCATCTGCAAGGCCATCTGCAAATCCATCGAGCCCTTCACCCGAAACCCCCCCAGAAGACAGCTTGCCTGCATAAAGGGAGGTGAGAGCTCCACCTCTTCACACCATGATTAAATCTTGGTTGTAATTTTATCAAATCGCTAGAAGCACCCATATGGCAATTTGCTCCGTGGCAATCATTAAAGTAACACTGCTACCTGTACGGAGTAGTATGATCTGGATGTCGATGTGGTGTGGCAGGCAATTTGCTCTTCACTAGCACGCCACACAAGCTTGATCCGAAAGATGGACCATTTCCAAAGCTGGAAGCCTCCGCCGGAGAACAGACAGATCCTACCACATGTACGGGGTGAGGAGAGCATGGCGTGTTGGTTGGGGCATCTTACCGCACAGCATGCGTATACGAATATGTGGGCTATCATCTGAAAGTCTGTACGCTGCCTGGCTAACTTTTTGCTCGTCGGCAAATGCAATTCTCGGGCTTTCGGGATATTTTCATGCATGGGGACAATTACGCAGTCCAAAGTACGGCCGGCTCACCTCCATATCCAGCATGCCATTCCTCCACACCTCCTTTCTTCAGATCCATTTGTAACTGTCCCAAACGCTCAGGCATGTTGACTAGGGAGTATGGAGCTTGATTGTGGCAGCATCTTCGATGACCTCGGCGCTACCACTTTCCATAATGGCAATGCATGAAGGGGGTAGTGATATCTGCTCGTTCTCGTAGCAGGGCGATATATGGAATACCTGCACTTCAGCCATGTCCATTTGGGCTTACGGGTAATACTGGGTATGGTGATCGAGAGTTTGTATATTGGCGTCGGATGACACCACCGCTTCCCATCTAATTCTCATGACATGCCTGCTTCGATATGGGCGTGGCAGCTGAAGATGATGGGCATGGGTAGCATCCGCGGTATTCTCAGTCCATTATTAGTATATTACGCATCTCCTCCTGCCTATTGCAGAGGCCTATTGGGATATGTTGCCCTATCTGAGTTGAGTAGCTGACTCTCTTGATTAGAGGGCGCGAGGGACCGTGCAGCTGTGGCAACTTCTGACGAATTGGTCGTTCGATCTGGAGTCTGGAGGCATCGCCAATCTTCCCAGGTCCATACTCTGCTAGTTGTATTGATTACGATGTACAGTACATCTTGCTCGTATCAAAAGAACAATAAGCTTCCAGGTTTCGATAGGCAGGTCGGAGGCCTTGCCGTGCGTCATCATGACTCGAAGATCCCGTCGAGGTTTATTGTCTAGCACCTAACCTGTAGGATGAGCGTTTCACCATGGCAAGACATGTCAGAATTCTAGAAGCCGAGCAAGATGTTGTCTCCTAGCAGAGCAGATCTCGAAGCTAACTTGATTAGAGACTGGTCTTACACTAGGTGACCGCTGCGAGTGTCTTGAGTCAGCAGGAAAAGAATCCGCGAAGAAAAAAAAAAAAGAAAGGAGTGAACTCACACCGACTTGCAAATCCGCATCGTGTCTGTCTCTTCTCACCTTGTTGCCGGGCCAGATGCATGAACAAAATTCCAGCTAATGCTACAGTAAGGCGACACTAGCCGCGACTGCAAGGAGAAGCTCTAGCTCGCTTGCACAAGACCCTCTTTCGTGACAGCTAGACGCCCGCGCCAGTGGGCAGCTCTGACTTGAAGTTCTGTGAAGGATGACAAATGATGGACTTGAGATCTGGCCACGATACTAGCACAATCAGATGCGGCGGGGGGTTGGAAGCTTTTCCCAGCCACCATGCCCATGCCACGCTAGTGCAAATTGCTGGGAGAATATCACGCCAAGAAGGGCGAAGCTCGAAAAAACAAAGGGGTATCGCATCTCCTTGGGGCCTTGATACTGGCACGCCCCCTTCGGCAACGGCCGGGTAAGTCGACGTTTTTGGTCAAAGGACGATTCCCGATTCTGGGACGCTGCAACCCTCGTGTGGGATTTCTTGGCTTATATCAGATGTACGAGTACTCACCGACGTTACTCAACCGCAGGCTACAGTGCTATGGCGGATGGCGAGAAAGAGGATAACGTCCGAATGCCTAGAGCAAAAGCAAAACCAACGAGAAGGAAAGGGCAGAAGAGGGTGGAGCGCAGCCGACCGATCGTCTGATCTGGGAGATCGGCCGTTGTCAATACATGTACATACGCCGTACTCGCTTCGCGCACACATACCGACAGACTTTGGCTGGATGCAACTGGCAGACGCCCTACGTCCAGTCCTTCGGCGTGAGATTTACGCTCCGTGTGACTGATCGTAGATGGATCAGATGGGCCGATTTCCTGCTGCGAGGGGGGAAGACTAAGATTTGGGGGTCGAGGAGTGGTTCTAGAGGAACGGGCAAAGGCCTCACTGCTGACCGTTCCAGGTCTTCCATTTCCCAGGCTGGCACCCTCAACAGGCCACATTCTGTAAATAGCGTCGGAAGGTCCCCAAGCTACCCATCCCTGTGGTGGTGTTGCTGAACCCCCGGATTGAGGGGTTTTCCCCTACGAATTCGGGAGGGGGGTCGATTAGCTTTTTGGGCTGGTGGGCTCCTTGGGAAGCCAGAAGGGCAGCGAAATTGAAGGGCTCAGTCTTTTAGGCTGCAGCATGCATCTGGAGCCTAGAATGTGGGATCGAGGTCGATGAAATGACGGATAATCTAGCCAAGTGTTGGGGGAAGGGATCCCGGCGGTCATGATGTCAAGACTCCGCTGGCCGGCAAAATGCAAAAGGCAACGCCCACGAGCATCTCCGGACTTGTGCAGGGGTGGTATTTTCTCCCCTTCACCTTTGCGCGTCAGGTCGACGACCGTTGCCTGTTCTGGGCTAATACCACAGTACAGTATGGTAGATTTAAGAAGAAAAGAAGAAAAAGCCCGCGTAATAATGTGGTTGGGAGCCCTCTCTGTGTGATGTGACGCATCACTAATGATATCTGGGCTTCTCTGCCACTCGCCGCCACACCAAGGTAAGCCCAGCGGATGCGTGAGTGGTGGCCGCTGTTCTGCAGACAGACGGGAGATTTATTTCAGCCATTGCGAGAGCGCGGCTGTGCCCGTCCCAGATGTCAGCCGGACAATGTGCGATCCTACGCATGCAGACATGCCCCCAAGGAGTATCCTGTACGTAGGCATACGGAGGGCCGTGTAAGAAAAGGCACTCCCGTAAGAAATATCCCCTTCTCAGATTTGGAGCCGGGGGATGGGGGAGGGAGCACGGATTGGGAACATTGGAGCGAAAGTGACGTGTAAGATATGACAAGATGGAAATAATAACAATGTCAAACGCCAACCCCGTACTCCGTAATTTTTTCCTGCGCTTTTTTCGTAATAGGATCATTTAAATTAACAGAGAAACCCGGGGAGCTAAAAGGTTCCTGAGCTGGATTACCGAGGAAGAGAGGTTCCGACGGCGTATTGTTATGAGTACATACAGTACAGGCTGGCTGAGGATGGAGATGGATCAGACGAATGAGGAGAGGAAATCAGAAAAGGGCAGATTTCGCCCCCCTTTTCTTTCATATTCTTCTTCTTTCTTCCGGGAGTGTTTTGTTCTTACAGATGATGCCGACACGCCTCGTTGCAGCCAAACGTCGTCATCCTCCAAGCGCGCCCAAAGCACGAGCACTGCAACTGTCGCAATATAACGTCTGGCGTACTCCATAGCATCGAATAGAGAAGAGGCACTACTGCACCAGAAAGCAGAAAAGCACGTACTAGTAAGTGCATGGGGCGGAGGCTTGGCGCGCAGCTTTTGGACGAAAAGAACGAGATTGTTCATGCGCTGCCCCGAGGGGGGGGGACCCAGTCAGATTTCTTCGTCTGTCCGCAGCAGACCTCACGCCATTCCGTTGGGTCTGATTTCTTTGGGTTCCTCTTTTTCTTCGTTCTTGACTTCTTGATTCGGATTGGTTTTTTTTATTTTTGCTTCGAGAGATTTGAGATTATGAAGGTGGGGGCTGGAAGGGGGTGAGATTTGCTTTTCTGCTTTCTCATTGCTGGGTTTTGGTGATTTTATTATATGTCTACCTTGCCTATATCGTACTCGTAGGTGTAGCTCTTCTCGGCGGTTTGCCTCGAGATAGATGTGCAAGTTGAGTACCTATTGCGCTACGTTCTCTTGGCACAGGCTGGATTCCATCTCGGAAACAGGGGTATGTCGGTATATAGGCAGTACAGCATTAGTAGATTCGAGGTAGATTCGAGGCACGGCAGATCGGGAGAGTTACTTGCGGAATACCCAAAAGCAGCAGCGGGTTCCGAGGATATTTTTAGCGGCCGGTGCATCTTTATTTGCCATCTTATTTGGGCGTCTTTGTCAGAACGACAAGCTTACCTAAGGCCCCCAAAGAGGGCCGCGCACAATGTGGACAAACACAGCAACTCTTTCTTACTCGTACCTGCTCTACAGGGCCAGGGAATCGAACTGCAAGGTACCTGGTAAGTATACAGCGCTGGATCTCTCTCTCCTTGTCTTTTCTCCTTCTCCCTTCTATCCACACGCCGTCAACCGCGAATTTCTTCCCCATCTTCCATCCTCGACACCCTCATCTGCGGCCTCCAAATAAGCGAAGGCCGAGAAGGCTGCCGCCCGTCAGCCCGCAATTTGCCCTGTGCATTGTCAAGTCATACCTCGAGGTCGGCCGGCGTCATCCTGGGGGCATTGACTGGCCTGCGACCGCCAAATCATTCCACTACCAGGCGCGCGAGTAAGTTTTCTGGCTCGCTTGTCGACCTCGGGTTCTGCCAACGTGACGAGTCTCTTTTCTGCACGCTCTTTCTTCTTTTTCCTTTTTTTGCTTTTTGCCAAGTTTAGCCACCCTATTAAGGAGGCTCTGTCGACCGTTGGTTCAAGGGGTGCTAAGGGGGGCTGATACGACGCCGTTGGCACTCGTCGCGTGGAACAACCGGGTCATCGACGCCGTCTAAGCTTGGGCCGATCCCATGTCGATATACTACGGCAGATTTCCCCCATTGGGACTGGCAAATATGGAGTTGCTGTCCTGACGTACTGGACTCGCACCCATGGCAGCGTCGTGCTGTGCAGCTTTCACCTACGGCATGTGCTCTATACTACTCCGTATACGCCAGCATGGGTCAAAAGACACGCTGGGCCGGCCTCGCAAGAAAGAAAAGAGCTTATGTGACGTGCATGGAAATTGCATCTTCTGCGATTGTCCAACGCCCGGCGGTGCTGCTCAACTCTCCGCGCCTCTCTTCCCTCCCACCCCTTGGAAAGAGATGAGCTTCATCAGGCCGTGACGATGACGCATTGTTTGTGCTCGATGCACACCTGCATGCATATTGCATGGACGGAGCACTGCTACTACGGCTGCATTCGTACTGTTTGATCAAGCGCTAGTGTATCGTATACGAGTACTTTGGTGGTGCTCGTAGCATTTGCGAATCGGTACCGGCATGGATCGGCGGGAGGCTATATCGACCCACTCACGCGCTGGCGATGGGCTGTGATAACTCGTGCATGTGCAGAGTTGCAACGGCAACCCTCCAAATTCAACCGTCGCTGGCAACCCAAAACGCCACTAGAGAAATCTTCTGGGACGCGGTCGATAGCGCCGCCCGGCTTCGTAAAACACAAGCTAACCCCTCCATCTCCAACCATGGACGTGACGGGAGAGACAACTCGAACCCGATGGAAGCTGACGCTGATCACGGCACAAGGATCGTTGGAAGCGTATTATTGCGCTTCTCCCTATCGGCAATACTTCATCTAGCGATTCTAGCCCGCCAAAGCAAAAGCCATTGCAGAGCTGGGCCAAACTCACTTTTACAGGCATCGCGGATCTGTTGCCTGTCTCCCGCTGCCCTCTCAGCCTTACCGCATCAATAACAAAGACCGAATCCCAGCAAGCTCCGATGCTACGCTCCAGTTCAATGAGACTAACGATGATACGAAAACGGCAGCCTCATTTCATCTCTTGCTATAATATCATGCCGTACAGTACTATTTTCAAGGCAGCAGAATCATCTCGGGGAGGCTCCGTCGGTTGATCAAGCCGGGTTTCTTACGGTACCGTTGTTCCTGGTTATTCAGCAGGATGTGTTTTTGGAAGCATGGAAGCAATGGCTTACAGTGGTCTGCCTCGGCCAGAAACTCCCCAGGACACATTCTCTGAGCCAATGGCCCATCCTCCATGATTTCCCATTGCTTCTCCACAACCTTTAATACTTTCTCCACTTTATATCCATTGTCATCTGAAATCGTACCATTATTTACCGGTCCCAATTGGCAATTTAGGTCGGCGCCAGGCCAAGAAGTGCTAGTGACGTCCAAGGGGATCGTGCGGCTTACTTTTGTCTCTACAGTACAAATGCAGCAGGACGCTATGACAGCCAGTACGAGTATATCGATCCGTCATACTGCTAGTACGAGAGTATACAACATGCCAAGAGTGGAAGTGCTATGAGGAATAGTAATCGTTCCTTGTCAATGAAGTGGATGGCCCTATTGACAGCTCCTGGGCGGAACACGGTCACTCCGGCGCATAATAGGCAAGAGAAAAGTAAGTTAATGCGACAAGTCCTCCAATGTGTACTCCTTACTCATGCACAATCCGGATCACACGGTATGAACACTGCGAGCTTCATGGAATCAAAAAGGGCAATCACGGGGTTTGTGGTGGAAGTGATACGAGGCACGGAGTAAAGATTCCAGTGTCACGGTCGATACATCGCAGATTCTTTTTCACGCGCTTCGATTCGTTCCTAGATCGCGCACGAGGAGTCGAAAGATCTCGCTTCCTACTGACAAGGACAAGGGACGGACCGACATCATCAGCTTGGGATACGCTAACAGGGGGACTTGTACGAATCGACCTGGGCTCTCCGACAACCTTGTCGTGCAGTTCACGGTGCAGATTGGTGCTCCGTAGCATCGGTCAGATCCCTCGATTCTCGGCCAACCTTGGCTTAGTTGGCCGAAGGGGGGTGCGAGCACATGCAGTCCAGCGGCTTCGTACAGTACATCTTCGTACATGCGCAGCCGCCAAAACCAAACGCCGGCCTTATCGGGTTTGCATCTCTCTGCCTTGGGGAGGCATGCATGTGCGTGCCTGTACTCCGTACGTCTGTGTGTTTTGTATGCACGCCCGCATCCTGTATGCAGGCCTTTTGGGAGATCACACGGACAAGGACAGCTAGGTTCAGAGCTTATTGGAGGCTTACCATGCAATCATGGCTCCCGTGTCTCTGTTTTACCGACCAGTTCCCTCTCGTCTTCTCAAACCCAACCGTCTGAGTGGCTTGAAAAAACGAGTGTGGTTGCTAACCTCAAAACACATTGGCTAATGGGTGAGATGGGTTCTCTGCTTTGTATTCGCGTGTGCCACAGCTCCATCCAGTGTGGAGCGATTTAAGTGACAGCTTCATCCGATGCCATGGAGAAGGGTGACGGCAGCTCACTGCTTTGCGCGCAAAATTCCCTGGCCATCTTTGACCCCTAGCCAATCCTGGCTCATCTGCCCATCTGCCCATCTTCTCGTACTTTGCACACGTCCCCTTGTTAGTGGACAAGCTGACATGACAAGCTGTTAGGATTGGCGGGTATCGGCGCCCATCTTGTGCGCAGGTGATCTATCTGGGTTTCGCGATTAGCCTTCCTTGCTGCCTTGGACTGAGGCTTTTCTCTCCCCTGATGGGTGCCTTTTGAGAGCTGCTGATGGTGGCGGCTTTGCGGCCTCAAACTTAAATCTATTCCTGTTGAGTTGATTGGTGTATAGGCTTTCAAAAAGCTGATGGGCCGTCCCGCGCCGACGCCTGTTTCGTTCGCCCTCGTGTGTGCGGAAGAAAGTCATTGGTTCGCTAGTATTGAAGTCATGATATCCGTGTGATGCAGCATTTCGCATTTCTGCCTGGTCAAGCGGCTATTTCTGCCTCTAGTTTTGCAGCAGGATAGCCCGGGCTCCTGCAGGCTTCGTTCACGCCGAATGACCTGCGGCGTACAGACAAATCGAAAGAGAGAATGAGCCTCGTGCTCGATGACTTTGTAGCCAAACATGGCGCTCAGATGCTTGATGGCTTTCGCCACCCCCAGAGAATGCAATTCGTCTTGAGAATTGGCTGTGTCTGTGCAACAAAACCGAACTCCACTCAGTCTTTTCTGCCAGCATCTCCTCGGACGCCCCCTTTCCTAGGTAGGTAGCAAACCTGGGTCAGAATAACTGCCGGCCGCTTACGCGCCGCAGCCACATCACATCGGGGCAGCACCGGGTTTAGTCTCATCTGAAAGCATCATGTCACATTTGATAGATGCTCGAGATATCCTGGCCAAGAACCTCTTCCTGGGCGTTGGACTGAGCCTGATACAGAGACACACCCTGTGCGGCCCTTTTGTCGTTCTTTTCTTTCGTCCATCTGTGCCCGGGCTTCTGCCGTACCCCTGCCGCTTCCTCTCATTCGGCCTGCTATTACTGCAATACTACTTGCAGGTGTATTCCTTGTGCTGGTATGAAGAAGACAGGCCTGCGAGTCCATCAAGCGAGTCGTACACAGGTCTACCTGAGGGAAGGACTGTGTATGGGCCATCACCCCATGCTGTTTGCATGATGCTATTTCATAAAAGCTTTCGGAACGTGGCGATACTTGTTGTACAGATACTCCGCCATTTCCCCTCCCCTTGTAATCGACGGGCTCTTCCGAGATACTAGCGAGGCGACAATTACGGATCAGTTTCAGCGCTGCTGCGGCAGAGAATCGGCGATAAAGCGGGTGCAGCGAGCGTCATCTAGATATTGATCAGGCATCACCACCACCACTACGGAGTTTGGCAAGATGTGAGATCGCCAGAGTGTGCTACACCACTACGAGACTTGTTCGATGAACTATTACCAATGCAAATATGGGGACGCAACGATTCATCCATACACACTGCCGTTCCGAGACACGGAATCTAATGGAGCGGCAGCCTTGAGCCGCTAGTCTGCGCTGCGAGACTCCAATATGACTAGCGATGAGAAAATCGTACGATTTTTTCGAGGCGTGGGGAAAAAAGACATGTTTGTCCGGGAGTGTCTTGGGCTATTTTTTCTTTTCTTTTTTTCTCCGCTGCTTTTTCTTTTTCTTTTCTCTTCTGCGTTGGGCAGCTCCTCCGGACATCGGCAGCCGTCATCTTTCCCCAAAGAAGCATCGTGTGTCCACCGGAAGCCGCTCCCTAAGACTTAACAGCGATGATATCCCATGGCCATGGTAAGGGGTGCCCTTGAAATCGGCTTTGCCGAAAGAGTCTTGTCCTGGGTCAAGGATGGGCCAGCCTTTGAGATCAAAAAGTCATGGACCCCCCTCCCCTAGCCAGAATCTTTGCTGCCAACGGGCTGGGAAAGGAAAAAGAAAAGAGGGAAAAAGCTGGGTACTGGGATAAAGTAGGGTTGGGCCTTGTTGTTGGCTCTGCCCGCTGTCGATGATGCCGATCGCTTAAATCTAGCCGCACTGTCCATGTTACAGAACAAAGAAGCCAACGGAAGCCTGGTCTCCTTTTTTTTTTTTTTTTTTTTGGCCTTTTGGACTAACTGGGCACGACGGAGTCTGGAGTTCCGGTAGGAGGCTTGCTTATCAGGGCCAAGCAATTTGCGACGGAGGCCACTTTTTCTGTTTCGAGCAGTAAACAGTTCATGCGATCGTCGATCGTGTGACTTTTTGTCCGCACCGGCGGCCGGGGAGGGGGGGTCCCTTTTCTCTTTCGTCTTCTTTTCGTTCTATCTTCGTTGAGAAGGCGATCTATGATGGCAATTTAGGGCGCGCCACTCCCCCTACTAAATTTACTCCATCATCTATCTAAAGCAGCCGGTCTCCCCCATGTCGATGGGCAAAGCCGCCGGCGATTGGGGACGCAAATCTCACGGCCGTCGGGGCATTCTGCATTGAACGTAATCTCGTCCACGAAATATTGGAGAAGGGAGAGGAGACCCATTGTGAAAATGGAGAACTATGGAAAAAGAAAAAAAATAAGGAAGAAGAAAATGCACCGAACGTGCTGCTTCTTAGTGGTTATTTTCTAGGAGTAGCAAGTAGAAGCTTGCCTACTGTACTCGTATACTAAATAGTGATACTCCATATTCCTCCATATTGTAGCTCCATCTAACTTGTAGTCTTAGTTGTAGATGAAGAGAGAGAAGGCGGATCGGTCGGCGATTGGAAGCGGAACATACCGCTATGGGCCGCATGAAAGACGACGGCACATGACACACAATGCTCCATGGCATCGAAGCTGCGATCCGCCCCTTTTTTCCTTCTTTGATGGTTTCCATTGCTTCTGTAGATTTGCCAAGATGTCTTACAAGGGCACACAAAGCACGAGTAATGTGCTATTGTAAACGAATTGCAATAACACCGAGCGCGGAGGCTCCGAGCGTTCGTTGAAGATTCAAAAACGTAAAAAGCCGTTGGCACTAGATGAGCCCAAGAGCTCTCGGTATAACACGGAACACAAGTAGGCGGTGAACATGTCAGATACGAAGCACCGCTCAAACTCGGCGTCAGCTCGACTACTCAAGTTGCCTATTAGAGCCGATGGACCACTTCCACGTAGTACAAAGCAAGTAAATACGATCTATCCAATAGACGGTTAGTTGCTGCCTTCTCAGCGCGCTCGAAGGAGGAAACAACAACCTTCTAACAGCTGTATCTACACATGTATGTACCCCATACGGAGCTCCATTCATCACGCAGCATACCATTTCGCCATGCTCAAGCTGCATTCGGGAGTCTGCTGTGCCTTGCTTCTCTTATAAATCCATCGTCCCATTAAGGGGCAGTCGTCTGCTGCTGCTCCCAACGTAGAACTTGTAGTTGCCCTGCTGCAACTGCCACTTCTGTCTCTCCACGCTCCACACGCTCAAATCTCTTCTTGTGAGATGGAATGTCACCGACTGTGACTCATTAGGCTGCAAAAAGGGCTTCTCAAAACCGCGAAGCTGCTTCGCCGGAGCTCCTGGAATGCCAATGTAGAGCTGCGCCACTTCGGCACCAGGAACTCTGCCTGTATTTTTGATGTTTACGCTGACGGTGGCGATTGCATCCCAAAGATCCGTTTGTCCGCCGCTGACAATAGGGCCGCCCGGCCATGGATACGTGTTTGCCCCCTGAATATAGTTGATGGATATGTTGGAATATGCAAAGGTCGTGTAACCAAGTCCAAAGCCGAACTCGTATCGAGGTTCAATGCCCTTCTTGTCAAAGTAGCGATAGTCAAGATAAACTCCTTCGTGGAAATCGGCCTGGGGAAAGTTGACGAATTCGCCTTCTGGCTGTACTGGATCGAGAACATCGCCATAATCAGATTCATTCTTCGCCACTGTGTACGGAAGCTTGCCGGAAGGGCTGGTATCCCCGAAGAGGAGTGAAGCGAGTGCTGGCCCGCTCTCTTGACCTGGCAAATGGGCAAAGATGATTGCTGTGACATTTGGATGATCAACAAAGCCGTCTACCAATCGAGGACCTGCGTTGTGAAAGATGACAACGGTCTTGCTGCACTGGTCAGCCACTGACTTGATTAGGGAGTCTGTATAATCATCTCGGATAGCAGGACGGTCGTATCCTTCGCAGGCCCATGCGTTACCAAAGACAATGCAGGCATCAGAACTGGGCTCAACAGAGGGCTTGTCAGATAAGAAGTCATTGAATACGGCCGTACCCTCCTGGGAAGCCCTCATCTTCAAGGCCTCGAATGGGGAGATTGTGAGTGCCGGCGTGATGGCGCCGGAGCCACAGCCGCCGAACATGGTGCCATTTTTGCCAAAAGTGGCCAGCCCATTATCAGAAACATAGTTTGAGTCAAGCGCCTCATTGCCTGAGATCCAATTTTGGCTGTACAATAGATTTGAAGACGGGTTAAAAAAGTCTGGAGTCTTGGCAGAATAACCAAAGAGGGAGAGCATGCGAGGCGACTTGAAAGGCAGCGTATTCTTTGTGTTTTTGACGAGGACATGACCTTCAATGGCGCCATTCAGAAGAACGGGTGCAGCGGCAGGATCTCGCCCGTCAACAATCTTATGAGGATCCAGGACATTAGAAGGCATGCCAACTCCCGGTTTGGGAAAATCGGTGTCCTGATTGAACTGATACCAGGTGGCGATGACTCTACACGCGGATCAGCAAATGTAGACTTCAATGACGATTAGCGCCATTACCTTGTTGCCATGTCCGTCACTCGCGACTCTGGCAATGAGCCATTCTTCACGGCTTCAACCAAGTGGTCGCCCCAGAAATCGCTTGCACCGGGCATGGCTACATCCAGGCCAGCTTCTGCAGTAGCAACTCCTGCATGCTGAGCGCCCCAGTCGGAAACAACGAACCCCTTAGTTCGAACAATTTGTCAGCGACACCATACAATGTATAAGAGGGGGTATTAAACAATAAAGATAGGAGGGCACTAGGACAGGAATTTACGCACCTGGAAACCGAGCTCAGTCTTGAGAAGGCCATTCAAAGTTTTGCTATTGGAACAGCCGTACGAGTTGTTGACACGCTGGTAGGAGCACATGATATTTCCACTACCTGCTCTCACAGCATCTTGAAAGGGCCTGGTAAGGGGGACTGGTGATTAAAATTTGATCATAGATGACTCTCAAGGGAGCTGCTCTTTCTTACCATAGATATACTTCGTGCATTGTCTTATCGTCAATGTTCGAAGACACAGAGGACGTATTTCCTTCTGGATTACGGTTGGTCTCTTGCTCGTTGCCGATGTAGTGCTGCGAACGTATTAAATGTCGTGCTCTAGGATCTCACATCTCTGGTGAATGACGAGAGCTATTGGAGGCTGACTTACCTTGGTACTAGTAATAACTCCCTGCCCCTGAATGCCAGAAACAGTCTGAGAAACCAAGACGCCAGACAGCCAAGGATCGACAGAGATGCCTTCCCAGTTTCTTCCACCACGAACAATACGCCAAGCAGGGCCAACAACAGGGCCGAGTAGGACATTGACGCCTTTCTTCTTGAACTCTCCACCCATGGCAGCTCCTCTCCTAAAAGCCAAGTCCTTACTCCAGCTAGAGCGCGGTTAACTTGATGGTGTTCTTCGATTGGATAGCCGGAGGTTGACTGAGAAAAGCTAAAAGGGTCTCTCACCTAGCACCAACATGAATTCCGCTGGGGAAACCGCTGACAAAATCTGTATTGCGAAGCCCATTGCCAGCATCACTGAGGCACATACCCGGAAACTTCAGACGCTTGACGGCAGGAATGAAGCCTGAGCATGTAGACTCAACCGTAACACCTGCTGTTAGACTAACCTAGCGGGATGTCAAAAATTTGATTCATTTGTAGACGGCATCTAAGTCTTGTATATCCTCCCCTTACCTTTTCTTCCAAAGTCATCTTGCCGACCAAGGCCTTGGCCTTTTGGAAAGCCGCCTCCCACTCATTGCCGCCCACCATTTCAGCTATTCGGCCATAGTATCAACATTAGAATCTTGCATATTTCGATCAGGCTATTGGGACATACGCGATGGATAAACTGGCGGCGATTGGCCGTAGAAGTGAGCATCATCAGTGATGACATCTCCAGCGGCGCCCGTCCAGAACGCGAGGCCCGCAAGTAGGGCGATGTGCTTCATTACCACCATGATTTCGGTCGATCGCAAAACGAATATCAGCGCTAAACATGCGTGTCTACTGCTGGCAATTGAATACGTCAAACGGAATATCGATTGGCTCTAGAGACGAATCATTCGCGCGCTCGCAGGCTCAAAGACGAAAACCTCATTGAAATTGCAGAAAATGACGTTGCCGATAAGTCTTTCTATTACGAGTTGTATTCACTGAAAGAAACAAACAATTCCATGCTACTCGCAGACGGCAGTAGATAACAAGAGGAAGAGGGTAAAGAGGAGAGAAAGAGGACTAGAAAAGACACGAGAAGAGGGGAACCAAACAAGTTGATTTATCCCCGTCACTGATCTAAACAGCCGTGAATTGAGACATGCATACAAAAAAAGCTCCCTTCCATTGTCTGTGTAACTCGGCAAAGCGGCAGCTCTTTCCCACTGGCTAAAAGGCGATCAACTGCCTACTAGGTAATTTGTAGGCATGTAACAATACAGCAGCTGCCGTAAACCGCAACCGCAACCGGCCTTTTGTTGCTTGCTTGTTTACATACATACAAACTTGGAGACTGGTGTGTGTTGCCTTCCCCGCAAAAGCCGGACGAGAAAGAAGGCGGGAAGGAGCGCAGCAGCCGATTGGCGAGTTGGCGAGGGCTGGGGCTAATGAGAGAGCTTGGAGCTCTTTCTTTTGCTTGGTGGAGGGTGACCCACTGCCAATGACGATCGTGGTGCATGACGTTTTGTAGAAGTACTCTGTAGTGTGATGTTCGTTTTTATGGGTTTTGTGTGGTATTCATGAGTCAAAATACGAGGTTATGTTTATCTTTACGACGCGTTCGTTTCTTTAGATGTTGGATAAAAAGAAATTTCAATAGTAGTGAGGGGGAACCTGAAAATGAGAAAAAGGAAAAAAAAAATCAACTGAGCGAGTAGCAATTGCACGTTTCGATCGTGCGACCTCCGGGTTATGAGCCCGGCGCGCTTCCACTGCGCCAAATTGCTTTCTAACCTGCTGCGGTTGTTGGTAAGGATGCGGAGCTCAATCCAATTATGAACACAGTACCAAGTCACAACAATCAAGAAATTCAACCTTTCAAGACTGGCTCAGTTCATGCTACAAAATACGATTCGCAAAATTGCATTTCAGCTGTTTGATTGTATCCTTAGAGATCAATCGCTAAAACATGATGATTTCTGCAATAATCCAGGCACGCATCCGCCATGCCCCGACCCATATGGACCATCGGCCTATCAATCTGCCACGTGCTTTCATCCCGTCGTCGCGCTATCCATCCGCACATCAAGCACCTTATAAAAAAGAGAAGAGAGAAAGAATTCAAGCACACTTTTCAACATATCTGCTTGCAATTGCAGACTGATCAAGTCTAGTAATGAAAATAAGAGAAGACTTAGGTATCACTGATGAAAGGAAAGAAAATATATAATATCCACCAGTCCTTCATTTGTCCACAGGATTCTGGTTTCCCCTTTTCCACCTCTTCCTCATTGCCCCCGCATCATGTCTTCTTAAGATATCAACTTCAACCCCAGTAACGTAAACTCAAGCAGGCATCCTCCTTCTTCTCATCCTAGATTTCAACAGTCCTCCCCCTCCACCCCCTCCATAGCAACAGTATAGACTGGCTGGGGGAAATATACAAAGAAAATAAACAAAAGGGTCAAAATAAAATAATAAAATAAAAAACACGGAAGAGTGGCATGCCCCCGCTAGTGTATATGTGAGACAAAAAGCAAAAATGCAGCTGAGAAGCCTTGGTGCCGATGAATAATGAATGTGAAGCCGTAAAATGCCATAATCATGCATGAAAAGGGGGGCCGAGTCGACTCAGGCAGCAGCCCTAAACCTAGGTGTCAAAAAATAAACCGGTGGTCGAAGCGTAGATCGAGATCCAGGCAGGTAAAATAACGAGTAGGCGACGATAATAACAACATTGATGGAAAGATGAAAAAGGTGCTCTAAATAAGTAACCTGGAAAAACACAAGTGTTAATAATCCACGCTACCACGCAATGTAGCAATAGATTGAAAAGTACGTTAGGGACCTTATAGTATTAACTTTTTGAGGTTTCGCTGGATAATCATGTCTTGGACGGAGCCCATTGTGATTTTCAGCAGGTTTGTGTCGGTGGCATTTGTGAAATGACCGTAGATTTCTTTTTCGGGGTTCCTGCTCAGGGCTCGGAATTTGTCTAGGAAGTATTTGCTGGCCGCCTTGTAGTCGTCGTCGGGTCCGTGATAATCGGTGAATCCGTACTTGGAGATCGGGCTCTTGGGTAGCTTCTCTTTGAACAGATCCATCTTGTTGAGGAACAGGATCAAGGATGTCATGGTGAACCAGTGTGAGTTGGCGATGGATTCCCACAGCATCAAAGCCTCGTTCATTTGGTTCTATCGTCTCATGTCAGTGCATCGCGTAGCGTTGAGTAGTAGATCTTCTCTTGCAATAAAAACTTACGCCATCCTTGTCTTCCACAAGACACTGATCGTAACCACTAATAGCAACCAGGAAGAGCAGACAGTTGACATTCTCGAAACAGTGGATCCACTTCTTTCGTTCTGATCTCTGACCACCGACATCAAACATACGGTATGTCAGCTGGCCAAGGTCAAAAACGGTTTCTGTGATACCTGTAGTTCTCAGTCGAGAGCGGAGCAGATCTTGGTCATTCGGTACATAGCCGTCAGCCCATATCCGGTCAATGTCTGTAACGAAGCTGGAATGGAGTTAGCTATTTCGCTACAACTGGATAAATAACGTTGCGGCTGTTTGAGCAGCAAAGGGTGGACTGACTATGTGAGGTTATCGTGCAAGGCGTATTCATTGCCCTTGGCAACTGCCGCCAGCACTCCGCTGTCTTGCCATAGCGCCTTGATAGGCTCTAGGTAGTCCTCAGGCATGCCACTGTCTGGGCTGATTTCGTTGTCAACCAAAATGTGAGCCATGTATTTCTATAAATAGCATGCGCGTTAGTAAGTGTTTCATGATCTTGAGCCGTGTAGCACCCGTATTGCCCCTCGGTGCTATATGGCAGTGCATCCACGGATAGCGTAACACAAGCACAAACACGGGGCTGACGTTGGGAGCGTATATAGAGACAGGCAAGGGTTGTGCAGCAATGAGGAGGGGCCCGAGGCTCAGTGGTGATTACAAACCTCGTTATCTGGGCTGTCATATTCGATTCCAATCTCGGACATGGCCTCGGAGATGGTCTTGAATGACTGGACAATGTTGCTGAAGATGACTGGCTTGAAATCAAGTCTTTCGCTCTTGTTGAAGCCTTGAGCATAGATAAGCTTCATCTGCTTCAGAATTGTAGATTTTCCAGACTCTCCAGCACCTATAGATGGTAGAAACACGAGCGCGTTAGCATATTCAATACCACAGCAGCAATTGATATTATGCCTTTGCCCAATCCATTGCTATCCATTGCTATGCTATCTTTTCTCCTAGCAGCTGAAAACTGGAGAAGAAAAAAGCAAAAGGAAAAGAAAAGGTTTCGGCAGGATATCACAAGCAAGACTTACCCAACAGCAACAGCTTGACTTCTTTAGCCATGCGCTTCTCCTCCTGGCGGATGACCTTGTCCAGCTCTCGCGAGCGAGCCTCGCCATCTTCGTTCTTGTTCCGAGCGCCGAAGCACATCGTGGCGTTCTGTGACCAAGGATTGGCCGTCGTGACGGTCTAATGGTGTTATGTGATGTGCAATGGCTGAATCGGCGGCCGGGTCGTGAAGTCGCGTTCACGGAAGCGGCGGCCTGCGGAGAAGGCTTGAAATCAACGGGTAGCGGCAGAAATACCGGCTACTTTGTCTTTTCTTTTTTTTTGGACGTGTGTGCGCAAGTGTGTGCGTCCAAGGCGTGTCAGTTTGCAATGGCAAGATTATCGCTTAGCAAAAATGCTACCGTGCTACCAACGTTCGATTGGGAGGGAAATGCGGTGCTTCCCGGGCTTGCTCTCTTCGCCCCTTTGTTTCGCGGTCGTCTCTGTGCTGCGCGTAAAGGCCCCTGTCAATCTCGAGTCCCTGTCGGCCCGTCGCTGTGTAGGGTCCGTCAATCGTCGCCGTCCGTCGTCGATCGGGGTGAGGATCAGGGCACGGATGGAGAGGAGAAGAGAAGACGGGCTTTGGAGAAGAGGTTTGGAACTACCAAGTAGGCAAGGTTCAAGTACAACTAAGCAAGCAAGCAAGCCAACGACAACTGAACTTACACTACCTTGCCGGACAGCACTAGCACTTCGGCAGAAAAGTGGTGACCAGAGGTACAGTACGAGGAGAAGAGAAGAGAAGAAAATGACAAGATTAAACCCTTTGCCGCCCCCCGTCCAAAAGGCGCCGGGGATGACAAACTGCGACAGCCTATTGTGCCTTTGGGGGGATGGATTTCTTACAGCAGTCAGTCTAAACAACCTGTATTGAGCAAGCTGCTGCCGAAGCATGGCATTTGCATGGGGGCCCTTGGCGGTTCTTTCTATGCATGACCGGGGGTCTCTAGTGCCTGCGGCGGCCGAGCCTGCCATCGAGCTTCTCTTCGAGAACACCAAGACACTCTAGCGTCCTTCGACGCTACGCTACAGGGGGCGAATAAGGGGCTTGTAGTGGACAGGCCTAGGAGATACTTGTATGCTACTCGACAGGGATGGGTGAGTACTTGATAAAGCAGAGGGAGACTTGGGAGAGTCGGCAAAGGTTACGCTTTATTAGCCCACGACCATTGTATTACTGTCCCACACAGAGGTACTGTCTGGGTCTTCGTCCCGAGTCGACAGCGGAGTAGAGTCTACCGCCAATTCTACATCTGGATTCCAGTTCGGCCCGTAGAGGATACCAGGGCAGAGCCGGCCATTTGCGGCAAAACGCATTCAACAAGACTGGCGGAACCAACGCCCCCGAGGTCGCAAGTACCAGCCGCTGCTCAATCTCGACAGCAGCACAGGTACACAGTACCTCCGGCTGCGTACTCCGCATGGCTTCCTGTAGCTTTAGGCCTACCACCTGAGTGCCACGGAGCTCCTCATCTTCAACTCCATTTTAGTGGTCCCTGCATGCGGCGAACACGTTTTTCCACACCAAATGCTGAAGAGACATTTTGCCAACTACCGGAACGGCGGATCAAGACGACTCGTGGCATGACCTGATGAATATGGGCAATCCCTGCGCGCGTGCCGCCGTGCGGAGCAAAATGTCATGACGGAGGCAAAAAGATGTTGTCAACATGATGAAGAAAATTTTGAAGAAGAAGAAAAAAAGAAGAAAAAGAGCCCACAGAAAGGGAGATGATACTCCGTAGATGGAGGCCGTAGATGGAGGCAAGATGGATGCAAAAAGTGGTTTCATTCATTCGCAAGCACAGACTCCCTCCAAGTTGCTCTCTTCGCCACCAATGCTACCGCACTCGTCGGCAGATGGGCCAGCTCCTACCTGTATAAGCATGCAGACAACAAACCATTCTGCTTACGACCACAACTCACCAAATGCTTACCAGCATGCGCTGCGACTACGCGCTGCTACCCAAGAACATCAGACGGCTGCGCTCTGAGCCGACCAAGAGGCCAAAAGGCCGCGCCTTGGGAATTCCATTCGCAAAAGCACCGGCAAGGCTCGCACTTGGAGGCACTAAAGCCGGTGCTAAGAGCAATTGATCCCATGCCAACTGCGGTTGACATTACGCCACCCGACTCAAAAAGCTGCCTCAGGGAATACGGAGTGGTAATGCTAGTGGCTAGTGATTGCAGAACGAGAATGGCTGATCCGGGTATGCATCCAGAGTGCCTCCGTAGTCCTGTATCATTTCCATTCCTTGGTTTCGGCACCAAGGCGAAGGAAGGATGGGACATTTGATTGATGACCCAGGATGCAATCAATGCAGACATACAGATCGGCGGGCATCGTCCATCCAGCGTCTCAGCTATCAAGAATGCGAAACACCAGTCTAACTTTCTACTTTTATTCTTATTTCCCCATTCTCTTTGTACGAGTAATGATCTTGCTCGTGCCAGCATTATCCCGAAAAGACGAAGAAAAAAGAAAAGAAAAGAAAAATGGGAAGGGAAGGGAAAAAGCGTCCCTACCGAGAGACACTCGCAAGCATCACCGTGGCGAAGGACGGCCCGTGCCAGGGGAGGCTCTCCGCCTTCGCGTGCTGGGTGGAGCTTGGATAGTTCGTTCAAACTTGCTAGCAAAGGACCGGCCATGTTGATGTCTCTGTTAGTTCGAGCCTCCAATTAATCCTACTCGTACATTACGAGGCATACGACACGGCGCAGGTACTTATTACTCGTACTAGCACGACTACTGCGACTACTTGTGTTGCGCTCATTCCAACAGCGCCGGCGTCAGGTGTAGCGGCGACGATCACTTTGATATCGTGAGATTTGCACGGAGCGGTTGGGGGTGGAAAAAAAAATAGGAGAAACCGGTTCAACACATTCGCGGGAGCTTATTCACGTACGAGTACACGGTAGCATCGGTAAGCCTCTCGCATGTCATTTGCATTCCTATCGGAGGAGGTGGCGGCCGCAAACGGAGATTTTTACAACTCTTGCCTTGGTCGCACATGCTCGGCAGCCTCGTGCTTCTAAGACTTGGTGTTGCAGTGCAGCTTGGATCGGCACTTTGGGTTGTCTCGCCTGCACCGCACGCACGAGGAAGAGGCTCTCGTATTTTACTTCACATGACTGCCATGCTGCTAGGATATTTTTGGGTAGACTCGTTAAAGGAGCAAGGCTCTAGGATGATGCTACTTCACAGTGCAATACCAAGGCCAGTCAATACAGTAGCACAGAGCCTCGTCCATGTGGCATGCAAGTCATTTTGCAGCATTCGTTGCATACAACGATCTGCCAGACGACAATCTCGACGCTGGCTGCAGCTCGTCAGCCTAGGGTTGCTAGCGTATTGCAAACCGTGCCGTGTCTCGGTCGTCGTACATGAGATGAGAACGAATTGAACTCAACTGAACTTGTACACACGCGAAGCAGCTTATTAGTAACAATCTCCAGATGAAAATGCCTCATTGGGCATGGAGCAACCTCGTGCTTGGTCGCATTGGCTCTAGTGTCGATAAAGATTCCTGTTTGGCATCGAATAGGCGTTTGACTCGGTTGCATTCCGTGGAAAGCCGGCTGCTTATCCGCGAAGTTGACCAAAGACATCAGACAACGTCCACGAGATCTGAGTTGCCCAAAAGGTTATGAGGGGGCCAGATGACAGACAGCCACAGACAGCCATCGTTTGTGCAACCTACAAGACGTGTTACAGTGGTTTGAGCCTTGGCCAACTTCATGTTGTCATCTATCAGCTTTTCTCCCAGCCTGCCCGGGGTCTCATTTGCTCAATGACACCAGAACCGCGTGGCAATTTCGCAAGGTGCCCTTGGCCAGTTCATTTTTTACGACATGTCAAAAAGGGCACGGGTGCTCCATACCAGTTGGCAACTGAAGAAAAAAAGAAAGAAAAGATTAGTGTGCCGATGGCGGGCCATGTTTGATTTGAAACATCGGCGCCATGGCAAGGGTCTGTAGCGTGGGAGGAGGCCTAGACGGGGGGGTCCCTTGTCGTGGACCAGGTACGAAATGGTGTCGATGGAGCGGTACGGAGTGGCATCGCCTAGGTCGGCCAAGTCGAATATCCAGTCAGTCTCTGTTACACTCCGCATCTGGCTGTGTACCGGGATTTCAGTCTGGTTGGAGATTCCGCGATGGGCAGCTGTGGGCGATTCGGTGCTGATAGAGCCGGTCTCATCGGTGCTTAGTGATGCTACCTTGCCAACTTATCAGGTAGGTAGCTTTCTTCAAGATTTTTTGCACGGACTGGGTACGGAGTATTCAGTTGGAATAAATGCCCCGAGTCCGATACGTCATACACGTGCTGTATCTACATATGTTGTGCCGTAGATGGCCATCGTGAACATGCGTTTTTGGTGGTGCTCCCGGGAGTGGTGGCTACGCATCAGCGCACTGACACTCACGGTAGAAACCCGAGAATTATCATACAAATTCTAGCATTCCTGATTTTAGTAGACATACATTTTAAACCGTAATAGATTGGACTGGTCGGCAAGTATCACTATCATTAGACATCGAGTTGTTGGCCCCAGAATCGAGCTACCCTAGAACACTACCAGTGAGTACGATCACAGAGCACGCCCGGAGACAGTCACAGTCCAACAAGTGTTTTGGGATATCCATTAAAGTGTGCAACACAATCGGCTGAGTTAATGGCATGATACAGCTTGTTAGGGTGGCTATGAGTATCTCTTGGCGATTTGGTAACACACAGATAACCTTGCCTCCATTAATAGATCCTTCAATGCCACACAAGACATGGTCCCCCACCCTTCAAGCCAGAACCAACTGCAATGTGACTTCGGTTATTTCTAACAATGGCCAAAGATCGGCATTTTGGACTGTTTTGGCAAATCCCACGGGGAAGATATTGACATGCCTTCCCAAGCGGCGCCCCGTTAGATCTCTCTCCCTAGAGGCGGCTTATTTTGTCCTCGTGATATCATGCGAGGCACCTCTGGAACGATGTATAATTTCACTGCAACAATGTGTGTATCAAATAGCTTTCGCTGTTATTTGAGTCATTTATATGTAGCAAGATAAACCTTCGTGCTGTAAGATGTGCATATGAGCATTATGGGCAGGACTGAATAAGCCATCCATCTTCCAACTTTGAGTTTCCGGGGTCAAGGTAAAAGTAACTCGTTAAAACCGCTCTGTCTTGCCGACATAAAGCTTCTGGAGTTAATTACCCGACTTTGGAACTGCTTCAATGTTGGGAAATAAGCTTAGATGCGTAACTACTTTCGTCATATTGACTACTACCTAGAATATTGTAGTCTTCTATTTCCTAAATATGCATAACAAGCTCAACTCTTCAGGATCTTTTTTTTTTTTACCATGATCAAATCAGACATGCGTATTAATTTGATAACACTGTAGATATTAGTTATGATGACATCCCTGTCAACATTATCGGCATGGGAAGAAGCGTCAAAGAGCAACAGCAAAAGACACTCGGTTATCGGGCTACTGGTAGAGCTTTTGTAACAGACAACGGGCCATGTCTCTTTCTCCATGGCAAATATTCTCTATTGCAAAGGTAGAGAGAGGAGTTTATCACGATCGACTCACATCTGACCCTCGCCAGAAGCTTTTTGCTAGACCTTAAGCCTTCGGGGAAGCACATATCCGTAGAGACTGCAGCTACAACAATAGCCATTGATGGTTTTGTTTTACCCTACTTAGGCAAGAAGTGAATCGCTATTGTAATCTGCTAATGGACTTTACTGTTTGTAGGTCATTACCCGCAGAAATCTCATATTCGCTATAATTGTGAGTCCAGAACAGGCGTTTCTTCATATAGGTATGGAAGCCATACTACACTGTAGCTCAATGGTATAGTGAATTTAAATCATAAATCTCTTTGGTCTGAAATGCCGCCTGTCGCAGTATCGATCTCAAGGAGATTCCGAATAGGCAGTCGCAATCGCAAGGAGTTGGTGATGCCGTGGTGCCGAAGATGATGCCTTTGACCTATCAATGGGAAAGGCCAAGACGAATCCCCAGTAATAGTCCATGACAACCAAATCGACGGTAACGACAGGGAAACACTCCGGACAGTTGCTCCAAAATTTCGACTTGTGATGCTGCTATTTTATGCGCGGCTGTCCCAAGGCCACGACTATACATTTGTTTCGATTATATGTAAATGGCAAGCACTCAAGCCTCTCATCCCAATAACATCAGCTGCTAGAAGAACGGAGACGATAGTAACAGCAACGAACATGCCTGGTATCCCTGCCATTGAAGAGTGACAGCAATTATAAAATTTGGCTGCCTATATATGTGAGTAAATACTCTCACCCTCTGCATATTGCAGTGACGCCCACATCAACCATATTGACCTTGAAGACGAAACACTTGAACGCTTCTCGAACAGTGTTAGATATAATGTAACAGATGCTGTTTAGTATCTACATTGAGACTAGTCTTTCATCTATATTCCGTTGTAGGAACTCCAGAGAGGGCCACAACGCCTGAGTAGCGTGATAAATTGCCTCATGGGGGAATTTCCTGAGAATCTGGAGGTTTGGTGGATTCAGGGCTGTTGAAGGCGGAACTCGCCAACCAGTCATCTACCAATTTTTTGCTTCTTCAGGTACATGGTCCCATTCCGCAGCTTAATAAAGGTACCTGGGAGAGATACCGTTTCGGTTCTGGAACCAGGCGCTGTGGCCAATCAGCAGCTCCGTAGGCAAGCTGGAGCCCAAGTGCTGGTCTCGGCTAGCTCGAAGCTTCCCGACGTCATGCTGTGCAGCAAAGTAGACTGATGGTAGCACCGCAAGCAGAGGAAGTACCTATAGTCTTTTTCGTTGATCTCCAAAACTACCATGATGTTGATATTAATGAAATAAGAGAGAACACTGGGTTGAATAGACAGACCCCCATACGGACAGGCATGATTCAGGCAGTTTGTTGTCCTCGTGGCACTGCATCTCGCACGATACAAACTCGGGCTCTTGCTCTCGGTCTCCAGTTGGCAAAAAGTGCGCCAAAATTTTTCACCCCACCAAACCCAAAGCCAAACCCAATTGCGACCGGTCTGTTCCATGCCTCTGTAGGCGCTCGGCTCCCTGCTTTTCCTCTCCCGACTTTTCCTCCCTTGACGCCGACTTCTTTTTCTTTTTCTCCTTTTTCTCCTTCATCGACTTTTCTTCATTCCACTTTGATACCCCGTTTCCCATCTTTTCGCCGTTTCCACACAGCAAACACAATGTCTGACGAAATTGTTCACCCCACCATCCAAGGTTTGTAGCTAAAATCCCATCCACGATCTCTCTGCCATACCCCGCCCTGCCTTGGAAATTTTTATTCCAACTGCCCTCCCATGGTCATGACTGGCATGGCGATGGGATGATGGATTCATTTGCCCGCTTCCCTTAGGGCATGGGCGAAGCCAATGTTACACAATGCTCGAGAACCTGGCAAGCTGCCTGTTCATCCGGGTGTCTTGATAAGATACCTATCGAGATAAGAAAAAAAAAAGTTGTTATGGTGGGGTCACGATGAAGCAAAGGCCTTCTATGTGAAATCGACGTCAACGCTTGATTGGACCTATATCGATACCTCACGGACCTGATGCTAACTACTGGTGCTACCTCACAGATGGATGGTACCGCGAAATCTCCGACATGTGGCCCGGCCAGGCCATGACCCTCAAGGTCGAGAAGGTTCTGCACCACGAGAAGAGCTTGTACCAGGACGTGCTCATCTTCAAGTCCACCGACTACGGCAATGTCCTCGTCCTCGACAACGTCGTCCAGGCTACTGAGCGCGACGAGTTCTCCTACCAGGAGATGATCACCCACCTCGCCATGAACTCCCACCCCAACCCCAAGAAGGTGCTCGTCATTGGCGGTGGTGATGGTGGTGTCCTCCGTGAGGTCGTCAAGCACGACTGCGTCGAGGAGGCCATCCTCTGCGACATTGACGAGGCTGTCATCCGCCTGTCCAAGCAGTACCTCCCCGGCATGGCCGTTGGCTTTGAGCACCCCAAGTCCAAGACCCACGTTGGCGACGGCTTCAAGTTCCTCGACGACTATAAGAACACCTTTGACGTCATCATCACCGACTCTTCTGACCCCGAGGGCCCCGCCGAGAGCCTCTTCCAGAAGCCCTACTTCCAGCTCCTGCACGATGCTCTCCGTGACGGAGGTGTCATCACTACCCAAGGTTGTATGTCTCTTTTTTCTTTGGGAAGGCGAGCAGCCCCCCAAGGGTGTAGCCGGCCTGCTAGAAGCGACCCGGGCTGTTTTTCTTGCCTTTGAAATCAGTTTTGGTGATTGCATCAGTGTCCGACTCCCTAGGGGCTGCCAGAGCTAGTGCTGCCTTCTCAATTGAGCCTCTTGGTAGTTCCGAGAAAGGCGACTTTGTCTCAGGAAAGGAAAACACACAGGGCGAAGCGTTTTCGCTTAGCCAGAATTCCCGAGCCCTTTTCATTCTTAGATTGGGCAAGCAGCTAACATTTGTGGTTCAACCAGCCGAGAGCCCCTGGCTCCACCTCCCTCTCATCGCCCGTCTCAAGAAGGACTGCGGTGAGGTCTTCCCCGTCGCCGAGTACGCCTACACCACCATCCCCACCTACCCCTCTGGCCAGATTGGCTTCATGGTCTGCTGCAAGGACGCAACCCGCGACGTCAAGGTTCCTCTGCGCAGCTGGACCAAGGAGGAGGAGGATGAGAAGCTGCGCTACTACAACTCCGAGATCCACAAGGCCAGCTTTGTCCTGCCCAACTTTGCCAAGAAGGCTCTGCAGTAAGGGATGGTAAAAGACACTTGTGTTGATTTTTATTGAATGGGAGCGTTTGGATCAAACGAAAGAAAAAAGGGAAAATTAAGAGAGGGGACGCGGGTTCTCCTTTACTGATGGGCAATGGCTTTATGAAAGAAAATGTCTTAGACTGATAGCTGTCCTGGAAAGGATTGAGCGCTACATGGGAAGATCTACACTAAATGTTGAAAAGACATAAAACAATATTTATATATCGATTTTCTCATGAAGAGACTGTTGCGTACTACCTGTTTGTGATAAGCAAGATGCGAGAATCCAGTACATTGCCCTCTTACAACGTGATACGTTATCCAATCATTGTGTCGGAATCATGATCAATTATTATTTTACTGCTTTGTTTATTTTTTTTATTCTCTGTATGATGCTCAGATTATTTATAGCTCGTCAAACGAGATCTTGCCTTGATTAATATCAGGGTATACATCAAATCTTCTCTGGTTGTTCAACGGGATATTTTTCCGGGCCTCCGCAATATCCTCGCCCACCAGCTCCGCCTGGACAATCGTCTCTGTCTCTTCCGCCTCGACTAAGATCTTGGCCATTGGGTTGACAATCAAGCTGTGCCCCCAGGCGTTGTAGCTGGCGCTCATGTCTCTGGCAGGGCTGCACAGGGCCACGTAGATCTGATTGTCGACAGCACGAGCCTGAGCGAGCAGGCGCCAGTGCAGGGCGCCGGTGGTGAGGTTGAATGCGCCGGGGTAGATGAGGGCAAAGGCACCGCGGCGGGCAGCAATGGTAGCGAGCTCAGGGAAGCGGACGTCGTAGCAGATGGCGACGGCAATGGTGCCGTACTCGGGCAACTCGATGAGAGTCAGCTTATTGCCGCCACTGAGGACGTCGGACTCCTTAAAGAAGATCTTGCCGGGGATATCAATGTCGAACAGGTGAACTTTGCGGTGTGTGCCTAGCAGCTTGCCGTCGGGGCTAAACGTAAGGCTGGTGTTGTAGTACTTCTTGGTCTCGGGATTCAGCTCGGGGATCGAGCCGCCGACGAGATAGACGTTGTTCTCCTTGGCCATGGCGGATAGCGCGTGGAACGAAGGCGACTGCTCTTTTGTGGGCGGCGACGGGAGCAGCGTCTCTGCGTACTTGGGGAAGTAGTCGCATCCGTAGGGCGAGTTGAAGCACTCGGGCAGGATCACGAGCTTGGAGCCCGACTGGGCGGCCTCGGCGACCTTTTCGGCGGCGTGCTTGAGGTTGGCATCCTTGTCGGCGCCGGAGGCGAGCTGGATGCAGGAGATGTTGATGGGCTTCTTGAGCACCGGGGCGGGAGCCGACGACATCTTGCGGAGGAATGAGGAGCGGAGGAGGGGTGCGAGGGAGGCTTGGGGCTTGAAGAGGTATCTGGAGCTTTGGAGTATTGGCAGTCCGATTCTCTTGAGAGATGTTCGCATGACGGAGGGGACAGAGTGAAAAAGCACGGCTGGCGATGATGAGGTGAGGTGAGATAATAGCCTAGCTATCTTAGCTACTACATAGATTGAAGCCCGATAGCGATGCCGGAGGGGGCGGCGGTTCGGAACGGCTACGGAAGGGAGACCGAATTGTTGCACTAAATCATTACGGGGACTTGGGGGAACAGCGGGTATGCTGCAACAAAGGTTCCTTCTACATGCATTTGATAGGCGACGAGGGGTTCGGTGCATGTACCCAGTACATTATGCACGTCATCATTGGGAGTTCCTAGGTGCAGGGAAAAAAAAAGAGAAAGCGAAGAGAGATGAGAGGAATTTCAAAGGAGATGTATCGAATAATTACAACGCAGAAGAAGCAAAAAAAGAAAGGATACCATTTAGCAATTGCACGTTTCGATCGTGCGACCTCCGGGTTATGAGCCCGGCGCGCTTCCACTGCGCCAAATTGCTTTTCTTTGGTGATATGGCACCTTGCTATGAGTCATGATATAGCCTTTGGCCTACGGCTGGTGGATACGCGAAGGCGTGATGACAGTGGCCTGGGCACATGTGAGCTTGTAGCTTGTTATCATGCCTTGTTATCGCGCATTGTGTCCCGTGCCTCTTATCGATGTGGCTCTTGTGCTGTGTAAGACATTGCGACGACGAATGGCAGCTTGGAGGAGATGCAGTTGATGCAGATGGTGTCGCATGCCGTGCTTTCATTGGAGGTGATGGGAGTTGCGAGCGTCATATAAAATGGATGAGGTGTCGCATTCGTCATTTGCAGGTGGACTAGCATGGAGATGGCAGGGAGCGGCAGCCAAAGGTGCCAAGTAGGGTGAATTGTGCTAGGTGTCTAATAAGACTTGGTGCGAAATAGTATAGATTCTTGTTAAGGCACTAACTGCAGCTGTGTGCCGCTTACCTTAATTCAGCTGCCTGCTTTTCTTGCCAGGTACCGCAATCTGCCACAGCCTCAATCGGGCCAGGCAGCCTCTCTTTCATTTCATTGCTCAATTCCCATCTCGACACCTGTTCTCTACTAAAGAGAAATCCTACCACTTTTTTTTTCCCTTTGTTGACCCTCACAAAAGAACTTGTCAGCGATACATCTTGTATGCCTCAGTCATGACCCGGGTCTACGTGTACACAGCGGGTTTCGTGGCCTTTGTTGCCGGTACGTCATCAAAATGGCCACCCCATACTGGCGAGCTCCAGCTTGAAGCTTTGTTCACGATGGGATCGATCGCCAAGCAAAAATTGGCAGCGCCTTTTTTGTCGCTACGTGGCAGTGAAAGACAGGACTAACTCGACCGCACAGTTACCGCCATGGTAATCGCCTCCGTCTCCGAGCCCCATTGGGTTTCGTACTCGGTGACAACGACCAAAGGCGAGACGTTGGAGAAGCACATCGGGCTGCACAAGAGCTGCTCCAGCCTGGACGACCCCCACTGCCGCGATTTCCCGTCCACGGAGCTGTGTCAGTATGGCGAGCGGTACTTTTGCTCCATGTGGAGGACGGTGGGCTTCATGGCCTCGTTTGTCATTGTTCTGTGTCTGGGCAGTCTGATTGCTTTTGCGATCGTCATGGGTGGCGGAAAGTATAGACGCGAGACGGGCTGGCCGTTTGTCGCTGCTCTACTGACGCTCGTCTCTGTTGTCGAGTTCATCATTATCTCCATTGTGGTACGTAGAGATAAGAGTGTACTGTTGCAGCGGGCTCGGGGACTGACGTTTCACACCATAGGCATACTTGTACGACCATGACGATCAGTTTACCGTTCCGGGATGGAACCTGGATGTTTCGTGGTATCTTGGCACGGTTAGCGCTGCGCTTTCTCTGATCACTGCCGGTGGCCTGGCTACGTCTGCCTATTTGCTGCCACCGGAGGAAGGCTACGAGTTTCTCAACGACCCCGTTAATGCTTGAGTTTGTCTCGCCTTTACACGATTTACGGCTTTGCTCATTCAGTTTTCTTCATTTTCATCGGGCGGCATTGGATTATTGATTTCATCTTTTAAACTTCTCATTCTTCATTATTGGGAACTGGACATTTGGTGTTATAGCTTTGGCGCTTGGGAGTTGTCAAAACACACGGTTGGCTGAAATGAGAGTCTGACGCTGTGGCGGTATGTTACTGTGCTTCAAATACAGTTGCGATATAATAATACAAGACATATTCGCGATAAAATCATGAGTCCCTTGTATCAAACCTCGTAACTCGCGATCTTTACTAGCTGGAGCTGCTGTATTTCAATCCCTATCAGGGCCGTCGGCGGAGTCCGACTCTCGGAGTGAAGCCCCGGATGATATGAAGCGGCTTCCGGCGGGGTTGATGGAAAACATGGAGCAAAAGGCAATATCACCCCACTTAGAGACACTTACACGCACACTCATTATCAAAAGTTCGCCGATGCCCGTAAGGCGCTTGTAATTTCTCTATCTGGACCTTTTGTTCTGTGTGTCTTTTCTCTCCTTTACTTCTTCACTATCACCTCAAATCTCACTGTAATCTCTCTCCCCTTTGCGGCATCTTCACCATGGCTGAACCAACCCCCGGCCTCACTCCCGAGCAGCTCTCAGCCTTCCAAAAAGACGGCTATCTCATCATCCGCAACGCCCTCAAGCCAGAAACCGTCTCATCGCTCCTCAGCGAAACAAAGGGCCTGCTCGAGGGCTTCTCCCTCAAGGACCACCCGCTGACTCGCTTCTCCACGGGCGAGAAGTCGGACCACGTGGGCGACGACTACTTCCTCACCTCGGGCGACAAGATCCGCTTCTTCTTCGAGGAGGACGCCTTTGACGACGCGGGCAACCTGACCAAGCCCAAGGAGCGCGCCGTCAACAAGATCGGGCACGGCCTGCACGTGCACTCGCCGCCGTTTGCGCGGCTCATTGACGAGGCGTCGACTCGGGCCGCGGGGGAAGTGAGTCCTGCGGCTGTGGCTCGTGATCTCGGGTTCAAGGATGCGCGGTGTCTGCAGAGCATGGTGATTTGCAAGCAGCCCGAGATCGGGGGAGCGGTGCCGCCGCACCAGGACTCGACGTTTTTGTACACGAGCGCGCCGTCGGCCGTGGGCTTCTGGTATGCGCTGGAGGACGCGACGTTGGAGAATGGGTGCTTGAGCTTCTTGCCCGGGTCGCATCGCTGGGCGCCCGTGGAGAAGAGGCTGGTGCGCAAGGAGGGCGGCAGTGGCACGGAGATTGTTGACAATGATGGGCTCAAGTTTCCTCCTGGAGAGGAGTATGGCGGGGAGCAGCTGGATGGGGAGTACATTCCTGGTGAGGTCAAGGCGGGCGATTTGGTTTTGATTCATGGCAACATGCTGCATAAGAGTGAGAGGAACACGAGTCCGAAGGGCCGTATCATTTACACGTTTCACATCATTGAGGGTGAGGGAAGGACGTATGATGAGAGGAACTGGCTGCAGCCGCCGAAGGAGGGCTTCACCAAGTTGTATGCCTAGAGTCAGCCTGGGAGAATCGAGGAATTTATGAGATTAATGCTTCCTTCCTTTGTGATTTTCATGTGCTCATTATGTCTTGAGGGAGTCTATCCAGCGCTCATGCTCTCTAATGATACATATATGCGTATGCACAGTCAAATGCAAAATGGAACCTGAAGAAATCATCACCCACTTTGAGAAGAAAAAGAGAAAAAGAAAAAGACCATTTAAACTTGAGAGTCCCATCCCAGGTATCATATAATCTCCCCCTATGTGGTATGACCACATGCAAACAGCTTACACAAAATAACCCATTCGATCAAGAAGATGAAAAGAAAATTGACACTGTACATGATAAAAAAAGAACTTTTGCCCATACCCCGAATCGCCATGGTTTATAAGGAAAGATGAAGAAGCGCCGCCGTAACATCTATTACTCTTCGTCTGAGCTTTCGTCGTCCGAGTCGGAACCATCTTCAGACTCGGAAGATGAGGACGATGAAGAGGAAGACGAGCTGCTGGAGGATTCGTTACCCGCATCAACTTCCATCTCATTCTCATCTTCGGAGTCGGAGTCATCCGAGGAACTGCTGCTGCTCGTATCTGAGTCGCTCTCCGACTCGGAAGAGCTGCTGTCATCGACATTGGTACGCATCTTTCTCCGCCGCTTGCTCGGTCCATCGCTCAGTTTCACCTTGCTGTCAGCTTCGGTAGCCTTGGTGGTGTTGCTCTCGGCAACGCTCACTTTCCCAGAAGAAACCGTCGTCGTGGTTGTCTGGCTGGCATCGGTCTCCTCGCCCTCAGATAATTGGTCGAGAACCATTTCCGCCCGCATGCGCTTAATCACACGTGTGATGACATCATCAACGTCCTCTGACGATGTTCGGTATTCCTGCTCGTGAAAGGTTTTTCTCTTCTGGCCAGTCTGTGAATGCAGCAATTGGGCAAGTAGCTGGTCGTACTTGATCTGCTTCTCCACAAGGTTGACTGAACCCTGTGGGAAGCCCGCGGCCCCTTCCGTGCTGTCCTTTGTCCGCAGTTCCATGGCAGTTTCTTGTAGTCTCGTGCGAACGAAGCCCTTGATATCACGGATATATGCGTAGAAGGTATCAATATTGGCGGAAGGAAAGAGTATAGGATCGAAGGCGAACTTGATGAGAGTCGATTGGTGATTCTTGTTAAACTTCCACGAGTCTCGAGCCGAATTCCACAGACTCAAGTATTCAAGCGCAGGCTTGATATCCGCAGGGTTAGCAGAGTTGGCCTTAGCAGCTTGCTTCTTGCCAGGGACCTTGGCTTTCTTGGGTTGCGGCTTGTCGACAGGTTTCTTGGCGTCGATGCCGCTCTTGGTGGGCGTCTCGCCAAACGTGACAGACTTCTTCCTTTTCAGCTGAGGGCTAGGAACCGCAGGCTGCGATTCGTTCCTTGATTTTTTCAATGCCGACAGAGGTTCGCCCGCTGGCGGGGCTTCGGGCTTCCGCTTGGACGGCATCGACTGGGTTTGCTGGGTCCTGCTACTGCTTGGATGCCCAACCTGCAGGGTTTCATTTGCTGCCTCGGGGGCGGAAGACTGCTTGAGCTTCAGGCCCAATCGTTTCCAGGCCGGCGCACGAGCCGTCGCTCCGTCGCCTGAGGACACCATGTTGGGTGATATGTGCGAAAAAAAAGTCTTTCTGTCGTGGTCAAAACGTTTGAAAATATGGCTTTTTGAGTCGCAAAAGATCGTCAATTGGGCTCTAGTCGCGCGTGGTTGGAGCCAAGCTCTTTTGGCGTTGGACAACTCGGCAGCAGGAGGCTCTCAGCTGTTGAAATCGAAAAACGAGGCGATTTCGGTGCGGAACAAGCCAATGCAGGTCCCCAATGGCTCGCTGCAATCGCGAATCAGGAACTAATCGATCTCCCGGAGAAGTTGTTCGCGCGCATTTGATCTCTTATTTGATTTCTGCTTGCTCGATAAGATGCCCCGCCGGTTTTTTTTTCTGTCTCCACCGTTACATATCGGTCACCGCGCCTGTCTACAGTAGAGGCTAGAGGCTAGAGTGGGGTGCGACTTGCTGGCGCCTCAGGCTCCAAGATTACATAATGTCTCGACCTCAGCCTTCCCAGAGCTCCCAGTGCTCTAGGCAAGCTGTGCTAACGCGTACGAGTACGGCCTGTAGAGCTACTGGCCCATATCGACGACATCTTGAACTCTGCAATTCCCTCGCTTCGGACCTGATCCAAGGCGATTTTCAACGGCTTCTGCGAATACATCTCCTCGACATTGCCCTAGATAGGGCCAACATACCGTCACCATGTCTGGTTCGTTTGGGCCCATGCCAGCTCTCCCCGCCATACGCCATACAGCATACTGACTTGCAACACCCTCTTAGCCAGCGCATACGACCGACACATCACCATCTTTGCCGACAATGGTCGTCTGTACCAAGTCGGTAAGTTGAAATCCTCGATTAGCAAGGCCGATCCGAGTGCATGGATCGATCTGCGTTGTTCGCACCTAGATATTCAGCCTGAGCCGGCCCGACTGACATCCCCAACACAGAATATGCCTTCAAGGCAATCACAGCCGCAAACATCATGTCTGTAGGCCTGCGAGGCAAGGACTGCGCCGTAGTCTTGTCACAAAAGAAGGTCCCTGTACGTATTTTGGCCACAGAACGCCTTGCGACATGGACTGATCTTGGGATCACAGGATAAACTGATCGACCCCTCATCTGTTTCCCACATCTTCCAAATCTCGCCCTCCGTGGGATGCGTCATCACAGGCTCTATCGCAGACGCCAGAGCATTTTCTCAGCGTGCTCAATCAGAAGCTGCAGAGTTCCGGTACAAGTACGGCTATGAGATGCCCGCTGACGTCCTGGCCAAGCGACTGGCCAACATCAGCCAAGTGTATACCCAGCGTGTAAGGACAACCCCTGCTACCGGATGAACCTTAAAGAACTACGTCACTGATGCTTTCTACCAGGCCTACATGCGACCCTACGGTGTTGCCACTACAATCATCAGCCTAGACGAAGAGCGGGGACCCCAGCTGTACAAGTGCGATCCGGCCGGATATTTCATCGGCTACAAGGGCACTGCCGCCGGACCCAAGCAGCAGGAGGCTATGAACCACCTGGAAAAGAAGCTACGAAACAAGGAGCATGCTGAGGGATCCTGGGAAGAGGTTGTCGAGTTGGCTATCACAACGCTGAGCACAGTTCTCAGCATGGACTTCAAGAAGGGAGAGATTGAGATTGGCATTGTTGGCGGACCTCGGGCGGATGGCAAAGAGGGCACGGAGCCAGGTTTTAGAAAGCTCACCGAGGACGAGATTGAGGAGAGATTACAGGCCATTGCTGAGAAGGATTAGGTAAATCTCATAGATGGATTAATGAAGCAACGTTAGAGACGTCAATTGTCTGCCGAACCAAACGGGCTCTAGGCAGCCGTTAGAAGGCTGCAATGTTGGGATTCGGTCCTATTCAGCAAGTAGAGTTAAAAAACCGGTGCGTTCCAAGTGCCGATAGCCCGTGGGGATTTTTTCTTCTTGTTTCTAAACGAGTGCCTGGAGCATTTTGGAATACTAAGGTGTATAATCTTGTTTCTGGAAGGGGGAAAAAAGGTTGCCTATTGAGGCAGCAGGATTATTTGAGGCAGCCGTAATACTGATCAACTAACACAAAATGGATTACTATTCCATGTTTATACGAGTCATAAACACATATGCTCGTCATAATACGGCATGGCCATTCTCGTACTCATAGCCGAGAAATACAGTTGCATTGAGTAGGACAGCCCGTACGGTGAGGATCCAAGCAACCGGGTAAAGGAGAAGTCAAGGTTAGTCGTAGCCGTAGCTCATGTGACAGACATTCTTAATCCACAAGCTGACTCTTGGGCTGTCCGGGGAATGTGATAGTGAGCACTGCCGCGGCTGTGCTTCTCCGTATTTCGGGTCGAGATGACCCGCCCAAGACCATTAAAATGACAATTTCATGGAAGCCTATGCTGGTGCTGATGCCCAGGGAGGCACAAAGGGCAGATGAGGCGGTAATTGGGATTTGATATGGGCCCCGCTGGTGGAGGCGAGGAGCAAGGGCTTCTCGAACAGGGCGAGCAGGGGGGCAGCGGAAGACGCAGCTTTTATTAGCAAAGTCAGGCGCTATTCAGTGTTTAATAAAGCAGATGCACATTTGATTGGGTATTTTGTGGTATTGTGATTATCAAGCGACCACTAGGTAGTAATTGGGCTCGAAGTTGTCAAGCTACTGTATGGTAAATAGGTGCCTTGGGACTCGTATGAGACGTTGGCACTCCATTAGTAAGGGCCATATGCATGCATTTTGGATGATGTCAAATCACGACTGAAGACGTCGAGTGTAGTTTGGAAAGAAGATCAGTGACAAGATACAGAGACAGTAATAGCAGCAGAGCATCATAAAGCACTGCATCTCTCAGAGCGAAGAAAATTGCCCCTGATGACGAACCCCTAAACCAGGTAGGACAGTCTAGCACAGAATTTCCCCTTGGAAATTGTACTGCGGTTAAGCTGGGTGTTCATTTTGGCAGCTCCTGATTAGGACTAGCTCTTCCTGCCCCTCGACAACTGGAGCGCTAGGCCGGATCATCCCGTTATCGGCTATTCCTGAAGTGGCACTAATTTTCTATTTATTTCCCTGTTTTTTTTTTTGCTTTGTTGATTTTGCGACTGCCTGCCGCGCCGGCTGGCCTCGACTGGCCGTTTTTTTTTTATTACCCAACTCCTCCCTCTCTTCCTCTTCTACATCTCCCACCTCTTGCATTTCTTCGCATCTGAAGCTGCAGTAACTCGATTCTCCTATCTCCTTTTAATACAAACTATTTTCTTTAGCTTCATCACCCAGTCTTCAAAATGCGTGAGATTGTGAGTTTGTTTTGGTCCTTTTCCCCCCACCTTCAGAGCTGGCGTTGGGAGCTTTCTCTCACGCGCCCACCCGTCTTCAATGGGCGCCTGAGCTCCCAATTTGGTGGCCCAAACTGAGAATCAAAATGCCCATATCCGTAAGATGAAAACATGCAAGCTAACATATTTTCTTCCCTCGCTACAGGTTCACCTCCAGACCGGTCAGTGTGTAAGTTGCTTTCCCCTTTGCCCCTCCTTGGGCGCTGGCCCCCCGCACAAAAGCGCGACCATCGCGATGCTGACAATTTCCTCAGGGTAACCAAGTTGGTTCTGCCTTCTGGTATGTTCCCCTCTAGAGATCGGCGACGGAAATCTCGAAGCGACGCGTTTTCGACGAATCGGATACTCATTATTATTATAGGCAGACCATCTCTGGCGAGCACGGCCTCGATGCCAGCGGTGTTTACGGTGGTACTTCCGACCAGCAGCTCGAGCGTCTGAACGTCTATTTCAACGAGGTATGTAGATTCCACCAGCATCCGCTTGATTCAGGCGCTGTCTAGACTTCGGGACCTAACATTGCCCCCTTTAGGCTTCCGGCAACAAATATGTCCCCCGTGCCGTTCTCGTCGATCTCGAGCCCGGTACCATGGACGCCGTTCGCTCCGGCCCCTTTGGCCAGCTGTTCCGCCCCGACAACTTCGTTTTCGGCCAGTCCGGTGCTGGTAACAACTGGGCAAAGGGTCACTACACCGAGGGTGCTGAGCTGGTTGACCAAGTTCTCGATGTCGTTCGTCGCGAGGCTGAGAACTGTGAATGCCTTCAGGGTTTCCAAATTACACACTCCCTGGGTGGTGGTACCGGTTCCGGTATGGGTACCCTGCTGATCTCCAAGATCCGTGAGGAATTCCCTGATCGCATGATGGCCACATTTTCCGTCGTTCCTTCTCCCAAGGTCTCGGATACCGTTGTCGAGCCTTATAATGCCACCCTGTCTATGCACCAGTTGGTTGAGAACTCGGACGAGACCTTCTGTATCGATAACGAAGCCTTGTATGATATCTGCATGAGGACCCTGAAGCTGTCTAACCCCTCATACGGCGACCTGAACCACCTGGTTTCTGCCGTCATGTCCGGTGTTTCCACCTCCCTCCGATTCCCTGGCCAGCTCAACTCCGACCTTCGCAAGCTCGCCGTCAACATGGTGCCGTTCCCTCGTCTGCATTTCTTCATGGTGGGCTTTGCGCCTCTTACCAGCCCTGGCGCGCACTCCTTCCGCGCTGTTTCCGTTCCCGAGTTGACCCAGCAGATGCTGGATCCTAAGAACATGATGGCTGCCTCTGACTTCCGCAATGGCCGCTATCTGACCTGCTCCACCATCTTCCGTGGAAAGGTTGCCATGAAGGAGGTCGAGGACCAGATGCGCAGCATCCAGAACAAGAACTCCACCTACTTCGTCGAGTGGATTCCCAACAACATCCAAACCGCCCTCTGCTCTATCCCCCCCAAGGGTCTCAAGATCTCCTCCACCTTTGTCGGCAACTCTACTGCTATCCAGGAAATTTTCCGCCGTGTTGGTGAGCAATTCAGTGCCATGTTCCGCCGCAAGGCCTTCTTGCATTGGTACACTAGCGAGGGTATGGACGAGATGGAGTTCACTGAGGCTGAGTCCAACATGAACGATCTCGTTTCCGAATACCAGCAGTACCAAGATGCTACCGCCGATGACGGTGAGGAGTATGAGGAGGAGGTTCCCATGGAGGAGGAGTAAATGTTTCCGATCTTTTGGTATTGCTCTCAGCCGCTAGTGGTTGGAATAAAAACCTTTTTGTTTTCACCGGGGTTAATTGTTAGATGCAAGCCCCTTCTTTTGTGAATAAACTATACTGTTTTAAATAGGCTCAATAATACCCGCTGGCCCAAATATTGAACTTCCAACTCTCGAATCGGAGTGATTTGCATATTCCTTAAACTTTGTGTAACCCTAAGATGTGGCTAACCATTGCCGCCATGGTTCATGGCGATAGGGTGGCGGGTGAGACATTCATCTCTCTTGGCGTGGCCAATGTAACCTCGTAAAAGAAAGTTTGATGCTTCCCAGCTGATATGGATCAAGGGGAGATTATATTGTTTGAGACGCATACAGCATGCTTATGGCTGTCGGTGGCGAGCAGTTTAGATTAAGCCGACGTTTAGAGGTGTGTGTCGTGATGTGTTAGCTGCGATAGTAGGTAGTGCGTATTAGGTGGATGAGACGAGGTAGGCAGCGCGTATTTGGCAGATGAGACGAAAGATGACTTTATGTCTAATTAGATACCAGAGAATCGTACTTGTGAGATATGACACTGTATGGAAATGGAGAGTATAGAAAATGGACATCATAGAATCGTGTTTGTAAGATATGACACTGTATAAAAGTAGAGAGTATAGAAGATGGAGATTATAAAATCGTGCTTGTAAGGTGTTACAATGTATAGAAATAGCGAGTATAGAAAATGGAGATCATAGAAATATAGAGTATAAAAATGGAGAGTAGTGTAAGGCCAGTTGTTTTGAGAAATAATTCTTGTATACTCACGGCTTAAGATCCACTACTCCAGACGAAATCCGTCCCCCATTTTCACAGTAGAATATTTTTGCCAAGATGTCATAATATCAAATAAAGATGGTGGCAATTGTATGCAAGGGAAGCTTAAAACACAAAAGTGTCTCTCCTAAATCTCGGGTCCAGGTTTGACGCCCGCTGTATGCTGGCCCCTGAGCGAATGTGCTTAACTTATATCCCGTAATCACCTCCCCTTGCGTAGTACTCGGAGGGTTCACTGCGGAACGTTACTCCCAACAATGCCCTCAAGTTAAACACCAAATGCTGCATATCATAGGTCACCAACAGAAAGCCACCCATCGCTCTATAGAGTTAGGAGCCGCGTTGCTTGGGGGCTGAATCACCAGAGGGGGGCTTTTGCTAGCAGGGGGCTCGTTATTGCACAAGATTCGAGCTGTTCGATGAAGAAAACAGGGCAATCGCCTTGTGGATGTCTCCATCTCACCTTGTGATGGGCGCTTTTGGGATGCCATTGGCTGAGGCTGGAGGTTGCTGTCACAGTGGCGTTTATATGAGGGTGTGCCGCGTGGTTGACAGCGCAATGAAAGCAGGGCGTATCGTTTCTAGGCAAAGACGGTTGCGGCCAAGTAGAATCCATCACTTAGAGTGGCTCTGTGTGGAAAATTAGTAGACAAAGGGGGGAGTGTGATGGGAGTGGTGGACAAATCCACACCCCTGAGTTCATGCTGCTGCTTAGTGTAACGGTCTTTGCCCCAACTCGACGCCCTGCTCGGAGATTGAGGTAACTAGAGACGAAAAGGCATCAGGATAGCCAAGATTGGCGATGTACTAGGACGAACACAATTAATAATGTCCAAAGCTCGATATCTGATGCTGGCATAGGGCTAGAAGTGGCCAACGACTCTTTGGCCGAGTCTGGTATGTCGATGGCAACGTTGCAGTGTTTGTCTCTTCCCTTCTCCCATCTTCTTTGTTTTTTTCTCCCTCCCTTTGACCGGCTGCCTACAATCAATCATTGTATTGGTTGAACTATGAGTCAATGTCTGTTCTGAATAGCAGTCATGCCGGTGTCTTTGTTAAGCTTTCTTGATGATAGCTGAATGATCCATCCTGACACGCGTACGGACATGGCCTCATTACAAAGCTGTCAGCAAAGACGATGGGATGATTCATCGGCATCTGCCAAGCCATGTATTCAGCTGGAGTTGCATCAACAGGGCCATGGCTACGACGAGTTACTTTGGGCAAGGTGAGTCTGCGTGTCCACGGCGTCGAGTAGGCAGCAGCCTCGTCTCAGATGCAATCTCCAATCATAGCCTCCCGATCTGGATACTTGCCGTCGTCGGGACTCGAGAGACAAAGATGCAACATTGCAAGTGACCCTTGCCGTGAATCATCGGGCGATGATCAAGGACTGAGTTCAGCCAGCGACGGTTGCCAATCGGGCGCAGCGCCTCGAAGCCTGCAGAGTGACTTGGGAGAAGCAAACGCCAACCACGGGCTCGGTGACGTGTCTCTGGATCATCCGCATTGCCAATTCGAGGCGTAGCTTGGATTTGTGAATCTTGTCAGTTCTGCGATGGAGTGGAAGCAAAAAAAGACGGCCGAAAAAAAGGGAAGAGGAAAGAAAACAGAGGCAAGGAAGGAAGCGTTGGCGGGCACTGCCTCTAAAAAATCTCCCTCCCGAACGGCTTAGGCCGGCGTTGGACAAATGACAGGGCGCAGCGGGTGTCTCTCCAGAACTTGCCTCTTGCATTTGACTTGCATCATCCAAGAAACAACGTCTTCGGCTTCTGAAAAAACCCACGATGCATCTGCAGGCCACGGCGGGCTGCCATTGGTCTCTGGGGCTGATCCCTGGCACACGCAGCTCATGCAGGGCCCGTCACTCTGGCTTCGTTCGGCAAGGCTGCGTGTGGTAGCGCCGCTGAGCCGGAGCTGAAGCGTCTGTTTGGAAGAGGGCGAATGCACACCATAGGCCCGATCATCCACGGCCGTCTCCACTGGGCAGGGGTCTTCAGGCGAGGATCCAGTATCCAGTATCCGGACACGACACGACGGCATGCCATTTGGTGGTTTGCGTCGCTTCTCTGTCGAGCTAGACGGCGCCCTGGAGCTTCCCGCTGTGTAGCCTCCCATCGCCGCCCCAATGCGTGCTGCAGCAGCTTCAAACGAACCGCAACCTGCTTCTGCTTCTGCTTTAGCGGTGCGGCGTGCATCTAACGGCGCTGCCGGGACGCCCCCCATCCCCCCCTTCGTCACGGGGAATCGATGGCCTCATGCACAAGGTCCCTTGATTCGACCCACGGAACGGGGACCAAAAGCGTGTCTCCCCCTGGCAGGCAAGGCTTTCCTCTGCCTCGAGTCGTTAGCCTCGTCTGGCTCTGCCTAGCAGTCTGCTGCTGAGATCGACGGGGCCCGGTACTGGCGCAAGAGTTACCCACCTAGAATGCGAGCCCAGCACCACACAGGCGCCCAGCCTCGGACCTCAGGCTGGCTGGTGCAAGAGGCATCAAGGGGCTAGGATAGGGCTGACAACGGCTCCGGTTGGACGGCTCCCGATTGCCAGCTTGTCCGGGGTTCTTCAGGTTTGAGCTTGCAAAGAGCCACCGGGGTGGAGGTGACGGAGAGCACTCTCGTTGGTGTTTGTCAGAGAGCAAGTGGTAGCTGAATGGTTCAGCCTGGTTACCCTCTTAGGGCCTCAGATTCATCCGTCCACCAAAGCCCAAGTCCACCGTAGCTTTGTAAGGCCGAGATGGGCATCGAGCCCTTCAAGGCCCAGGCGAGAACTCTGCTGGATCCTCCGACAACACCGGACGGGGTCGATCATGGACGGAGCATACAAAAGGATGGAGCATCTCGCGTCGAGGCAAATCGAGAATAGCATCCAGCAGAGTTTCTTCATTGCTTGCCACGCTGAAGCAGCTTCGATCCCCGACTACTCCATATCGCCACGCTATCCGCTGCTGAATATCGAATTGATAGTGCTGTTTTTTCAGCTCAGCATCTCGAATCTTCAGCTTCAACGGCTTTGAGCATCTCTTTGCTCACAATCTCTCTTTCGAAGAGAAGACGACACTGCGTCACCGTTACGAACGACGTCTAGAGGTATCGGCCGAGAGCCATTGTTGCATCTCTTCACCTATTTCCTTGTACGGAAATACCAACTAGGCTTCTTTGGCCCCCCTTTCGCGCCTGGCCCCCAAGTCTCATCCGGAAGCTTTTCCCTCGACACCATGGACGGATGTAGGTCACTAGCCTCTTAGCGAATTGCTTTTATTGTCCCGCTATTTCTGCTCCCCCCAAGTCCCAAGTAAAGCACACATGCAGACCCGGGCGGCACGCCCCCCTTTAAAGGTCCGGTATATGCGCTTTACGCGGGATACGCATCCACTTCCTCATACAAAGCACAACACCAGAGCGTAAAGATGGCCATAGCACATCTCAATTCAGTCTTTTGGTGAGAAGAGTAACTAATTCAACATGGAACGAGAAGTGAACGAGTGCCGCACCGCCCGAGTTGCCGAAGTCCTGGCCGACTTCCGGACTCTTCAGTACTATATCGCAGCCGGTCCTGTCGAGCCAGAGAACGAAGAGGACTACTACACCGAGGGATGGGCTACCTTACGCCAGTGCACTATCGACGGCCAATACATTCTCGACGTGGCTGCCGATACCAGGGTGCCTGCAGCCCAGGGAGGCGAAGAGGAACAGACCAGAGCCGAACTTCAACAGTGCGTTTTCTTCCATTCAGCAGACGAAGCATCGAATCAGCTAACATGGTGTCCAAAGGGTGTTGCTAGATGCCTACGCTCGGCGGCACGAGGGGCAAAAGATTCTCTTGAGGCAGGCGGCGGCGCAGCGTTGGATTGAGTACCGAGACCAAGTCTTGCAGGGTCAACGACCGCATCCGGGGAACCATGCCCAGCTGCAGGCCTTGGATAACCAACTTCGAGCGGTAAGCTTACCTACAACTTGCACCCCCAAAAAGGCTCCCTTCCTGGTTCCGTTTTCTTGGACGCAGCCTGTTCCTACGGGAAATGGCGTCTCCACTCGGTACATGTCGGGGAAAATCCTTTCTTACCAACATATGCACGGCCAAAGTAGTGGGGATGTAATGTAACTAATTTTCGTGTTGCTTAGGAGCTGGCTGCCATTACTGACGAGTACGTTTACACCGAGCTCTTGTCTGCGGACCAATCGCAGGGCCGCTGGACAATGGAGGATCCGAGTTTGCGAAGAATCATGCGCTGGCTTCAGGCTCGACAGCGGTAACATGATTGCTACGAATACTGGACGATTCAACAGCTACATCTTGTCTCACCTTGACTGCCGGCACCAAGAGCAACTTTTCCTCTTCAGGGGGGTGAGGCATCATCAACGTTACACCACTTGCCACCATTTATTTTATTTTTCTACAACAGCCTTGTACAGCCGATGCTGCAAGGCCTCTTCGATTGTTCTGGTACGGAGTTGTCTTTTTTTCGGAGGCGTGATTTGGCGTATGGGCATGGACACACGGTTCATAGGCAGCCACAGGGCAAAGGGATACCTTTTTCTTCTCTTGGTTATATTTTTGGTTGTTTGGGCGTCCTATTTACATAGGCATGGCATGCCACACGACTGCATGATAGAAAGCAGTCGTCTTGAGGATACAAAATTGGAGGATATACGGGTCATAGATTTTTCTTTTCTTTCTTGGGCTGCCTGGAGCAGCCTCACCTTTTTCTGCAGCAAATGAGTTTTTTTTTTTTTTACTTCTACAAATATATTGATTTTATTACAGCCGCTGGCTTATGACGCTATCAAAAACGAAACTTGATATACTGCACTGCCTTTGCCTTAGGTCTTGCTCTGAACACACAATGCGATTCCCACCAAAGATAATGTCATGCCAATACCGGTTTCTTTATTTCTCCCCAAGGCCCTACAATTAGCTCTTTGAACTTTGATACTACGGATCGACGTCGATACTCGTTGGGTGGTTAGGCTTGCACATACCTCTACTAATTACTTTACCCTCGACCAACCACTCGCCCACAACAGTAAAAAGGAAGGCCATGGCATTCACAATCGGGACGGTAAGGCTCAATTCTAACAGGTGGCCAAAGACTGGGTCAGATCTGATACTCTCCCAAGGAGGAACAAACCAACCCTCTGGCTAGCCCAGCAGGGCGGTTGGGTGTGGAAGGGGAATGGGGATGGGGGGATCTGAGACAACCCGGAGGCCTTTTTCGGAGGTTCAAGATGAGACATGGGGATGGGGGTGTGTGTTTCTGTTTTTGGAGACTCACCAGCCTTGCCAATGAGGAGAAAGAACCAGACGCTGCCGGTGAGGTTCAAGACAAGCGGGACGGCATAGCGCGGATTACGCAGCAGATCGAGGACCGAGAAGAAGGCGGCGTAGAGCCTGGAGCGGAGCCAGCTCTGCTTGACGGCGGGGGAGTCGAGCAGAGGGTGAGGCGCGGGCTTGTGGGTGCGGGCGGCGCGGCGGATGAAGGGCGTGGTGAGGCCCCAGGCGAGGCCGACGAGGATGAAGCTCAGGACGTAGTTGATGGCGGGGGGCCGGGCGGTTGGTGGCTCTTTGGGCGATGACATGGCTTCCAAGGTTCTCTTTTGGCAGGGCTGAATGGGGGGAGGAGATAGAATTGGGAATAGCGTTGGGTTTGGTAGTTCTGGTTTTGTTGCGATATTACTCGCACATAGCCTCGTGGCTTCGTGTTTGCTTGGTGGAGTTGTAGTGGTAGTGTGTGAAAGGAGAGAGAAAAAAAGAGGCTACGCTATGCTACTTTGTTACAGGTGTTTGGGTTACTCATACCAGATCGAAACAGCATCCATCCTGATTCGGGACACTCAGATGGGGAGCCTGGGCCGGTGATTGGCCGGTTTACGGCCCCTCCAGCGAGGTTTGTTTTAGCGCATCTACAGTGGGGGATTTGTTTTAGGCCCATTCAATACGTTTCAACGTTGCTACCGGAGCTACGAGTTACATGCACCTGTAGTCTGGTGCTATTGAATTCTATGAATGGTGGAAGCTGTCCCAGGGCGACGCTATAGAGCGGGGCGGCACGGGCACAGCCTTTCTGGGGGGACCATTTTGACGTCTGATCGAGAAAAGGGCTAGCCGGTGTTGCCACGCGACGGTGCAGCATGCAGGGCCGGAGAGAGCGATTGGGAGCGTTGCCGGAAAGGGGAGCGTGGGTGGCGAAAAGATGGCAGTTGGGATTAGATGCTTGAATGCATCCATTCGATTTGCTGGTGTTCTGTAATGGGAGAGACATACAGAGGAAAAGACCCGCTGGCTACTAACGGTTTACACGTTTCTGCTAATGTGGTGCTAGCCAGTAACTAGCACGTCAATTACTCCATGACTCCATACCCAAAGGCATGAAAGAAGCCCGCATACGGAGTATAGCAAGTCATGATGCAGCTTTTCCTGCCGGGCTAAGGCAAGGTACCTGGGAACTGACCTACTACGTACTAAGGTAATAGCCTTAGTTTAGCAGCAACGGCTGTGCCCGAGGCGAAAGAGGCAGCCAAAGGTCAATGCTTTCGTTCTCCATGGGTTCGATTGAACTGTCAGAAAAAGCTTGGTCATGCACTCGGCCAAGAAGCTCGTCATTCGGGCAACACTGGCTGAGTCACGGAGAACAGAACAGTCCTTGTACAGCTGTGCATATACGCATATACGACATGAGATGACATGATACGACATGACATGGATGACGCAAAAAAAATGAAAGCAAAAAAAGCAATCACAAGACACTGAACCCTAATCCATCTAGCACAATCAATATTTTGTACGGCATTCAATAGCGGCCTTCCTTCAGTCGCCAGTTAGACTACCGTACAAACTGCCCAGACGTATAAAAATGGGGTTTCCAGGGTCCGACCAGCTAGCGTACCCGCGAACATCCCTGTCCAGCTGGACAGTCCCAGCGCCTTGGCCCTTTGGAAACATTCACAAAACGCGGGTTTTTTTTTCTCTGGGACTACGATGAAAGCCGGCCAGCCAGTCGTTTTACCCCGAGGGCCCGGCACTCCAAACTAGCGAGAAACAAAGAAAAAAAGCTCATGGGCACACCCTCCGTCGGAAGGTGACAAGGGACAGGGGGATATTCACCTATCCCTGGAGTGTGCCTTTCGGTGTTTTGGTTGGTTAGGGCAAATGGGAAGATCGTCATGTATGTTGTTCCTACTGACAGATCAATGAAACACATGGGAGTTTTTTTTTGGTCTTGCGGAACTTGGCCAATCGGTTTATTTTGGGCCTTGCTTCTCATGTTTTGAGTTTCTCCTGCAGGTGACAGGGCGCTTTTGGAGGGTGCCTAATATACGACGCAACAAAAAAACAGGTCGAGCCAAGCCAACAGCCCCGGAAGCGTATTGCGAAATCCGAAATCCGAATCCCCCAATTGTCCGATGCTTGTTGCATGAATGCCCTTGCTGGGATAAGAGCTGAGGCAGCCCCAAACGGCGACAAGTTGCGAGGCCATCGTGAGATGGTGCTGCACCTCTTGGGCTGAAGCATCGCACTTCAGCTGCCCAAATCGACGACACCATCACATATTACAAACTGGAAGCGCTTGGCATAGAATTAACTCATTTTAAAAAAGTCTATAGCTTCATGCGGCCACATTCAAGACCAGGTGGGTAACATGTATATGCCAAAAGAAGGCATTGCACCATAGACCTAGGCAGAATCTTCCAACCGAGTCTGCTTTGACAGAAAACACCAGAGTCCTGTAGCAGTCACTGCCGCCTCTTGCACTTTGTAGTGAGAAAGTACGAATCCTGCACCCCAAGGTTTGCCATATCAGCATGTCAAGGGCAGCATACGGTGCCAATAATCATCTCCGAATAAAACATATAGGTTAACATAACCAGAAGCGATACCAAAACGCCGCGCCAAATCATCCCTGTTTCTTCAGTTCCAAGGTCCATGCCGTGCCATCACTCCCTGTATTGTTTGATGGCCCAGCCGACGATTCATCTGTAGGACTCTAACGTGTCTCTGAATAGTCGTTGAGCGCCACGCAGACGGCTCCTCTGTGATGGCCATTGTACTGGCGTATGATTTGCTGGCTGTGCAGTTCCCATAGTCGTGCATAGTGGTCTGAGCATGCCGTCACCAAATACGCCGAGTCTGCACTGAACGCACAATCCCACACCCATCGCTGATGGCCAGTGAGGGTAGCCTCAAGGGGAAGCGGCCTGGCCTCGTCGGATTTGCCATTGACCTGCGGCTTGACGTCCTTGATCTCCCAGATCTTGGCCGTGTGGTCTGCGCTGCACGTTGCCAGCTTCTTGACGTCGGGAGAGAGGAGAATTCGCGTAATGTACTCTTTGTGAGCGCTGAAATGCGTTACTGGGAGCAGCTCCGTCTGGTCATAGTTTTGGCGGAGATGCCACACAAACACATTGCCCTGGCAGAGGTTAGCTAATCGGGTTGGGAAAGAAGAAATGATGTGTTGTGTGCGACATACTGCCGTGTTTGCGGCGCACAATAGCGTTCCGTCACTAGCAACCGTCACGCTTGATACCGACACGTCTTCTTCGGGGATGAGCTCGTGCGCGCAAGTGTTCTCGGCCAGATCCCAGATCCTTACGCTGCCCGATCTGTCGCAGCTTATAATTTCGCCCTGGTTCGGGTGAATGACCACATCGTTGGCTGGGCATCCATGATTGTAGCTTCTCTGGATCGACCCCGTCCGCGTTTCCCAAATCTTGACAGTGCCGTCTTCAGAGCTCGTCACCATCCATTTGCCCTCGCAGTGGAATGCCACTCCAGTGATGTTCCCCGTATGTCCCTCAAATGTAAGCAGCGGATTGGGATTTGTCGACTTGATATCGTAAAGCTTGACTGTGTGATGGCCGGCTGCTGCTAGAAACCTCTTGTCGGGAGAGATGCATAGGCGGTTCACCTGTGAGTCTGGGTGCTGGATCGTTCGCGAGCAAATTCCCGATAGCGCCTCCCAGAATCTATGTCGCGGGGAGTTAGCACTGGGCGTAAAGCATCATCCCTTTGGTGGACGCCTGCGAACCTGATTGTGTGATCGTAACCCGCTGAATCGCAGTTAGTACTGAAGCTCGCGACAGCTGACGAGAATGGGAATGGAGATGGAAGTAGCAGTGGTAGGACCAACCTGTGCACAAAATCACGGACATGGTGACTGGGCTTTGGCACCTTGAGCACCAAGTATCGAATGCCTGTTGTAGCGATGAACTGGAGCTTTAATGTTGTTTGATAACGATGACCGACGCGGCTGAGGTTCTTTGGAGGTCCTAGGCAAGGCTTAGTCTGCCGCAGTTGAGATTAGGTAAGGATGAGCTCAGTAGCGACAAGGGCGGCTCTTGCTCTTCCGAAGAAAAGCCGCAGCGACTTCCTAGGAAGTCGCCGGGCTCACGACTTACAAGATGCACGACCCCAGAGCAAAAGAAGCTCCTTGGGGATACACAACCAGTCATTTTCAACTCTTCAACCGAATCGGCTGTGCACCTGCGGCTCGTACAGCTCGTGCTGCTTCCGAGTCACCAATGGCTTTCGAAAGAAGACACGTGATTTACCGCAGATGCACTTTCCCGTCGACTCCTTGATTGGGCCGACTCTAAGATGGCTTCGTACACGGCATCGGCTCTTGCATTCATTCATTCGTTCTCCGTTTGCCGATATTGATGTGCCGAGGTGCTTACGCCAAGGAGAACATATCATTGACCGAGTGGCTTTTGAGCTGGATGTTACGGCAACACCTGGGATCAGCTATCGGATGTTCTTCCATCTTTCCATCATGATCTCTTCTTTCATGGAAAATATGCCTGGAGTCTCATGGCCTTGAGTCTCATGGCCTTGGCGTGGGACAGGAAACAAATCATGTCATGCATGATTTAGATTGAGAATAAGTTTGATACAAACAAGCTGCTGTTGGGAAACCAATACTCCTCGACTATGCCCTCTCTGGATTGGATATTCGTCTGCTACGAAATGAAACTGATACTGCCGAGCCTTGGTGCGAGTATTCACTGCATTGGTTCGTTTCCCATTGAACTAGAGAACGAAAGAAAATACTTGACGGTATACTAATTCGTGTACATTAGACTATTCTCGTTACATGAACTTGTCCAGTTCTTAAACTGAGAGTCACACATATGTGATACCTTTACACATCACTGGGCCACCAGCAGAATTGTTGCCAAGTTATCCCATCTATTGTTGAAAAATTAAAGCCAAAACCACCTACAACCTGAGTAGGTATGAACACCGGCATCCTTTCCCTAATGTGACCACATTGCGAGGCTGAATTCTAACACCTGTCCAAAGAAAATATACACCAAAGACATTTACATAGAGGCGCTGATATGCAGGATCCTGCTTGACGTGTGCTAACTTCGTTTCGAATAGACACCTGAGGATCTATGATCCGAATCTGGATGGTTGTTTTGTTCTGACGATGATCTGCCAGCCTGACGAGCAAACGGCGAAGCCGTCATCGAATACGAATAATTCTTGGGGACCATTCTGACAAGCGAGCCCCTGCAGTACTCGCAATCGAGCCTTCAAATTCAGTTTTAGCAATCAGATTCCTTAAAGAATGCGGCAATAATAAACGTACTGCCTTATGCTGCACATGTCGCAGGTTATCGGCACCAAGCCTGCTTTCATGCCAGCAGCAAATTCAGAGGCCATGGCTGGATATATAGTTGGCGCTGGTTTATTTGGAACAAGAGTTGAATCGAGTGGATCAAGAAAAGAATAGCTGATGATGAGAAGACGCTGGGATGAACACTTGAAGGAATGATTCCACTGGAGAGAATGTGCGGCGGAACCTCTGCTTAAATACTCATCTCTGCATTAGCAGAGACTCAGGAACCTGGTCGCCAGTTCAACCTGTTTGATTCCATGATACACTACGAGACAGACTACGAATCCTTCTGACCGCCTCGATCATCCTCAGCTACAATTTAAGCCATCATCACACCGGATGCAACAAACCTCACGATGGCCTCTATGCATCCTGTGTGGTTGCCTCGACATATAGACGAGGCAACTAAGCTATAGGCAACGTGATACCGACCCGCCGGGGCTGGACATGGATTTTACATGGAATCCTGTCCGCTTTAATTTCATAAAACGCTCAGCCCATGACTTATATGCGCCACCGTCACGGATGAGCGCTCGGCGATGTCGAACAAAAGCCTTACCGCCTCACCATACCCCCCTCGCCTTTCTACCGTCGAATGAAAAGAAGGTTTGGCAACTGCCGCTCTACCGCGAATGAGCCGATTTGAGTATTTAACTGCGACATGGACCCGTACGCTGTCCTCTCTTAACCCGGACCGTTCCATTCTGTGCTCTGGAGCTGAGAATCCATGCAGCCACCCGGATGGCTGATCGGCATGCTCCCTTCTCATTTGTCAATAACCGGACCGGTCAGCTCTATGAGGACTGCCCTGTCGACCCAGCTCGCTCAGCTTGCTAGACGAGATAGATTGCGAGTTTCAGCCTCAAAACGTGCGCCTGCAAGATGACGATTTTTCTCGTCTTGGCAGTTGCATGGCGTCTGTTATTTCGGCACGGGAAACGCGGCTATTGCACTTCACAGGGCTCATGCGAACGGCTGATCATTGGGGGCGCGTCTTTGGCTGTCTCGACAGTGATGGATCCGACGCAGTGGCTGGTGTTCCCGGAGCACAAGACAATATGCAGCCTTCCCTGGTTGGATGCTTCCCGCCGAGAGAACAACAGCCTACATAACTGAACAGCGAAGAAACTTTGACCATCAGTCACCAGTCCTATATCGGCACCCTTCTTGGCTCCCTCGGATACGAGTTTGGGCCACACAATATGACCCACGAATCAAAACCCGCTCTGTGTACCCTTTGCTGCCCTGAAGAAGACACCTGGCCGACCAATGTATGTCATCAGTTGCCAGCTCTGCAGCGTACTCATTGTGCCATCGTTTATCTCACACAAGAACAAAAGCTGACCCCTCAATGATCGAACCATGGAAAGCTGCATCAGGCATCAACCGATGCGGATAGCCCTTCCGAACCTTTTAGACCGGCCCGCCACGTGGGGGGCTGTTGATCCCTCGCAGACCGGTCTCTTGGCCTTCTCTTCCCTCGCGGATAAATCTCCTCACCGGCTTTTCCTCTGTGTACACACCCGTCATGGCGGCGTGCATTGACACCTTTCTCGGATCAAGGTTCCGATGTGCTCGGTTATTTGCTTGGCCGAGTGAAGCTAGACGAGAGACAGGGAAGAGGAAAAGAAGAAGAGAGAAGAGACACAAACCGACACGAGAGAGGTTGACGTGGTAGATATCTACGCCAGCCAGGGTGGAAATGGCGTCGAGAATGGCCGCCGCTCGGTTCTGTTGCTGGTGCAATACGAAGTTTCTTCTATCCCCAAGAGTTTTCCCCTTGCTGGCTCAGAAGGCGGTGACTCGAGCTCGCGTTGTCAACACCGAAATAACGCCCCTGCGGGTAAGCGGTTTAGTCGGGAAATGGTGTAAAGGTACACAACTGTGTCTACCAGAGGAGGGCCAGGCTCGCATCTTATTCGCCAGACCATCCCCGACACCTCGGCTCTACCTTTTCGGGCAATTTGTGTTGAAAAGATTTTTTTTTTTTTTAAAAATCATTAAGCTTATTTGGACTATGGCATTGTTGTCTTGCTCTTAAGCGGATGATGAAACAGGATAATTCCTGTGGCGTTGTAGTAACCCCTACAACTTTTACTCTGGTTGGTGTTTCTATTAACGTGTTCATCTGGTTTAGAAGCCAAAATTGAATTCACGTTTACCTATTGTGTGAATGACAATACCCGATTGAAAGTATCCATTCACACACGATTATTACGTCGAGTTGTATATTGACTGAGTTTTCCTTTTCGAGTACTTGAGCAAAAAAACACAAACAAAGGTGGTGATATAAGGCTGTAACGTTCGAAAAGCCCAGGCGTGTCACGAGTATCACGCGCTGACGAAAGTATTCCGTAACGACACACTTGATTGGTGTCTAGCGGGCTCCCTGTGAAGCCTTCGGAGATTCAAACCACTCTTGCTGTGGTCAGTAACACACAATGGGCTGTGCCAGAAGAGTCCACGCGGCCAAGCAAAACAAGTTGTTGAGATATCACAAGTTTGAGCCAGTTGATGATGCATACAAGATACCAGATCATGCCATATAGCAATAGACACACAAAATAGTGAATGTAAGGGTAAGAAAAAAAAGAAGTTTCAATTTATTGCCTTTCCTCCCAAGTAGAGATTTATAGCACTATTACAAAGAGAAAAGAGTCAAGCCCCCTAATGACATACCAAGCTAAGAAAATCGTTGCCACAGGGTTTCGTAGATAAGAGAAAGAGATACATGAAAACAAGACCGTGTAGAAGTAAGTAAGTGACCACAATAGTCAGGCCTGAATCCTGTCCAATTCAGCCAACAGAAGCCGAGAATCAGCTGTAGTGCGGGCGACAGATTGGCAACCTAAATCATCCTATACCCCAACGCCAACAGTTATAATGGCGACCCAGTCCAAAGAGTCGAATTTCTTCATAAGTAAGAAACGAAACATCCGTATTAAGAACAAAAGAAAAGTGGTAAAGCAAAGTAAGAGTTTCAAGAAGAATCAACAGTCGTAACCGAGGGGTTCCGCATGGATATTTTATCAGATGCCCCAACATTTATAGTGTTGGGGCAGTGGCAATCAAGGCAGACATGACAGCAACCCCTCCAAGTGCCGCGTATCCAAAAATTTCAGCAGCTTTGCGCAGTCGCTTCACTTGCGGCTCCTCAGTTCCGGAGTGGACGTCAACGGGAGAGATGTCCATTGCAGAATCGTCAACAGACCTAGGCTTTGCAGAAGGTGGAGATTTATCTCGAGCTGGGGTGAGCTCGGCAAAGGGTATTTCCTCGGCGGTCATTTCGGAAATTTCCATTGCCTTGCGTTTGTTTCTAACCGCCTTCTCTGGAGACTCCATAGGCTGATCAGCGTCCGTGTGGACGCTTCTAAGCTCAGCCTGCGGCTGCTGTTGCTGATTCTGAGCCGGCTCGTCTTGTTGAATCGGCTCGTCTTGTTGAATCGGCTCGTCTTGTTGAATCGGCTCGTCTTGTTGAATCGGCTCGTCTTGTTGAATCGGCTCGTCTTGTTGAATCGGCTCGTCTTGTTGAATCGGCTCGTCTTGTTGAATCGGCTCGTCTTGCTGGATAGGTTCGTCTTGCTGAATCGGCTGCTTCTTCTGCCACTGTTGCTGAAGAGCCGCTTTGGTTACCTCGAATTGGTAGGCGGAAGATTCGTCATAGTCAAGAGTATGTTCTTCCGATCTTATGTTTACCTCAAGATGTTCTTTGAGTGGAGACTTGAGGAACTCGGCTCCCGAGTCCAACAGAAGACTGGACTCAGTTGCTCGACTCTGGGCAACGTCTACGGGCCAGAATCTGTTCTCGACTGGCTCAGGAGCCGTGGGGACACTAACGAAAGATTGATTTGGAGTATCTGTTTCGTTGGTGTGAGTGTATGTGGTGTTATTTTGACCCGTGGATATTTCCTGCGATCGGAAAGTGTCAAAGAGGGACGGCAGCTGCACGCCAGGCAAGGGTTGATTTGGAGCAGAGGCTGCATTTGGCAGCGAGAAGTTCATGATGGGAGGCAGGCAATGGTTTTCAAACCGATCAAAGATTTCTGCCTCATGAATTTCCGTCGCTTCGATATGAGGGACATGCTGATCGCTGTCCAAGAGATTGTGATGTAAAGGGTGATCAAGATGAGTGTCTTCTAGTGAAGACTGGCCGTGGGAATCATCATCAGACTCAGACATGTACTCCCCCTCATACTCATCTTCGTAGAAGACGGCGTCGTCGTCTGAAATGTCATCTGGGATATCGTCTGGGATATCAATCGTTCCCGGAGGAGAAGGAATACGTGAGTGAGATTTCTCAGAGATAGAGACAGCCCTGTCAGTCATCAGATCCTGGATGGACCTGGTAGAGGCTGTTTGATCCTCGGGCGCGGGCGAACCCATCTCGTGGTCAGATAGGTCAATAGTTACAACTTCTCGAGTGATGCAGTTTTTGGCCGGGCGAATATTGTTGTCTCGCAGAACCTGCAAGCCGTGTCGGATGGTACTATCGCCGTGATCTTCATCGGCGCTCTCTTCCTCATCGGTCTCATCGGGCACTCTGAAAACGGTCGGGGCTTGAAAGGAGCTATGAAAGCGTTAGAATACAGCCAAAACGGATAGAAAAGAAGATAGTGAGAGAGAGGCATACCCCTGCGGCCCAAATTCAACACCAACTTCCATGATACAAGGAGCACAAATATCTGATCCTCTGTCAACAGGAATGCCGAACCGGATATGGTCGCCGTCCTTGATGGCCTGGATTTGATGAGGCTTCAATCGGGTATTGTTATAAAAGGTTCCGTGAAGGGAACCGACATCACTGATGAAAACGGCCTGCATGGGAATTAGTTTGAATCAAGTTGCGACGCCCGTCTGGGTGATGATGATGGTGATGCAACATACCTTGTGCTGTTGATCAAAATAAAGTGAAGCATGGGTTCTGGACATGACGGCGGAGTCTATCCAGCCATTCTTTCCGGTCGCAGCATATGTGGTGTTTTTCTTGCTCATACGTCCAAGAGGGACTGATTGGTTTGATTCAAGGAGAAGGCGACGAGTCGGAAAGGAGAAGTCGGGAGGCGGATTCACAGCGGTCAAGGTGACCAGCACTGCACACGAGATTAGCTTTGGAGAGTCTTGGGCGCTGCGCCGCATCTCGGAGGGAAGCTCACCTTGATCACAAAGGTAGGGCGACGCCATGACGAAGGAGATCCGGGCCGTGGGCGCCTTCGAAATATCGAGTCGGTCGGAATCTGTGCTCAGCTGCGGCCGGGCTGCAGTGCAGACGAGAGAAGATCGGGTATGGAAGGGCGCAGTGGAAGAGAGAAGATGAGGGGGATGAAGCAGATTAAAAAGAAGAGTGAAGTTGTTTGGTTAAGAGGGGAGAAAGTCGAGGCTTCGGAAGTAAAGGATGGGGTGGGGCTCGAGTCACTTTGACCTCAGAAGTTTAAAACGCTAGGGTCCGAGTACTTTGAAGAATCAATAGAAGGTACTTGACATGAACGCATCTAGCTGGTTGGCACAGGTGGGAGAGCGTCTGTTTGGCGCTGAGCCGAGCGGGATTCAAGGGATGGAGGTTGTTTGCCCACCAGGCGGTTCAGTCCAGTGTTTCGCGATCTGGCTGGGAGATGCTGATGGGAAGTAATGGTAAAGTCTTGATGCGCAAGATACCCAGGTCTCTATGAACTATAAGGTAGATAGAGCAGAGCCACAGCGCACTTTACAAGATGGATGGAGGTTTATTTCAAGGGCCAACGGCAAAGGTACGAGCATGTACTGTGCCCGTACGGGAGCAGTTGATGCAAATGTAGCAGTACTTTGTTCTATATACGGCACTAATGTGCCCTGTAGGCAGCCCCAGGCAGAAGCGGGCAGCAGCGATAAGCCCCGCGATGGGTGGCTTATCGTAGCTTGAGTGGGGCATTCGGAAGCCGAGTATGTCACTGCTAGATTTCGGCGCTGGTATTTGGGTTTTGTATTTTGCGACGCAGCCGCGGACGACGGGGAGAAAGAGGAGAAGAAGATGAATAAACGGATGCAGCGTCCGACCATTTTGCTAAAAGAACGGGCATGATTTGCTGCGAAATCGACGCCCCGTTGTCTCTGCAGATTTGCGTGGCCATGCCCGGCTGCCAAGTGGGCGAGTCACAGTGCAGCACAGGTACCAACAGCGCTGTTCCCGCATTCTTACAAGCAGGTACGAGTACCGATACCCACGGCATGTCAGCCAATTGATGGTCCGCGACGGGTGCAGCCAGAAGCTGCAGCTGCTTTGCTTTGCCTTAGCGCCTCGACTCGACGCATGATTCAGGTGCTGTCGATACGCCTCTGGTAGGGGTATCGGTACATACCACATACATCAAACCAAAACAGTCCGGCAGAAATGGGGTCCGTTTGCCTGGGTCTGCAGGCCACATGTTGCAAAGACATGGATGGTGCTTTTGTAAGTATGATCTGGGCAGGTCGGAGCACGTCTTATGTGAGGTTCCATTACGGATCAGTTAATATTAGTACAAGTAGTAATAAATAGTCCGGCTCGGCGGGGAGGGCAGCGTGAGCGAATCTCGCCATGCAGAGTGAGCTGTTTATCACGGCATGCTCATGCCCCAGCAAGATGGCTTTGCAGCGGAGATGGCTTCATCCAGTCACGCAGAGTTTACTTGTACTGTTGAGCATCTGAGGTACATGGCTGGACTCTCTACGAAGTACTACAAGAGAAAACCCCTCGTCTTGCGTTTCAGCGGCCAACAGCTCTCCAATAGGGCTGGGCTCGTCCCCCTTCAAACGCCTTTATTTGCCAGTTTTGCTCCTCCCTATGGCCGGCCGCCTGCTGACCCGATGCCCAAGGGCTGGAGCCATGCCCCGCCATGCTGCATAAGAGCCGTCAATAGCAGGTCAAGAAACGAATCGTAGTTGCAGCACGTGAAAGCACTCTGGATAGGATACGAGCCAATACAAAATAAGACGAGCAGATGGTCACGAATCAGATCTTGTAGGCGTCACCGAAGCAAATAAGCCGACGACAAGGCAGAAGTTCAGCCAAACAAGCATGCCCGATGCGACAAGCACAGAACGGAGAGACGAGACAAACAAAAGATAAACCGGCTTTATTGAGACCCGGGAATCCTTTGTGTGTTAAAGTGGCTACAGCAATGACGCATGACCAACAGGGATGCCGCATCTTTCTGCGGAGTAGCTCAGCAGCCGGAGCAAGAAACCAGCCCGAACTTGGCTTGGGGGATGGGGCACGGAGCCTGAATAAAGTACAGCTACTTTGCTAGCGGTACTGGGGAAGTCTCCATCTCTATGTCGTCATCGTCATCAATGTCAGTTCTGTAATGCAGTAGGAAGTATAAGGTAGGTAGCCTAGCCACTTGTCTCGTGGAAAAGCTTCGAGATTTATGGCGTGCTGGGAATCGCAGAAGGCCGAAGCAAGGCCGAAGCACAGCAGCGTTGGGGAAGAGAAGAAAGAAAAGTAACTTGAGGCAGCGAAATGACCAAGCTTTTTCCCTTCTGTTGTAGTAGCTGTACCAGACCAGAGCTCTCTATGCGGCTGTTCGTATTTGATGATGCTGAACCAGATATCATGCATGCCTGGGAATTACCAGTACCTTTGCTTCTGGTACCTCTACATCCGTACCGTCTGCCTGTCAACTTTGCAGCTTCTCACATGCTCTCGCGGGCGATCTCAGGGCCGCTTGGTCCTTGCCCTAAGCCAAGTACCGGCTACTTGCCCCGATCAGCCTAGCGCGCATGTTTCTTGGTAGCGTCGACATGGGAAGCTTTGCGAGACGGTCATGCCCACAAACCGAACGCCACCGAACCACTCAGCTGCTTTGCTTTATTTTCTGGCCTCACCCGTTCATCGCCTTTTCCAATCTTGCTCCCTTCAACATTGCGTAAGCTATTCCTGGTCGCCTGTCGCATTCTCGTTTCACGCCGCTGCATTTGCTGTCGCCCTTTATATTGTCGCCACCCGCCAATTTGCGCTGCATCTCGACTCTCATTCTCATGGACAGTCTACTCCTCCATAGCCTCACCAAACCAGCATCCGACGCTCTCGCAAACAGCCTGGGATCATCCAGACCCAAGCGCAAACCGACGTGACGTAGCCTGTGCTTCCATCGAATCCAAGGGGGGAAGCAGAGACTGGCCACCAAGGGCTGCAAGATTGGATTAGTGGAACGTTTAAATTCCCATCATCTCCGTACAAGCCTTATACTTTTCACTGGGAATTTCCGGTCTAGAGTCGATATTTAAGCTCGACGACTGCCCGTCGCAGCATCTCTTCTCTTCTCTTCTTCTTTACCACCAGCTTCTATTTCTAGCAATTTCACTCTTCTTCTTCATTTCAAGATGATGAACCACGCTCGAGTCAAGGCCCTCAAGGGCAACGGCAAAACCGTCTCCAAAAAGGCCATCAAATCTGGCCGTGCATCTGGAAGCAACACGCCGCGGGGCTCTCCTCTGCCTTCGCTATTGGCATCGCCCACCAATTCCGCCGCCCACAGTCGCGTCACATCCGATGTCAGTGACGATGATGGCGATTTTGAATTGGACGACATGGCGTCAAGCGTTTACTCCGGCGGATCCCACGACGACACACCCGAAGAGCCCGATGCTCTCGTCTTCGACACAAGGGCTCTCATAGAAGGCCTTCGAGATCGAAAACACAACAACGGCGAGATGCGAGAATATTTCCTCAGCGTTTACATCAAAACGATTCGGAACCACTATACCGCCGACACCCATCTCTGGCTAGACGATGCCTCGGGTGAGCTGGCAGAGCTTTTCCTTCACGACTCAAATCGTGCTGCTACCGCCAAGGAGCGACTACTAAGCCTGCACGCCTACTGCCTTACAATCGGAACGGTCGGGTCTTTGGAGATTTTTGATGGCGCACAAAAGATTCTCAAACAAATCATGACAGACGATGATGACGATGATTGTCGTGTCTATGCGATATATGCACTCTGTCTTACAGTGCTCTATGCTGGTGGCCTAGAAGAGGCCGCCCTGGAAGTCATGGAGTTCCTTGTCGAGATTGTGCGGACCGACGGAGAGCACATCGAGGCCCATGATAACGCCGTAATCGTCGCAGCCGCTCTCCAAGGCTGGTGCTATGTTGCCAGCCATGTGGCCGACTTTTCCGACTTTGCCGATATGGCCATGGATGCGTTTGTGGACCAGCTTGATAGCGATGATGTGGAGATTCAGTCCAATGCCGGCGGCTGCATTGCCCTCATTTTTGAGGCGTCGCGGAATCACGTTGAAGAAACAGGCGAGCCGTTCCAGCTCCAGTATGATCCGCAAAGGTTGGCTGGCCGCATGGGCGAACTGGCCAAGCTCAGTGCCAAGTCGGTATCGAGAAAGCATCGTCGGAGTCTGCGAGAAAATTTGATGAGCGTGGTGACCTCTCTCGAGAGGGGCGTTGGCCCTTTTTACTCTACCGCCCTCTACATTCCCGAAAAGGGTGAGCATGTGCCCGTCTCCCAGCGCACTGATGACGGACAAGCAGAGTACGGTTATCGATGCAAGCTGAGGTTGGGTAACCACGTTGCCAAGATTGATACTTGGTCTCTCTACTTCAGAACAAGCCTGATGAGGACCATCTTCAAGGGCGGGCTGCAGAATCACGTCTTCATCAACCCGGTTGTAATAGAATGCTTGGAGGATGCACAATTCATACAAGACTACTCACCACTCCAGAAACCGTCAAAGGGCCGGAAGAGGTAGCTCATTGACAGCATGGTTTATTTTCAGAATGTTCTTTCTTCGGTTCTTTGCGAAGCACTTGAGAGCTAGAGTGCCACGAAATATGGGTGTCTTCTCTCCCTCGCTCCCTATCATCATTTTATGGCCTATTTTTTTCTTCTTCTCTTCTCTTCTCTTCTCTTCCTTTTGAATATGGGTTACGTAACGACTGACTTGTTAGAATCGGAATAATGGTCATTCAGAGCGCAACAGAGCTCTCATTATTCTGCTGCACACTTAGTGGTGATTGGCGATGGCGAGATGAATTAGGTTGGGCCTTTTGTCAGTGGTTTGCTGCTGTATACCAATAAAATGAATTCATAGTTTAGTTTCCAATAGTATCAATAGAAGTTTCAATTATAAAAGATGACAGAAAAAATAAGTTCAGCCGCGAGAGGTAATCGTATACATGAGACAGTCAGTGAAGCAGGCACCGCAGTATTGTTTAATGATTAGGATTGCTGTTGCTACCTTTAATGTTCATGATCTATAGAATCATCCCTTGTTCATTACCGTCATTGTCTCATTACCAGTCCTTATTATTTTCCCCTTGTTGACTTGTCCTTTGCATGTTGCTGTAAATGAACAGCGCTAAATCTGCATAGCTAAACGCCTTCATGACATCCATATCTAGCCATTTCATAAAACCTCCCAACGCCGGGAACCGTGTGCAACGTGAGTAGATGTAGATTTTGCAAAAAATAAAAATCCAACATCGCAAGCCCACAATTGTAATCAACAAAGAATTACATTAGAAGATGGCTTTTCCTCCCAGAGGCTGCCACCACAGTCGCACTCCAAGGAGCATCAGTGCTCCGAAAAGAGTAAGCGAGGCGGAAAAGGAGAAGACGGCGAACCAGGAGATGGTCGCGTCTTTGATGGCGCCGCTGGCAGGGCCGCCCGACAGAGCGCTGAACGATGCAAATGCCATCATGAAGCCGATGCGTAGGCCGATGTGGCCCATGTCTGGGGTAGTTTGTGCGACGCAGGCTGAGCCCAGGGGGATGAGGCCGCCTGAGAAGAGGCCGAAGAGGACGGCAAAGGCCATCATGCCGCTGAGCGTGGTCATGGCGCCCCAGCAAAAGGTGATTACGGCGGTCAAGACGCCCATTATGAATAAAACATTAAATCTGCGGGTTTATCAGCGTTAGTTTGGGGGATCGGGCAGAGATGAGATGCCAGGAGCCGTCGTCTCGGGAACGGGCTCGGGGACAAGTGGGGAACTTACCGGCCGAAGCGGTCCGCGATCCAACCGCTTCCCACGCGGCCAACGACGGAGCCGGCGTATCCAATCGCGAGGAGGTTGTTGGCCATGGTGGCGCCCACGCCGTGCTCGATGGCGAACAGCGGGATGTAGTAGAACGGGATGAGCATGCCACCGTAGATGAAGAAGAGTGATAGGCAGAGGGCGAAGAAGCGGCCCTCGACGACGGCCTTGCGGATGCTGCTGCTGCTCTTCTCCGACGTCTTGACGCGATTGCCCTCGGTGTCGTGGCCGGCGACGTCCTTGCGCTCCGTGACGAGGAAGCAGGCGGCGAGGAGGACGGGGATGGAGATGAGAGCAATGATGCGGTGCACCCACGGGGCGGAGACGACGGTGAAGAGCTTGTTGATGATGATGGGCCAGAAGATGCCGCCCACGGAGGAGCCTGAGAGGGCGATTCCAAGGGCGAGGCCTCGTTTGTGGTTGAACCACTCTGAGATGGCGCCAGTAGCAGGGTAAAAGCTTGAGTTGGAGAGGACGTGTCAGTTTGTTTAAGTTCTGGAGTGGAAGTAGGGAGATTTTCAACTTACAGCAACGCATTACCGATTCCAAGCAAGATTCCTTGAGCCAAGAGGTATTGGTAGAACTGAGTAGCAAAGCTGGAGCAAATAAAGGAAAGCAGACAGACGGCAGTTCCCGAAAACATGAGAGCACGAGAGCCGTATTTGTCAAAGATGGGGCCGACGACGGCGCCACCGAGGAAGAGAATGAAGAGCTGGTTGTTAGGGAGAGAATAGTTAGCATAGACTTGACTTTGCTTTGCTTTTCTTTTTTATGTTTTGCTTTAATGAACAGCATGATGTTGGAATCCCTCTTTGTGTGCTTACCTGAATGCTACCAATCCAAGTGATGGTTGAGGTGGAGAGCCAAGTCCACTCGCTTTCATAGCGAGCTTGAAATGTTCCAAAAGAGTTTACAAGACCTTTATAATAGATGATATTAGCTTACTTCAAGAAGAAAACATGAATCGAATTAGGACTTACCAAAAGCAATAGCGAAATCCAAGAATCCGCCAACAACCACGAGCCAGGCTCTGAATCCGCCATCAGGAATTCCAGCAGCAAAGTCATCCTCAGCAACCTTCGTCTCCTCGCTGATAGCAAAAGACGTCACTGGCGAGTCGAGACCTCCCGTGATGTTGGCCGTGATGGGCGGGATCTCGATGCGGGCACCCAGTGGGATGCTTTGGTGCTCCTTGGGGCTGGAGTAGGACGTCGTCTTTTCCATTTTTCTGGCTTGACTCGAAATTACTCTTTCTTTCTCTCTTTTTTTTATGGTTTTCCAAAAAAGAATTGTTTTAACAAAAGCAAAGAGTATGTTGAGGACGTCTGATGATGGTCCTGCAGCTCGAAGGAGGAGGGATGAAGGGGGTTGAGATGGAAGAAGCAAAGGTTGAAGAAAAGAGAAAAGGAAAAAGAAGAAAAAGAAGGGATGAAAAATATGCAGCAAGAAAAATTTTTCTTCTTCATCAATTCATAGTAAAGCAAACGGACGACAGACAGAGACAGAGACCAGAGAGGGGGGGGGGGGTCCCTCAGCGTGTGGGCCGGTGGGTGAGTGCAAAATCGGGCGAGCAGTTGGCCAGCTGGCAGAAATTCATTGAGAACCAATTGACAAACGTCGAAATTATATTCAAAACTATATGATTGATGCGGTACATTTTCAATGCTGGAGACAAAGGAAAAAAGGAATTTTGGTGTGAGATATAGTATCGCGATCGTGAGCGGAAAGGAGGGCAGCGGACCGCATTCCGGGGAACTCCTACACCCCTACCTGATATTCGGACCCGGGTTGGCGGTAATTCAATATTGAACCACGTGAAGCTAATGAATGGCTTAGTTTTTTCACATGAATATGCGTTGTTTCATCATCTGTTGTATGGCGTCTCAGCCTTTAATTTCGGCTTGACCCACGACCCCGGGAAAAGGACGCCAAGGATTCTATACGAAATATCGCTAATAAACAAGATGAACCGTTCCACTGCCGCGGCGCCTGTGGCGCATACGAAATCATTGGTGTGGCTTCTTTCAGTAAGTTTATGCGTTGATGCGAAACAATAACGCCTTTGATGTTTTGATGTATCATGTTCAGCTGGCCGGGGGGTGAATGACAATTACCTGGGGTGCGAACCGCAGAGGCACTGCAACACAGCTACCGATATATCTTGGAAATGTCCCATTTTTACGGTGCAATTGTTCAGCTAATGCAATAAAAAGCAATTTGTAAGGCTTGTCGTTGTGGATCTCGCGTGGAGTTGGCATCAATTGATGTTCTATTCGCTGGAGGAAAAAGCCAACCAAGCGGCCGGGTTGCGCTGATAAAAGGATTGACCGGTAGACCATGTCCTTTATACAGGTGCTGCGAATTTGAACAGATGTTGATAGTATCTGAAAATAGTTTAGACACATTATTTCTTTTGTTAGTCATGCATGAGTATATGATTGTTCATGCTAGTTTATACTGAACATGATCCTCGCTGAAGTTTTCGGAATCATATACGAGAACCCATGTCAAATATTTTCAGCCGCAGAACGTAGACCGGAATAGGTAAAATCGTATGATTAAAGAAAGACACTCTTCAATTTAAACATGCGCGACAACCCGTCTTTTACCGTTTTACCGACCGACCCTGCTCTTTGTTCGTCTGTAATAACCGTCGCGAGCCGTGTCCGAGCCAATCAAGTGCACCCATCTAGCAGGCTTCATTCTCAAACTTGGACAATGAGCAAGGATTAAACATAGGTACTTGGATTTCCTCTTCCTCATTGTTCACCTTTTCTCTTAGCATCGTGGCGTACTTCAGATCATCTTGGTGAGAGTAATTAGGCAAGGCATCTCTAATATATGTATTAGGTTATGAAAACCCTCATCTGGCTGGTCTTCATCAGTGCTACACACATTCTGATATTACACCCAGTGCCATGTGCCCAGCAGAGGAAGCACAAGGCGCATCGCCAATTTGTATGGCCAACCCTTTCCATCTTGCTCACCTCATGGGGTCAGAAGGCTCTGCCAAGGAAGCCCCCAGTACCAGCTGGCTACCGCCATTCCACTGACGCTCATGGTTACGGCCATGAGAAAGTTGACATCATTGTTGTCGAGCAAGTCCCAGCCATTTTCGACTACACGAGAGGGCTGCTCGTCACCAAAGCTAGGTTTCCGGTGTTTGTTCTTGGGGTCGAACTTGTCAGTGGTTTCACTTGACTCATCAACAGCGGATTCACTCGCACCCCCTGCGTGTTGCAATGAAGCCTTGATATCAGCCCGCTTCTCTGAGCCCTCGGCTTCGCTAGAGACTAGCACTCGAGAGCCACCATCACCTTCGACAATCTTTCCGGTCCGCACATCCTTCACGGAACGTTGGAAGATGGCTCCGAGAAAGCTGTCCAAGACGCTGCCGAGGGTACCCCACAAGACCAGGAAACCCATAAATAGCCGCCTGTTGTCTGCCGTCCAGGGGTCACCACCTCCGCGCTTCGAAACGGTTAATTCGTTGCAGACTGGCAAGAATAGCATAGAAGACGTGACAATTGTAAGAGATCCAAGAAGTCCAGCTCCTAAACCCAACAACGTCACCCCGCCATTTGTGCCGCGGGGCACCTTTCGCAGCGTAAGCGACGTAATGAGGCGGGGTTCGCTTTTGGACAGGATGCCCAGCTCCGAACTGAACGTGTCAGCCGCAACCGCAGCGTAGTTGGCAATGATACCGACGATGAAGAGATCGCCTCCCCATGAGTAGCACATTGATCCATTCGGTTCCGGAGCACCTGGAGTCTTGAAGGCAGCAGCTCGAGCGTGGAGCTGCCTGGCGTGGAGCACAGACAAGATGGATGCCACGAGCGAATTGGCAAAGACTTGGGCATGGAATTAGCTTCATCCTGGCAACTAGGCACGCAAAAGTGTATGGAATTCGTCTGCTTACCTTGAACATGTGTTCGGGGGCCCTCGCCGCCTGAGGTTCCCTTTGCACTCACTGTGAGAGAGGCCTTGACATTTTCCTTGACCTGGTTCTATTGTTAGCACCTCTAGCTGCAGCGCACTGTATCTATCCCATCATTAACTCACATGCGTGACTCGCGTGCCGGCCAAAAAGAAGACAACCAGGAGGACAAAGGGAAGATTCCACGGGTGATAGGCGTGTGCAATAGCTGTGACTGTAGCAGCTACTAGACCTGCGGGGGTTAGAGACTTCTTCTTCCAGGCCCTCAGCACAAGGGCTGCGATTGCTGGAACGGCAATGACGGGCTTCATGATGCGACGAGGATGCGCTGTTTCGTCCCACGGGCGAGTTTGTAGATGTTATGGGCAACGCATGTGGTAAGTTGTCCAAAAGGTGAGACGCTCCATGCTAAGGTACCAACTTGGCCAGTAAGCTGTTCGCTTATCTCGCCTGTACTCACTAGCTGCTTATCAGCTCCAGCTGCGTAATCGTCCTCGTCCACTAATAAGGCGCTGTAGCAATAGCCTAAGCAATGGCGCAACAAAGCACTGGCGCTTGCGTATAGGCAGGCAAGCAGGGTCAAGCTGGTGCTCTACCTTCTCAACAATTGTATGGAGGTGATCCTTCTACTTCCCATTCGGATTCCCACTCTTACCTCCCAAGACGCCCGAGTGCTTCAGAGCTACTATCATTCATTCATCACTCTTCAATTTCCACACCGTTGTATGTTTCTCCCCTCATTATTCGAGAATGTGTTGCATTCGGCGCGATCCGTCGTGGCCCGAATGCCGCTTCACTTACAAAACGTAAGCGAGAGCTCATAGTGAAGCACAGAGTCTAATCATCTGCCACTCCCAATTCCGACCAACGTACCTAGCGTACCACAGGTCATGTAATAAATCCATTATATTCATTATCTCCCTATGCTAACACTAGTCATCTAAGAATCATGAGTTGTCACACGAAGCTAGAAGTCGGATCTTGAATCGTCGAGCCATTCAACATTTAACCCCCTCGTCAAGTTCAGAGGGGCATAAGTCGCACCGCTTCAAGATCTTCAAGGCCCTCCACTTCCATCAAGGATTTATATCCAGTGACGCGTTGCCGTCGTATTCCAGACTGCAGATATCTTAACTCTACATCCTTGCATCTTTGAGAGTCAAGGACTTGACTTGATTTCACGCCAAGCAACCTAGAATGATGCACAGCAACTCTCTATCAATCTTTCGACTCATCACGGCTATCCGTCTTGAGATTATGGAGGCGCAATTATATATATACCAATTAGGCCAAGTTTTTAAATTGCCCAATTTGCACAATCCGTGAAACAACCAGATGGGCAGCAATGCTGTATTCAAGTCGCATCCCAAAACGCCGCCACCTCACTCCGCCCAAAGCCAGACAGACGAATGCAGGCCGCAGAAGATTCGATGAAGACAACACCCCAGAGATCGGCTAGCTGCTGGGTCAACAACATGCTTAGTCTTGTGGATTCAGGTTTGCCTTCAAACCACACGTCAGCCAGAACACGTATATCAATGGTCGCACAGTTTCACAGTCGTGGCCGCCTAGCTATACGGGATATTATATGTGAGACAATCATGGAAGCCTAAAATAACCACTCGTATACTTTCTTCAGAGATCACAGCACTAACAGAAGAAGGCTCCCAGACACCAACTCTCGGCCAGGCTGGCTTGCATAGGAGTGCATAGTTTGCACATCAGATGCAGCTTGCCTCACACAAGTCAAGATTGTACAGAGAATCATAAACAAGCATGACTGACTTCTGTTCGTTCATAAGCAAGTGCATGATGGCAAAATTGAATGGGTTAATTGTAAAGCCGAGATGCTACCGTGAATCAACATCCTGATAATGGTTAAAACTCTCAACTTCAGGGCCCTCACAAGTCCTAGCTTTACAGTTGAGATTGCCTCTTTTTTTAATCGACCTATGACCATAAAACACGGAATTCCCAAGCAAAAGGACTATTGGCGTCTGTTCAATCTTCTCAGCTCGACCTGCTGCAGGGAATCTGTCATCTTCAAAAAGACTTGCCCCTGCTCTATGTCATCTTTTTAGTGGTGTCTAGCCTTTCCCCTTGCCGTGAAAAAGCAAACCATCGGGCGTTTTCTTACTTTGCCGTCAATATTCGAATCTATTTGCCAAAGAATGAAGTCAATAGCTGTAGTAAGTCAGCAAATAACCACCCAGAGATATGAGAGCCTCGCCTTACAGACCGCAAAACTAATACCTTAGCCGCTTCTTTCTCCACTGTCGGACTGGGCGCCTGTGCCCATTCTCTGAAAGCTCTGTGCTTATCATCGTCTATCAGATGTCAATAGCCGTTTCAAAGCTGTACCTTTCTGTAGAGATCATGCCGTATGGCGGTTTCACGTCGATTAAATCATACACACCGAGCTTCCTTTAGCCAGTCATTAGCCCCCTTTACGCAATACGGATGAGCCTATACTGGAGACGTACGCGCAACACAACTAAACTTCATTGTCCACAAGAATCATCCTTCTTTCCTCAGCTGTCGTATACAGAAGTGGCTTCTTCGCGACACCTTCTTGAATCGGTTAACATGGACTCTCTTAGCCGCTCTCGGCACTGCTGACGAGCCACACAAACAAAGAGGAACAAAGAGGTTGGTGCAAACCAGGCTTTCTTTCAGGCCTGGTGCTTTGTTGCATTGCAGACAAAGGCGAATTGTCCACTACAGACTTCTTTGAATGCTATCTATAACCATATTTTGCAGAATCTTTCATAACTATGAAAGTGGTGATCCACAACGGCGATTTTCACAAGACTCTTATCCCCTTACGAGTATATCCTGACCGCTAAATGCCTTGCCATCTTTCATGTTCACTCATATTTTGTGACCTGAAACTCGTTCCCTCTAATTCAAAATACCAGATGCAAAGTTACACTATGACGCTTCACAGACCGGGAGACTATACCGAGCCCTCATCTGGAACTGCGGCCAGCCCCTATATCTCTGGACGCACACTCATCGCCTGTCAAAACTGCGCAAGTGCAAAGACTGGCTGCGATAAAAAGATCCCTTGTTCTAGATGTATCGATAAAAACCTACAATGCACCGCCAGATATGCCCGACGAGCGTCCAAGGCTGCGATCCGGGCAGCACAAGCGACATCCTCATCGACAAAGAGTCCGTTAGCCGGCTTCTGCTTTGGGTCACAGCCATTTCAAAAGACTTCCTTTTCCTTTGATGTGGGCAACTATCCTGAAAACACTGCTCAAGATTCCTCACAGCGTATACGTGGAGATGCAGATCAACAAGATGATAGTCTTTGGGATATCCTCAACCCCCTTTCGCCATTATCTGGCTACTCTGTCACTGCTCCATCATTGGGTGGCAGCCCATCTTATTCATATAACCGGAATGCCTTTGAAAACAAACAAAACTCGCCCATTCCTATCTTTTCCGAATTTTCAACCAACCTTGACCTCCTTAACAACGACATCTCGATGAGGATACCGAAAAGCCATCGATACTATCCAGAGAACCTACTCAACGACCACAATAGCTCGCTTCCTCTCTTCGAGGTATCACACTTGCCGAAGATAAAAGATTATGCTAGTCTGGTCCACTCACCAGATGCTCGTGAAGACTACTCTAGCTTCTTAGGGGGCAGTCACAAATCCGGGCGCGACATCTGCAGCACTCCCAACCTGCCGCATTCACAAGAAGTCCCAAGTTTATCCAGTGCAAGGATTTGGATCAAAAAGCTTAGACAGAAGGGGCTATTTGATAGCCATGCTCCAGACTTTACTGTGGGCGAATCGATGCAGATGCATCAACCAAAGGCGAAAACCCGATACTCAACTCGCGATAGGTATGTCTTTATGGCAACTCGTGTGTCAGATGTTAACCATTACGCAGATTATTATATAACTGGGTCAACATGGATCACGAGCTGAGCCTCTTTCACGATACTGAGCAGACCATCTCCGCATGCGACCTGGAACGACCTCTCCCCGATCCCACGCTTCCATGGGACACGAAAACCCTCTCGCAGACTAGCGATTTATATCTTTTAGACGGTCTATATGACAACATTAAAACGGAAGAAGCACTCGACTTTGAGTTTCGTCCTACCTTGAATCAACTATTTAAAGACTTTCTTCACGGGACACTGTCAAAAACAATACAACCACGGCATCTCCAGCTTCTTCTTCATCCACTGCAAGCTTTAGTTCATCACTCGCAGAGTCTACTTTCTTGGGCAAAGCATAGCTATTCTCCAATATTATCCGACGCAGCGAATTCCACTCTACTGGAAACGCAAAGACTCCTCCAAGAGTGGCACAATCTAGCAATAGAATCCCATAACGAAAACCTCTATACTCAAGATACTACACCAGCTTTAATCTTATATCATTTCACATGCCTCAACCTTGTAGCCAACTTCGTCGACATCGAGCGGCTCGCCGACAGAGAGAGTCTCAGCATCAGCTTCTGGCAGCAATCTCTCCAAAACGAGAGAAGCATCTTCAACCGCCAAGACGCCATTTATCACTGCGGCCAAGCGCTCCGATACTTGCGTGCTATCAACGACGACATGCGCCCTTGGTGGTGGCCAACAGCCGTACATAGAGCAATCCTGACGCTCTGGGCGGCTTCTACTCTTGGATCCAGCCCAGGCCACGGAAAACCAGCGCCGTTCTCGCCAAAAGATCCCTGGCCACGCGATTCCATGGATGTAGACCCGAGAATGAACATGTCTGCTTCTCCTGAGCTCTCCATCGTCGTTATTGACAACATCGCTCCTGAAGATCCTGTTCTTAGCGATGCAAATTGGAGCGAGAGGCACATGCTCGTTCTCACCGGTCAAGACGAAGGGGTAGTGGTGTTGAGTGATGCGATGGGTATTCTTCACTATGGCGTTTCGCTCATCAATACGTGCCCAAGCTCAGTTGAAGGGGAGGCGGTGGTTACGAAACTTATGGATCTGGGACAAGCTTGGGAGGGAAATAAGAGCAGTCAGATGTACTACCAAGATTGATCATCTTTGTGCTTTTTGTTGTCGGCGCTTTTAGCATCAAGCACTACTTCTTCTCTTCAGCTGCTAAAGTTTGAACGAATTATATCTACAATGACCAGAGTAATATAATATATAATATTAAATCAGGGGTTTGTGGTATTCATATACTCCGTGGCTACCAATATTGTATATACCATGCTCAAATATCCATAAAAACGCCAATGGCAATGCTTCTCTCAACTCTAGACAGCATCAATAAAACGCCACTATCCAAATGTCAAAGATTGCCGCAGTATCGTCACATCATCACATCATGACACTCCCACCAGCCACTCACTCAACATTACCGGATATCAAACTCTGCAGCTCAAAAGGACTAAGTGTGCTCCTCCGCCTCGACGTAACCTTGGCCACCCTTCTGTCCCTCTTGCGTTTCTCCGGCTGCTGTGCTTCTGGCTGCGCAACTTCTCTCTTTGCCGGACTCAAGCCTCTCGCGCTATCAACCGCTGGAGCGCCCATCCTCGTCGGTGCCGACCTCGCCGATCCTTCAGCAGAGGCCACGGTAGGCTGTTGGACACCTTCCGTATTGTGGAGAGCCCTGAGCTTTGCACGGGCGCGGGCAGCATCAGCTTGTTTTTCTGCAGCAGCGAGCTTGGCAGCAATGGCAGTCTTAGATGGAGATGGAGGTTGAGGCCTCGCGCCATGTAGTCGCGGATGTGGTAAACGAACGGGCACACGGCGTGGTATTGAGCGTAGATGTCCCGTTCTTGAAGCAGTACCAACGGCGAGTCCGCTTCTCGAAGGAGCATGCTCTTCGGAACGGCTGTCCTCTCTCTTGCTAGTCTCCTTTTCATTATTTCCCAGTAGAGCTTCGTCCAGAGATGTCGTAGAACCCATACGGGTTTCCTCTGCGGGTTTGGCAGCCTTTGTAGGAACAGGTAGCTGCCGTTGGGCAGCAAGAGATCCGGTAACCCGGTCAAATGTCTGCTTGGCGGTATCGGTGTTGGCTGCTGCATCTGGCTGTTGTAGCCCCCTTACGGCGGAGGCAGTGTAAGTAAGCTTCTGCCGGAGTGTATTCTGCTGAGGGCCACGGTTGCCAGCCGAGGAAGAATTCTGAAGAGGGCGTGTCTGAGACTGCTCAGATTGCGACTCCAACTCCATAGATTGCCCCATATCGTCGGTTGCCATCGCGGCCTCTTCTGTCTCCGTTCTGTGGTCATTCGGCTCTTCAGTGTCACATTCCATAGCTACCACATCGTCGTCGTCGCCGTTATCGTCATTATCGTTATCATTGTCCCCGTTTTCTTCGCCGTCATTGCCGTCGCCAGAGAAGCCACTGAACTCGTCATCAGTATATCCATATAAATCTTCCTCGGGCTCTTCCTCCTCTTCAACGGCTGGTAGGACAGGCTCGCGAGCATATCTCGTTTCCTCGACACCAGAGACACGAACTGGGCTCAAGTGCAACCCCATCATAATATCCTCCTCTCCAATGGGCTTGCCGCTTGTCGCCATTCTCTTCCGCCAGCCATCCATCAGTTGGACAGTATCTTCCCATCGGCTCTCCATTTTGATCACGGCCTCTTTGAGTTGGTCGATCTGTTGCTCTCGCATCACGACTTCTTCGATTGGTACAAACGACGGATTCGTCAGGATGTTTCTCATGTGGTTCATCACAGCACCCAGCTCTGCTGCAATCTCCTCCCAGCCTTGAGGCTTGACCACTTCAGAGCCCTCTTTCCCTTCTCCGGTCCATCCACTCATTTCCTGCAATTGGTCCTTCGCTTGCCGCACTACTCCCAAGAGGACTTCATTTTCCTCACTCAGATTTTGTGCCAGACTCGCCAGAAAAGTATTCGTCTCGCTGCGCAAGGAGTAATCTTTGTCCTCAAGGTTTCTGCCACCCAAGGGTGATTTCCTCTCTTCATTATTCACCTCTCCCGTTACAGTAATTGACACGATTCCAGAGCCAGACCTTGTCCCTCTGGCACGGCCCGCCTCGCCAACCTGCTTCTTGAGGGTCTCGATTTGGCGATCGCGCCGCCGTATCTCGGTTGCGCATGATGCTCGCACCTGAGCGACTAATCCTTTCGTCTTTGCTAGTTCGTCTTTAAGTCCTTTCACGACAGACTCGGCCGACTTGAGCTGCGTCTGAAGTTTCGCCTCGGACGTCGCTGCGATGTCGCTCTTTCGCTGTGCCTCGGCACATTTCTCTTTTAATCGGGCAATGTCGTTTGTGTTTTTCAAGTTCTCTGCTCGAAGATTGATAACCGTTGCCGAGAAGGATTCGCGTTGCTCTGCGTCGCGCTGAGGAGGGGTCAGCTAATGTTTGCGCAAGGAAAAAGAAATACTGCAAAGCTTACATCCCGTCGAAGGATCAGATCGTTCAATAGGCCGATGACGCGGCTTGCATTGCGAGGATGTCCAAGTCCCCTCTCTCCAAAGTCTGCAAAATTAATGTCATGGCCATCTCTGATCAGACCTCTCGAAAGCAGCTGGTTGTTGATGTACAGCGAGGCGGTTCGAAGATTGTCCGTATCAATCATGGTGTGCCACAGCGGAGAGGCAAAACAGAGACGATTGAAAAATATGTGTATATATCGATCTTATCTCCAATTTTGCAGTGTCATGCTTCTTGTTCAAAGCTGCTATAGACACAAGCACTCGATGATGCGCTCCAGTATTGCTGTCTGTTATCGGAAGTTTTGGTTGCCAGGCGGAGAAAGTAAACAATGCCCAAGTTGCCGCGAGTGATTGGCTGACTAAGCGCGACTATCTGTGAACCAGATCGCCAGATAAGAATTCTACTATCAAGGCTACTTTATTACTTCTGATTCGACATCTCTTATTTTTATTTTTATTTTTTTTTTTTCCTTTTCTTATTTTTTGGAAGATCTTCTAAGGGCCAAAGACCATTATATCAGCCCCGCCTTAACAATGTACACTGAACAATCATGTATTGCTTCTGCTTTCAAATATTTGTATATGCGATAGGCAATTTTTTAAACGCCATAGTCGATCTGAGGATATCCAAAATGTTCCTTATTATCTATATACATTGGGGGTATCATTATCCACCTACGCTTCCGCGGCGCGATATCCTCATGATGAGCTTTGCTGCTGCATGAGCAGCCCGCAGCTCTCAACTTGTAAGTGAGTCTGATGGCAATCATCAAGATAGAGTAGGTAGATCCGATGCAATATTTGATGAAGTTGCATGATCCCAACAGGTGATAACAAGATCATATAATTGCTCCACGTATGCCTCGTTTTCTCTTCGCTTGTTCAACGCCATCATCAGACCGAAAACTCTACTGTTCCTGTGCATGGCATTAATACCATTTCTCATCCTCAGTCATCATATAAAGCACCATTGGTTATAACACAAGCTTCAGAAAAGTTTGAGAAGATTGTTTTACGCGGTTTTTGTCGACATTAGCCGAGCAGGGCTCAGGTTATCCCGAGCCCATTCCAGCCTCTCGATGGCCCCGCGTGCGTCATCATGCTTGAGGGCAAAGAAAAGTGAACAATGAAAAGTTCGACTTACTTCATTACACAGACAGTGTGTAACAGGCTCATCCATATCATGTTTCGGGCTTGAATTTTCCTCTCTTTTCCCGCATGGCATTGACCTTCTTCTTGTCTTCCTCGAAACGCTTCAGCAGTTCCGCCTGCTCTTGCTTCCGTCGTTCTCGCAGCTGGAATCGGTAAAAGTCCTTCATTTCCGACTTCTTCTTGGCCGCCTTTTCGATCATCTTTCGTCTAGCCTCCTCGGCTTCGAATTGGTTCGCAGGAGTACCCTTTCCACCACGAGTAACAGTAACGAAGCCATCTTCGTCAGGTTCGTTGCGTAGTCGCTTGCTGATCTCAGCAGCTTCCTTCTCCTTCCTGTTGAACACATTGAAGAATGCATGTGTAGCTTTTTGTATCTCGGCCTTATTGGCACGGCTAAGACGCAGATGGGAAGACACCCAAGGAGCTCCCAGTAGTGGAACATCGCCTGACAAGTGCTGTCCCCATACAGGATACTTTTTGGTCTTCTGGAGCTTTGTAATCGCTTTCAGGACGAGTTGCACACTCTTTTCATCGGCGAGCAACACAATCGCGGTACTGCTGCTTCGGTAAAGTCGGCGCGTCCAAATTTCCGGTAGCTGTGCAGCTTCTTCTTCCGCTTTTTCTTCTTCTTCCACATCACTTCTCTTCCGCTTGCGCGCAAGCGCAGCAGCCTTGACTGCTCTGGCAGGGTCAATGGCAACCGCAGCCTTGTCCTCTCCTTCAAATGTTATCGTCTCGAATCGTCCAGCACCGACGAGCGCGGTAAAAACGGCTCTAAAATGGGGTTCTGTGCTGTCTGCAGGAATATTCTTCAAAAAAAGACTGCGAGAATCATTCGCCGTAGGAATTTTGGGTGCATTCCTTCGTATCCGTACTTCGTGGAGAGCAGTCTCGTGGAATGAAGGCACTGGGGGCATCTGGATAGGAAGAATGGCGAATTGATCGCCGGCCGCATCTACGGGGACCATTTTGAGGCGATTATGGCCCCTGAAGGAGATGTGCGTGTTTATGAAAAGTGATTCGACTTTGCGTGTAGCAGCAGGACGAAGTTTTGTTTAGCAGCTCGACACTCTTGAAGTCTAGAGAAAAAAATGGCCCCACAGTCTGTATCGATACGGGTGGGTCAAATTGACACTCTGTGCAGAAAGGATTGGTTCTCCCATCTGAACAAACAAAGTGAGCGATGCAGCGAAAAAAAAAAACCGTCAACATGAAAAGAAATTCCCCATGACTCCTTTTAAAAGAACAAAGCTCATGATGCTATTATCGGCAAAAAAAGATGTTCAGAAACATCAAAAAATGACGAGAGTGGGACTCGAACCCACGCGGATTGCTCCACCAGGAATTGCTGTTAAGGTAGCCTTAACCTGACGCCATAACCAACTCGGCCATCTCGCCGTTCGATGATTTACGAATGGAATAACTGCATCAAGAGCCCTTCCACCGCCCAGGATGTTGAGTCCCGATTTTGCTATCCAGCATCCACATCGCAAATAATACTGAGTACTACCCAGACGACTACAGCTATAATAGTAAATACTAAAGATATATAACTTATAGGAGCAGTTACTAGATAAATGTAGAAATAGAAGCAGATATCTTAAAAAATTTGGTACTGCATATGCGTAACACCCTTACACGAAGACACCCTTCCTAACGTCTAAACTTCAATTGCAATCCTTCCAACACCACGGCTCACACACGTCAACATGCAAGATTCTTTCTCATCCGGCATGAGTGCCGAGCCTCGATGAATCACCTCTCCGCTCTTGAGAGTAACCTTACAGGTACCGCAATTACCCACCTCGCAGCTCGAAGGAATATCTCCAAATTCGCGCTGAAGGACCTCCAAGAGACTCTCCTCTTCACCCACTTTGACAACCTTGTTCTGCCTATTCACAACTTCTGCCTCGAAAGGATCTCCGGTTGTGTCGGCGGAAAAGGCCTCAAAGTGTATCTCTTGGGGAGGGATGGAAGCCTCTTCGGCAGCAGCTTTGGCGGCTTCCATCATACGGTTGGGTCCGCAAACGTACAGGAAGCTGTTCCAGGGCATAGTCTTCATGATGTTATTGATATCCATCCGCTGGTCTTTCGACTTGTCATATATGATGACTCTCTCTCCGTACGACTCCAGTTGCTCTCGAAAGGGGACATCATCCGAGGATCGTACCGCATAGTGAAGTTGAAAGCTCCAGTTAATAGAGTCATACATCTTCATGAGTTCCAAAAAGGCCGTGATGCCAATCCCTCCAGCTATAAAAACGTGGTTGCTTGCTGCACTGACTGGTCCGTTGACATCGCTCGTCACACCACCCACTTCAATGCTATCTCCGACTTTGACAGACTCGTGGATATAACGCGAGCCGCCTCGGCTGTTTTCGTCGAGAGCAATACCAAACTCCAGTCTTCTGGCCGATTCAGTTTTCTTGCCGCTATTTGACACGACGGAATACGTCCTCACAAGTCCGTTAGGAAGCCTCAGTTTGGCATGAGCCGCCGATGGAAAGCCGTCAGATTGGGGCTTAGCAGGAGCCTCAATGGCCAGCCAAACGGTCCTTGGCGTCTCCATCTTCCGGCTGACCACTTTGTAAGTTTCCCAGGGTTCTTCTTTTTTCTGCTGCTTCCGTTTTTGTGCCTTGGCCACGCGTTTCTTGAATTGGCCGCGGGCCTCGTTGCCCAGAGCCTCGATCTCTGCCAGCTTCTCATTCATTTCATCATTGTCAGTCACGCGGTGTAGATATTCCTGCACGCGCTCAATTGTCCACTCGGGCCATTTCCTCTCAACCAGCTTCAACTCATCGCCAGTACTAACGTTGCCCTCACGGAGGACCCGATAGTACCATCCAGTACGGCTAGTCTTATAAGTTTCAGGGGCGAAGTTCTTCAATGAGAAGCGGTGGTTGAGTTTGAAACACGGTTGCCGCGGAAGGGATACCTGGAGGACCACTTCAGGACCAACAGATATAACGTCTCCTATGCAAACATTTCGCTCGTTCATGTGCGCTGTGACAAAGTTCTCTCCGAAGCCTCCTGGGACAAATTTGTCCACACGTTCGGGATAAGATTCCTGCCAGGATGGATAATGCGAGGAGCAGTCTAATAAAAGCAAGGACGGTCATTAGTTTGATCTGCAGTTCATAGCATTCATTGCGGAATGCCTACATCCAAGAATTGCCTTGTCCAGACCACCATGAAATGTAAGATCGTGCCAATCCCCTTCCAGTCCCAGCTTGTCGACTTTCATCGAGACAGTGCGAAGCTCCTTGTCAATGCCAGACATGATGGCCAAGCCCGGCATTCGCTTCATTCCGGACGTGCGGATTTCGATAAGCCGGTCGGCCTCGAAAGGCGCCGCAAGATCATCAAAATAAGAGCTCTTCATTTTAATTTCTATAATTATTGTCGAGGAGAGCGGCGGGAGAATAAGTTGGGAGGAGAGAGATCTAATAAAGGTGCAAGTGCGAATCCTGCTGAAAGCTATGCGCCTTACACGGTTGTTGTATACAGTTTGCACACTGTTGGCTGGTCTCGCTCGCTCTGAGTCAGAATAGGCAAGTTGTAGCGACAGCGCAACGCGATTGCGACCAATGGGTTCCTTTTTAAATCCGATTTCTTAGATCCGATGTATCGTCTTTGACTAATTCAAACATATGTATCTAATGATTATTTACAATCTTTAGATAACAGTCGTCTATATCATCTACACACCCAAAGTGTCCTCCTGGTCGTTCACGGATAGAATCCTCCATCGACGCACTGTGCTGAATCTTTCCGGTTAGACTCCCGAGCAACTCTTATCCACCATGCAATGTAGCATCGAGCATTATACAAATCAGGTCAAGCATGCGTGAAACCGGGCACATATACAGGCAGACAATGTTTTTCTAACATTTTCCCCTTTCAATCAACTTATACGCTGCCGCTGACACAACTGAGTGCCAGTCCAGGGATCACGGTCAATGCACGGCAACAATACAGGTTTGTCTCAGTGTCTACAGAACACAGCTCAAAGCAATGCACAATTCCCATTCTTATTTCAATGATGCGAAATCTTCATAAAAAGATGAATCGACCAGCGAACAAATTCTTTCAGCCATATTTGAAATCCGGTTCACGCAGCGTCGACATTTCCGCGGAGTCGCGAAGTTACCCTAGAGTGAAAAGAAAAGATTGTAGGGGCAAAGGTTTATAATGCTAAATACGGGAAATTTGACCAATGAACCTTCATGGTTCTGTGGTCTAACGGTTATGACTCCGGATTTTGATTCCGGCAGCGAGGGTTCGACTCCCTCCAGAACCTGTTTCAGGTTTTTTTTTTTTTCTCTTTTGCCCTTTGCCTGTTGGCTGGAATTTGATCTGTGCTTATGCCGCGCGAATCCACTTGGGCAGTATTAGGCTCGTTGTGGCCTGCTCTTTTGGCACAGAAGTGGCATTTGGAGATCTGCATCATGCTTCTTAGGTGCCTGGGAATATGGGCGATTTACACAAGCTGGGCTTTGCGTCCTCCGATTTTCGCATCAAATATCCTTAAATGCCAGGACCCTGAGTACAGGTAGACTCATCTATGCTTTTTGAAGTTGAGTCAATCATAAGCAACCAGTCAGCAACCTGTGGTCCTTTTCTAGGAGTGCAGCGCGTGAAGAGAAAAATCTCCCTCCATTTGCTTCAGACTCATAAGAATGAACCAGTCACCTCGTAATTCCGAATATTGTAAATAGCTAGGATATCTGATGACTCCAAGCAGAGTTGAGTCAGTGTTATCAACCTATTTCACAGCTTGTAGCACTCATAAATATTCATCCTGACCCCAGTCCCCATGCCCCTGCTCTGCTCTGTCATGGAAGAAGCAATTGCCGGTTTTCGGCCCCGATGTGGACTGCGGGTCGGGAAGTGACTCCGGTACCCCGCGCGTTTCTACCGAATCCGCCCGGTATCCCCCCCCGGACCTTGAGATATATATGCAGAACGTGAACAATCAACAGCATCATTCTCGTTCATTTCCTTTTAAAACCAAACAGTTAAACACCTAGACATCACATCATCATGCGTCTCCCTTACGTCGCCGATCCTCCCCCGGTGCAAACCGAACAAGACGCCGCCATCGTGCAGCGCATCCGAGACCGTCGCGCCCCTCGCCCTCTCCAAGCCCTGGATCTAACCCTTCTGCACTCACCCAACGTAGCAGACGGCTGGAACTCATTCCTCGGCGCCGTCCGCACCAAGACCTCTCTCACCGACGATGTGCGTGAGCTGGCTATTTCGCGCGTTGCCGTGTGCAACAAGGCGTGGTATGAATGGGGCCACCACGCGCCCCTGGCCATTAAAGGCGGCGTGAGCGAGGACGCCATGGAAACTGTCAAGAGAGACTCGTTGGGGGAGAGGCCGGAGGGGCTGTTGAGCGAGAAGCAGTGGGCGGCGCTGGTGTATGCGGATGAAATGACCAAGAATGTGCAAGTCGCGGACGAGACATTTGCGGCGTTGAAGCAGCACTTTAACGACCAGGAGGTTGTAGAGATAACGGCGACGGTAAGATTCCTTTACTTGCATTTTCCCGCGGCTGACGAAACTGTACATTTCGATGAATTACTGACAACGGAATATTGGCATTACAGGTCGCTGCTTACAACTGCGTGAGCAGATTCTTGGTCGCTCTGGATGGTAGGTGAAGTTGAAGCTCATTTTCTAATTTTCATTTATTTTGACTCTGTTTGCCAATTTCTAACTTTGCATACAGTGGGTGAGAAGAATGGTACTGGCCCAGGTGCTGCTTTATCTGCTCATTGATAGGAATGTGCCTCGGAGACAGTACTCATTGTGGATTCAAAACAGGAAAAGGCAAAGGGAAGGAAATAGAGCAAGCGTAGAGCTGAATGATAATGATTGTAAAAGGTTGCATAGAAGAAAAGAAAGTGATTAACTGTGATAGAGGTAAAAGTTGGACAGGGAGAAGCTGCGTGAGCAATCTTGGTGAAATGAAAGGAAAGTGGAATAAATGGGGTATCCTATCTAAGAACAAAGTGTGATGTGATGTGGT